TTATATTAAAATAATATATTAATAAATTATTTTTTAATTTTTTATAATAATTATAATTGTTAATATTAAATTTAATAAATTAAAATTTATTAAAATTTTTATTAGAAGAAGTTTATAGTATATATTATTTATTTATTATATTATACATATTTATATTAATTATATTAAAATTATTAATAAAGAATATAATAAATATATATTAATATATTAACCTTGATTTAATTAATAATATAGTTAATATTGTTAATTTTATCTTTGGTAAATTTAACTTTTATTGGTTTTAGCTTAAGGACGAAGAGGTGTTTAATATTTATAAAGTTATAATAAGATTTGATTGTATTGGTTTATATTTTATTAGCAAATTTATTACCTTTATTATAATGGAATATTTAATTTAAATTATATAGGTTTAAAATTTATAATTAAAAAAGTTATATGCGTACTTAAAAATAAATAAGAAAATATATATGCTGGTAATAAAAAAGTATATTAAAGATAAATTTATTTGGTATTTATTAATTATAAAAAATTAAAATAATAATAGCAATTTTGATAAAATTGTTAAAAATATATATAAAACTATCTTTTATTTTTTTATTGAGGTATAATTATGTAAAAATAAGTAAATAATAAAATGTAGTAAAATCTATAATAGTTTTTATATTTAAATTAAAGCTATAATTAAATAAAAAATATTTAAATATTGTTTAAATTTGCAATATAATCTATTATATTTTATTAAAGGTATATATTGTATAATTAAAAATGATTTATAAAATATATTACGTAATTTATATATAATATAAAAATTATATAAGTAATGGATTATAATAAATTATATAGGTTATATAGGTTAGAAAATGGTTTCAAAATAAAAAATAATTACCTTATAAAAAATAATTTCTTATATTATATTTCCTTATATAAATTTATTAATATACTATTTTAAAAAAAGGAATAGTTATTGTAAAATGAATGGTAACTGTGGAGAATATTATTCCACATTTAAAATATCATATCTTAAAACTATATTTTGCCGGTATGGTAGGTAGCTTGCGTCTTCTACTATAAATCCCAAGTATGAGTTTAAGTCAAGTATACATGGACTACTCGTTATACCCACTTATCCCTTAAGATAAACTCGATAAAGCTGCCTATAATATCGTAACCGGCGTCACGAGCTTGGTATATTTTACCCAAGACGACTAGTAACCATAGGGTACATCGTACTCTCATTCTAATAACCCGGCGGCAACTGTCTCGCCTCCACTTCTCAATACAACACGCTGGCCTGCTTCAAGAGGTACCTTGGTTCCCATCTTAACTACCACTCTCGCCACGCTTGCTGGCTTTACGATCTTGGGTTTCTTTTTCAGCACGGTGCCTTTAGTTTTGTCGAGCAACGCTGGTATCTCTAGGATTTGACCTGCGGCGTGTAAACGGCCTCTGTGCACGTCCACCTGCATCGGCATCAGGATGTCGAACGCCAGTACTTTGACTGTGAATGTGTCGATACAATCGATTGGTTGTTTCGCATCACAAATAATGTCTCCAACCCGTACGTGGATCGATTCGATATTGCTGAGGTGAATAACAACATTCTGTCCCGCCACAGCCCACTCCACTGGCTCGTGATCGAGTTCCAGAGATTTGACGTAAGCCTTCTCGCCGCTAGGTTGAACCATTAGTGCATCGCCCACCTGCACTGAGCCTGCATCTATCCTCCCAGATATTGTAAGCGGGCTCTGTGCTGTACGGTAGACTTCGGAAATAGTTAATCGTAGAGGCTTGTCTAATGCTCGGGCCATTGGCTCTGAGCTCTCCAATTCTTCGACGAGCGTTTTCCCACAATACCAGTTGGCTGCTGCGTCTGTGGCCCTTTTTACTATGTTATCTCCACGTAAGCCGGACACGGGGACAAAGCTAACATTTTTGAGCTGGAACCCTGTTGCCGAGAGGAAGCCGGACACTTGTTGCGAAATTTCATCGAACCGTTCTTGAGACCACGCAACCGTGTCTAGCTTATTAATTGCGACGATCACTCGAGAGACGCCCATGCTGCGCAGTAGAAGAGAATGTTCCCTTGTCTGTCCCTTTAGCCCAGCTTCAAACGCGCCGGTTGTTGCGTCCACTACTAAGATTGCAAAATCTGCTTGACTCGCGCCGGCGATCATGTTGGGGATAAAATCTCGATGTCCAGGCGCATCTAGAATCGTGAACGATGTGTTTTCCGTCTCAAATTTATTTGTTGCGATGTCAATAGTTACGCCTCTCGATCGCTCCTCCGATCGTTGGTCCAGCACCCACGCAAGTGCAAACGAAGATTTCCCTATACTTTCGGCTTCTTTGCGATATTTCTGTATCGTTCTTTGGTCAACGACATTGAGGTCGAGCAACAGGCGCCCCATCAGAGTACTTTTACCAGCATCCACATGGCCTTGTCAAATTAGTATGAGTACCGACGCGCCGAGACTTATTTGCAATACTTACCAACGACTACGAAGCTTGCGTTCTTCTTCCTCTTAGTCTTCTCAAATTCCTTAAGCACGTTAACATTCTTGCTTTTGGGTAATGGAGTGTCAGGGATATTAAGGCCTTTCACACCGTCCGTAACCTCTTCGACTTTCCCTCTCGCGCTGGCCTTCTTCTTAGTCGTACTAGCAACAATCTTTTTACTACTTGCTGATCCCAAAGTATTAGTATTCTTACTTTACGACCTTCTTCGCTAAGAGCGAACCTTGGGACTGTGCTGCCAAGACTACATCATCGGGGCTTGGCGCTGAGAATGCGTCAGTTACTGATGAAGTCAAATTGATATAAGGAAACGGGTAAGTTCTCGGCACGGGATTAATAGATTTATTAATGGAGCCGAGAAGAGCCTGAGCGAAGGGAGATGGCACAGCAGCCTCAGATGGCACGGCTTGTTGTAAAGGGTTCGTAAATCCCGGTGACTTAGTTGGCCCGGTACTATTTCTTTCTGGCTGGCCTTGAACCTCGTCCTCCGCAACCTTTGGGCTTTTATATTCTGTCTGTTGGGATATACTGGCTACACTAGCACTTCTAAGCCCCATAGTTCCTCTCGATGTTGTCGCGGTCGGCCGCGCATTCTCTTTACTAGATTCAGGCTGCGTCGGAGTGGTAGAGAGGTTGCTTAGTTTCTGTGTTGCATCTTGTAATAGTTTCTCGTCCAATTTCCTATCTTCTGCTTTCTTCTTGCGAGCAGCAGCAAGTGCTTGAAGTTTAGAAACCTTGCCGTCTGTGCCAGCACCCCCCAGCAGTCCGCCTCGAGGCTGTGATGGTACGATGAATGTAGTTTCTCGGTCCTTTGGAATATTTAACCACGGCATGTCGCTAAAGAAGCCGGCAAATGAGACGTGTTGTGCACGTGGTTCACCTTCACCAACTCCAGTTTCGGTGTTAGCCAAACGACCAAGCTAGATTTCTGATATATTCACACTGAGACGCACCTGGGGTCATGAAATGCTGCTGCCCTATGGCCAAGACCTTCGCACAGGTGCTATGTTGGGTGGCTTGGTAGAACAATAGTAGAATAAGAAAATAGGTTACCTACCTCCTCCTTTCCTTTTGGTTGAAGGTGCGACATATTTAGTCATTATATAAGTCACAGATTTATCGACATCGTAATAGTAATGCCATAGCGCATCTTGGATTTGTTTGGTGGTAACCTTGGACGATTCGACACCGAGAGCGGTTCGAACTTGGGCAGTACCGACATTCATTTGTGCTTCATTGGCCTATTAGCAATAATAAATAGGATATTATATGTATAACTCATTTACCTTGATCCTCCGAGCTTAGTTCCTCTTCCTCATCTCCAAATTCGTCTGCTTCATATTCGTCGAGGTCATTCTCGTAGTCGTAATTACGATACGCTTGGTGGCGGGACATTGTGTCTATTAAAGAAGATTATAAGTCTTGAAAGAAGAAAAAAAAAAAAAGAAGAGAATATTGTTTCTTAGTGACTTTTGGGATATTTATAGAGAATTCCCATATTTATACCTTACCTAAGGTCTGGGCCAAAGGATGATAGAAGCTTTATTTTGAGTAAGTGAAAGTAACAAAAGAGGGGCAAGAGGGGTTTGCGTTTAGATAAGCTATTTTGTACATTGTACGAAGGTTGGGGCCAAAAGTTTCGCACATCTAAGCTTGGCAAGAAACGTGCGAACGAAAAGAATACTACATACACGGTCTTATTTAAATTATAGTAGCTGATGTCGCTATAAATATAGTGGTAAGTCACCTAAGTTTAGTGGACAGGCCACTATGTATCCGACCATTAGTTTAGCGTGTGGCTGATACAGTATCAATAAGTCAAATAAACGTATACATAGTGCCAAGATTTTGAACATGTGCAAGACTTTTGGCTCTAATTTTTTGTACCTATGTACCTAAAGCACCTACCTCCTACATGTAGGTACCTGGGTACTTAACAGTCTGGGTGGTACATAATGACGTAGTGAAGTGAGATACTTATACCTATTACCTAAGGCACCTAATATAATTTATGTACCACATCCATGTAAGCTGCTTTAGGTACATAGGTACCGAGGTAGGTTTTTATACATATATGAGGTACCTAATTGAGCCTCAGGCGTTTAGGTCGGTATCATTAACGCAACACTGGATTCCTTTTCTTCTACCTATCGGCAAAAAAGAAATAAAAAAAAATAAAATGAAATTAACAATGCTCTTCGCACCGCCTTGTTGTTCGTAATACATAAAACATTAAACAACTTCCATCCCTTTAGCATCTCATTTACATTTTTGCAGTCTCGCATTTGGAGCTTCATATTCCAAAGAGGAAGAGCATTGCGAAAATCAAGTAGAAGTTAAGCATAGCATAAAATAAAAATATTAGGTTATTTGCCATACGTCTCATGCATTGTACCTCAGCAAAGGAACCTTTCCCATCGAGTTGACTACTATTAATCTCATTCCACTCATATGACAAAATCCGATCCTGCTTTATCCTGCTTATCCTATAGATCAATCAAACTTTCTTCTATGGCAGGTTGTTGAGGTGTATGTTGGGGAACAGCAGGGAACGAGTCCTGTCTGTATCTTGAGTACCCCGCTCCGGTTGTCTGATATGCTTGAGGTGCTTGGTCCGCATGTTGTTGTTGTTGCCAATATGGCTGTTGCGCTTGTTGGTTGGGTGGCTGATAATGCTGTGGGGGGTGGGATGCTTGTGCAGGAATAGAGGCAGGTGTTGGGGGGATGGACTGCCCGGTATAACTTAAGCTGTGCTGAAGGTTTGGATACGGTGATGGTGATGCTTCTGGTGGTATACCCTGCGTGGTATGGTCAGTGCTCGACTGAGGGTTGTTATAATAATACGTCGCACTGGGGTCGGCCGCTGATGTCGCTACCGGCTCGGTGGCTCTGTTAAGAGGAGTTTGTGGGGAGGGGTGAGATACGTGACTAGGTTGAGGGGGAACGTCGTTGGGTGTGAAATTTGCTTGACTAGGATATTGGGCTGGTGCGGATGGTCCGTGTTGTTTTTGCCAACCCTCGTTTCCTTGCCCTGCATGATGCGGATATTGGTTGCTCGAGGGCGCCGATACCGACGCTCTCTTGTCATAGCTTGTAAGTTGTTGTGGCAGACCTGACTGGACATGTTGGAGGTACTGGTGGCTTGCAGACTTCCTACTTGGATCTGGAAGTGGATCGCCTGTATAGAAAATTTCTGCCGACGTAGAAGTTCTGGCGGTAGTAGATTCTATTGAGGGATATGGGCCGGTCTGTTGTACGGAGCTGGGTAAAGCATAGCTATTGATATTATGTTGGCTGTAAGCTTTTGAAAGGCGTTCCTCTAGCATTCTATCGTAATAGCGAACAACAGTGGACAGCTTAGCATGTAGGTCGAGCAGGGTATCTGAATTTTGCGATTAGCTGGAGGTGGCATCTAAAACCTTTACAAGATCACTCACCATGCTTGCTCATCGTTTCGCCGTATGTGCGCGCTAGTTTTGGTCGCAACGTCCCGATAGAATCATAAAGCTCCTGAATCTGCGGCTCCCTCAGTATCGTACCCGGGGGCTGCGTCTGCAACCTGTCGACTAACGTGGAGAAAAGGTTGATGTTTTCGGCCTCGACTGGAGTGAGCTCGTAATCATTCTTGGGCAACGCGAATGAAGTAGCTGATATGTTTTCGACCTTATTTGTCTGCTGTTTCAAGGCAGCGGAGTGCTTTTGCTTTTGCTCTTCCATGTCTGCCAGAGATGCCGCGATGGCAGCCTTCAAGTCTTCATCCTCCTCCTCGGCTGCAGGTGCAACTACTGGTGTGGATGAGTGATCGCTGGCCTTCGCATATGATTGTCGAGGGGTGTTATCTGTTGGGGGGACATAGCCCTTGGAATGACTTTGGACTTCCTCTAGACTCATTGCCAAGGCCTTCTTAAGGTCTTCGTCGAAGGCGTCGTCAACTCTAGCATTTCGAGGTAACATAGTGGACGAACTACGGTTTTTATGAGGAAACGAAGGGCTTGTGGGAGAGCGCTCCTGTCTCCCGAAGCTACTTTTAGTAGATCTATCTGTTAGTTTGGCATAGCAGCCATCGTCAACCCGCACAGGTTGTAAGATACCTAAATGCGGCAGAGGAAGCGTCTTGGTAGAACATTGTTGGTCGAAACAATTGCCACAATTCCGACAATGATGTTTACGGTTCGTGAAGGTAAATGGGGTCCGACACCGCATACAGACATCGGAGTCGGTCCATTCTGGGGGCTATCATAATCCAGTTAGTCCTGTCTTATCCACGAGCGGTGTGTGTATAAGAGCACTTCATAATATACAATACATACGGCGCTACTGTCGATCATACTGCTCGCTACGGTTGTTCGAGGAGGAAATTGGAACCCCTCTCGTTGTAAGGCTCTGTAGGTTTCCTCAATATATTTTAGGTCATAGCGACCTTCGGTAGCGGCGGCCCAGGACTGTATTAACTCTAATATCTTGGCTCGGACTTCGATATTAACTTCGGCGGGGCCAACTGCATGGAGAAGAGATACTAAATTATCCATAAACTCTCGCGAAGCAATCTCGACGAGGAAATGCGAGCCACCGTTCTTGACACAAGTGTCCGTCAACTACGCCACATGTCAGCATGATAAGAGAAGCGCATGGGAATCTATAGAACCGAGGGAAGCGTTCGTACGTTTAGCGCGCTCAGCTGGGTATTGGGATTCTTGTTGCCGATGCGACGCTTCAGGGAGCGCATAGCTTCTTTAGGTTGGACCGTCTTGGATCTAATAACATCGGAGATCTCGAGGTTCAGAGGAATATCCTCCCTAGATTATTAGATGGTACATTAGTAATCTAATGAAGCATTGGTAGAATAATTATTAGAATAATTAGTAGAATAGACATACAGACTACTTCCGGTTGCTTTATCAATCTGTTCGTCCAAGGCACTGTTGGCCGAGGACGACCACCAACCTCCCATCATGATGCGCGAGAGATTCAGGGGAGATATGAGGTACGATTCGGAAGTGATTATTACTTTCCAGAGGCGATATATGGTATGATATGGTATGAAACTAGACTGTTAACCTGTTTGCCTGATTATGGGAGAATTGCGTGTGTACACATCGGTGATGTCTATTGATATTGTGTATGCCTAGGTGTGTACGTGGTGTATGTAGAGAGTGTAAATATTCCAGTAATGTACATAAGGCTGCGATTACGTACCATTACAATATCAACCCACTACCTAGGCACCTAGGTATGTACATGTAGTGTTAGGTACCTAAGGCTGCCGCAGATGTAAAAACGAGGAAAGCTTATAATTATATGTACCCATGTATAGATACATATCATACCTATGCGTACTCCAATACATTTTGTTAGGTACATAAGGTACATCAAATATATACTTAGGTACCTAATACACGCATGGTAGGTAGAAGTACCTAGGTATCTAAGGTCCATCTAGGTAGGTACATGTAGGTATATCAATCACCGAGTTTCCGCTCAAAGATATAAGTACATTATAACTACCTACGCATTATTTCGCATCAACTCAACATCAACGACGCCTTCATACAAACACATTTATAAGGACATGTTATATACCTACACACGAAATCAACCAGTCAGCCGACACGTCACGCCCTTCTATTCATATATATACTCCTAAAAATGCAGACAATTTAATTTTGCTATTGTGCATTTAATATCTTTCTTTATTATTATTTTTATTCACTTCTTTTATTGTTCAAGTTCTTTCAACATTCCGTTCTCGTCCCACTCCCACTTTTTCAACCTCCAGTGTTGCGCCGTTCACAGATCCGGCTCTTTTTCAAAAGAATGCCACCCCATTCCAGTCCTCACCCTCAGAACAGTTGTGGTACATAAAGTTCTCCTCTCCGACTACCCCCACTTTGCCATGTTTCTCGCCGTCTAGGATTCAATTTGCACATATTCGGTATCGTACTGATGAAAACATGAATTCTGTAACGTTCACAAGGGCTTCGATTGCTCCAGTAGTTGGCATGAATAGCACGATGTCTTCTAATACAAGTAATGATCACCGGACGCCTGCGAAGGAAGCCAGTATGAATATGTTTAATGGTAGCTCGGGTACAGGAAAACTGCCATATCGCCACATAGATGATTTGGTATCGGTTGGCGTCGACCTCGACCCTCATACCCCCCTACGAAAGATCCTCGAGCTTGGAGATGCCCATATGCGACAGGCAACAACCTATAGCGATTTCCGCCGACCTGATCTAGCTTTGCAGGAGTACATCAAAGCATTTACAATCGCTGTCGATAAAGTACCCAAACACAAAGATTATCCCTCTATGAGTTCGGACCGCGGAGACTTGAACCGCTTATACAAGGCCCTCAAGATGAAAATAAATACCAATGGAGCTACTTTCGACAAGGTTAAGGAGGAAATCAAAGAGGATAATAGGCGGAGTGGTGTGCAGCCAACAATATCTTCTAAGCGTCCCTCGGAACTCGCCCGCTTAGACTGGCCCGGCCCATCTTCGACGCTGCAGCAGGTTCAGGCGAACTATTCTATAGGCCCCCAAAATAATGGACTTAATGAAGTAGAAGCTCTAAATAGAGTTGATATTACAGACAATGCTGGCGGCAATGCGACTGGGGGACGTAAGCCAAAGCCAACTATACTACCAAAGCCACAAGCATTGCATGGAAAAGCTATTAAGCAAGCCCCAAAGGACGCCCCCGAAGATCTTGCAAATAGATTTGCGCGGTTGCGTGATACTCAAAAGCCTCGAAATACCACTAAAGCGCTCGACCAGGCCCAATCGGCCGGCACTGAAGAGTCCACCCCAAACCAGACGTTAACTTCAGTTGATACATCTATATTAATGATGCCAAAGCTTCCGGAAGCCATCTATAGTCCAGCGAGAGGTACCGTAACCAGCGAGATCGCTAACCTCCCATCCAGCACTCCTCGTGGTATGTTCAGTAGGACAAATTCGATCACCTCGACCCCCAGTGTCTCAGCTCGCATATCGACGGAAAACGCCATCAGAGCCTTTAGCAAAGAACAGTTTGTGGCGGCCCATTCTTATCGGGTCCCCCAAACCTCAGGTACGCCAACGGAATTTCAAATTCCAGACGGTGACGACATCACAGCCGAAACACTTGCAGGTCTCATAAACCAGTACCCACAGATTGACGTTTTGGTAATTGATGTTCGGGATCGTGAGTCTTTTGATGAGGGGCATATCAAATCAGCCAAGACGATTTGTATCGAGCCTGAGATTCTTATGCGAGAGAACATATCCGCAGATGAGCTTGCTGATAGCATGGTTCTTGCCCCTTCAAGTGAGAGGCTCGCGGTTGAGCAACGTGACAAGGTTGACTTGGTGGTTATCTATGATCAGAATAGCGCTTCAATATCGTCTAGGATAACTGGAAATTCTTTAGAAATGGTCCTGTACAATATCCGACAAGCCCTGTCGTACTATAGCTATAGCCGACCGCTCAAACGCGCCCCAAAGCTGCTAAGCGGTGGTCTTGACTCGTGGGTGGACGAATTTGGGGAGCAATCTCTTGAGAGTTCTGAGACTGTGTCAAACTACGTGTCTTCAAGCGCGGCTTCGAGGCGAAGGTACGGCGACAGAAGACGAACCCCCAAGACCAAGGACCTTGATCAAGATGAGATTCATCGATTCGAGGAAATAATAAAAAGTGACCAGATAGGACTTGACAATTTCGACTATGTCAAAACAAGGGAAGACTTTATCCGTCGTTATCCTAGTATAACGGGCGACCCCGAATCTATGACTTCTATCAAGGAGGACTTGGATTCGCAGGAAGACTTCCTGGCCAGCATAGCTCCCACTCCCCCTAAGCTACCGGCACCTGCAATCCCAAGAACTAGGTATAGTGGCTTAGAATCTAAGGATGACGACTCGGGTATTGGTGGTATTGCCATGACAGTACAATCAAGACCCGCACGACGGTTAGAGCTTGGCCAATACGTGTCTGGACTCAGGAACCTTGGAAGTACATGCTACTGTAATTCAACCCTACAGGTATTACTTGCTTCACCTGGGTTCGCCACCGGTATACTCGAAGATGAATTTCCTCAGCTTTGGCGTGAAGCACGCGAAGAAACGGGCAATAATGAGCCTGCTTCAGCACAGCTACTGTCCAAGCTTTTAAAAATGACCTTGGCATGGATGGCCAAGAAGCGGATGGACATAGTGACGCCTAATGCACTTCTGGTACGTATTCCCCTACCTATTTACCATTACCTTAGGTACTTTCTTGCTCACGTATATACAAGCAATATATGCGTTCTGTCCACGTAGGATACGGCGTTGAGTATGGCAGGATTATCAAGCTAGGCGATCAGAACCAACATGATGTCGATGAGCTGTATGCTTTCATGTTTGAACAAATCGCAGCTGAAACAAGTGTGAGCCGCCGTTTCCTCACTGCCTTACGTAGTGTCAAGGTACCGGAGGGGACCGGCCCAGTTGTTAAAGCAATGGTGAATCATTATAAAAAACAGTGGGAGGATCCAATTACTAACCCTCAAAACTTTATTGATGCCCATTGGTCGGCGTTTGAAGTGATGGAACGAACATGCGTTACATGTGGCTCCATTTCGTATCGGCGAGATGCAGTCCGTTTCTTCCCATTGTCACCTGAGATTCCAGGACGTCGAGGACGTCGATCGGTTCACCTTGAAGACATGTTTGAAAAAGAGTTTGGTTCCGAATACGTCGAGGTGGACTGTGACAAATGTAAGGAATTAAAGCACCCTCAAAGAGGCGGTAATCGTATAATCAAAATGGCAAAGTTGCCTCGCTTGATGCGCGTATATATAAGAAGACAGGGGAAAGACTTTATCCGAAAAACTCACGTTCATGTCACCTTCCCCCTTGAGCTTAACTTACAGCGTTGGAGCTGGGATCCGGAGCAGCGAGAAGAGGCGGCTGCAATTCTAGGTCCCAATTTTAACGACGGCTTCGAAGCTCCTGCTCAGTACGAGCTCTACGCCATCCAAGTACATATTGGCGAAAACCCCACCTCAGGTCACTACTGGTGCTGGATTAAGGCCCCGCAGGAAGACACATGGATTAAATGTAACGACACGGCCATAACGGCGTACTCCGGGAAAGCGTGGCAGCAGCAGCTCAATAGGATGTACAGATGCTACAACAACGAAACACCCGTCCATATATACTATAAACGCGTAGATGTTCCTTACCCTTGGGAGGAGGAAGAGTGGGGATACGACAATCCTGAGGTTGCCTGAACAATTGTGGTTTCTGAAATATTAAAAATTATAAGATGCAAATCACGCGGTGTCGTCTCAACGAGAATACCCCTGCTATAAGCGATACGTTAAAGAGCGGCTCTGAATACTCGGATCGGTATATGTCACGGGTTAAATATACGGCACTCTTTTCCCTCTGCCTTACTTAAAGAGGTGGATAGACGATCTTGGAAGGACGTTGTTGAGGGGGTTTAGTAGATGGATGCTTACATTGTGTCTGGCAGCACGGCGTTGTGGAGGGAACGCTATATAGGTACTGAGGTCTTATATTCCTATTTATTTATTTTACCTTCCTTACCAATCTTCTCCGTCTTTCGTTTGCCGACTTTGACTTTGGTTAACTATGCTATATGTGTTATATGTAGAGGTGTGATTAAATACATTGTATATGAATTAATAAATAAATTTCATTATCATCTTATATCAATAAATCAAGAATTGTAAATTAACCTCGCTCCGATAGTCTTTCGTATACTACTATCTGTTTATCTATCTGCCTTGGTAACATATACTTAAGAGTAATAGGGCTATGGTTACTAATATTTAGATATATCCAATACTAACCATGGTTATAAGACTCCTTTCACATGCAAGCTCGGGACCCGAGGATCCAGATAAACTCAACAAAAGGAATCGACTAAACGAATACGCATTCTTGGCCAACCTCAACGTTTCTTACCATATATATATATATCTACCTCCTATTACCTAGTTATCTAACCTAACCTAACCTAATACCTGTCCAGTTGACTAATCCTACGATTCCTCAACCGATAATTTCACATATAATAAATCAATAAATCACCATTAAAAAACCATGGAAAAAATATCATTAACTCTACGTAAAGATACCTAATCCTCCCTGCGTGTATAACCCGAGTGAGCAAAAACAAAAAGCAACACGCCATACGGAATACAAGGAGTATAACTAATTCTACACCGACCCGTTTCCAACTCGCCGAAGAGCCAGCCAGCCAGATAGCAACTTACATAACGCCTAGAAACAAACAGACGCAGATTACGTTAATACGATACAACACATTACGAAGTGCGCTTAAAGCACTCTTGGATTTCTTTCTTGTAGGCATCCTTGAGCGCCCTCCGGTTCACCTTTTGCGTTGCTGTAACGAGGCCCTGTTATATCTGTTAGCGCTAATCCTAGGTTTGGGGTGGAATAAGAGGAGACGGAATGTGGTCGAAACTTACACTTGCGGGCGTCCATTCCTCATCGACTATTACGACGCCAACGATCATTTCCAGTCCGGTCAAGCCAGCCTTCTTGCCCACTGCGATTAAGTCCTTGTGGACCGCTTCCAAAATCTTGGGATCGTTATGAACGTGGGCATGGTCAACATCTAATTTCTTCGCCAGGTCGTTTAGGGGCTTCTCGTTGGGGCTGATGACGGCAATGGCGCGAGGGTTCTCGCCGTCGCCGTATACCATGACGTTGTGGACGTATTCGCTACCGCGGTAGACGGCCTCGAGCTTTTCGAGCGCAATGTACTCACCACCCTGCATCTTGACCAGGTTTTTGACGCGGTCGATGATCTTGACGTGGCCTACCGAGTTGAACTCGCCGATATCTCCTGTCCGGAACCACCCATCCGATGTAAACGCCTTCGCGGTCTCATCGGGGTTCTTATAGTACTCCTTGCAGACTGGAACTCCCCGCAGCAGAATTTCACCTTGTGGAGGATTACTCTTTGCGTCGTATCCTAGATCAGGTATACTGACGAGCTTGATCTCAAGTGATGCAGGAACGGGGCCGATGGCATCCCGAGTCCATTGCAACGGGTTACCTAGGGCACCATTGGCAGCTGTTTCCGTAAGACCATATCCCGTAATCATTGGTGCAAGCACCAAGCTTACGAACTGCCTTGTGCCATCCGAAATACCGCTGGCACCATTGAAGAGGAATCTTACCCTTCCGCCTGTCATTTCACGGACTTTCTTGAATACTATAGCATCAAGTAAGCCACTCCCAGGCAGGCCGGTTGCCACAAGTAAGCTCTTGAGATTGTAAGCACCCCAGAAAAGATTCTTAGTTAAAGCACCACCAGAGTTAACTTTGGCTTCGATACCTTTCCTGATGGTCTCCCATATCTGGGGTACACCAACCATGACGGTAGGTGCAAGCTCTCGCATGTCCCCAGCACAGTTGCGCATAGAGGAGTCGGCTAGCGTGCGTGGGGATCCGTAGCCTAATGTACCTCCAACAAACATTACTAAATTCTCCACAGCTACCTCCAAGATGTGAGCCAGGGGGAGATACGCGAGTATGACGTCGCGGTGCGAAACAGTCTCGGCGACAATAGTCCATAAGCCGGTGATACCCGCAACAACTCCTTCGTGGGTAAGAGGGACACCTTTGGGAGTTCCAGAGGAACCAGAAGTGTACATGATACAGCACATATCGGTAGGTTTCGGCGGTACGGGGTCTATAGGGTTCTCCTCGCCGAGGGTAATTAGGTCAGAGTAGGAGATGATGGTAAGGTGAGAATTTGAGGTTTTGAAGTCGGCCATCTCCTTGTCAGAGATGGGGATGTTGGTCGAGTCATTGTAAATCAAGTACTTGACATCTTTTGCATTCTTCAAAGGGCGGCTGGCAACTTTGAATAGGTGGGGGTCGGTATACATAGCCTTCGCATTCGTTTGCGTGAGGGAGTATTCGACAGCATCCGAGCCGAGAGTATCGTATGCGGTTGCGATTGTGATGGATTGCGAAGCGCAGGCGTGAGCCGTGCATTGCCAGTTGGCGCTGTATGAATAGTTAGCCTTTGACTATTATTTACAATTTTACAATAAAGGGGATACCCCGTACCTCGTCGCCGCAAAGATATGTAACACGTCACCAGTCTCGAGCCCCAGCTTCTTCAAACCCGCGCCTACGTTTAGAGCTCGAGTCTTGTACTCATTATAAGTCAAGAATGTGTATGGAGTTAACTCGAAGTAAGTCCATTGTTTATCAACTTCGGTCTTGACCCCATCAACAATTTTTGGTACTTTCTTGGTCTCGGTGTGCGTCTTGATAAGTTTACGAGAACCTATGGCCGCTTTGTCGCCGTATTTTTTCGCAGTCTCGATTAATATGTCATAAGTAGTGGTGATGTGAGATTCGGGGCGTGTGATAAGGCCGTCCTTCGCCTTGACATGCCTGAATGGCTTCGTTTCTCCTTCAACTTCTTCGGCCTCAGGTGATTCGACCATGTAAGGGGGTTTCTGGACACTGTAGAGCGGAAGCACGCCCTCAAATTGAGTTGGAAGGGACATGATTTAGATACTAAGGTAGTAGGATATAGGGTGTAGCTGATGTCAAGTGTATTATGTAGAGGACAGGGATATAGCGTTGGTTCTTGAACCGGAAGGAGAGTAAAGTTGGAGATCAAAACTAAGTTTGGAGTCGAAGCTTGGGGGAGCTGTGTGTAGAAATGTAGAGGTAGCTGCAGCTTAATATTTCAATGTAGAATTTAAATTTATTTAGGTTAGATACGTTAAGTACCACCTATGCAGGTAGGTTTTAAGTTAGCAAGGCAACAAAAACGTCAGCGGGGCAATCCACTTGGCCAAATACCAGCAACTCAGCTAATTTTCAGGTACTTGTGGGGCTATGGGTTCCACCTGTTGGGGTATAAATGAATAGGCTAATTCTTTATTAAGAGATGCCGAGGATTATATTTTTGATCTATGTGGGTATCGAAAATGACGTTCCGCGGCGTATCTAGAATTAGAAGTTGAGAATATGATATTTTATATTTCTATGGGTATCATATGGATCTTGCTGGTGACTATGCACATTAATGATATTAATGCGAAGGGGTATTTGGTGTGTCCGGGTCGTCCGTGCCTCGGCTCGTGAAAATTGATATTATGCGTAATCACCTAGGTTAGGTCAAATGATGGTAGTTTGCTTCGTTTGAGGTTCTTACATTCTTACATATTACGGCCGAGTATAAGGGGCCGAGATATTAAAATTTTCTTGATTGTTACTGCGGTATAACATCAGACCTTGTTCGCAAAGGTTGCGTACATATGTAGAATCACTAATATCACAAATATGTGATGTAATTATTATTTATGAGATTACCAACGGGTAAAAAGATAGGGGATTTTGTTGATTAGAGACGTGTATGGTATGTACCTCTTAATGTAGGACAACGGGCCACTACGAAGAGGATCATATGCATGTAGGTATATCAGCGATTAGCACTGCGATAGGAGAAGCTCAGTTATAGTTTTGTAGGATAAGATTTACCATGATAAGATAAAAGCTCTGGAAGAATTATATTACCTAAGGTACATGTATCTATGTACCTATGTAGGTAGGTACTTGTACTTTTTCAAGTACATACCTCCATAATGCGCCACCTGCCACCTGCCACCTGCAACCTGCAGTGCCCAACAGTGGACGTCGGCGCTGTCAATTTTCCGATCTAGAAGAATGTGGGGCTAGATCTTTTAGAATTTCAGAATTTCGAGATAGGTACAATACTTCAATCCCGTCCCACTAGACAAGGCAGAACTCTACATACCAACTTGACGACTCCATACAACATACAACCGTGTATATTGTCAAAACTTAGTAGAGAAGCTACAAACTGCCGGGATATTTTTCATTACAGTATAGAAAGCTCTCCTGAGCTATAGAAACCAGCAACATGGCGTTAAGTATGCAATCAATAACCCCGCCATGACTTGAAATAATTTACTAATATTTTCTACCTTTAGATCTCGACCTCCAGAATGGTATGCTAAACAATATTATCTATGGCAAATATATTTATTAGTTACTAATATATATCATATATAGCTTCTGTTATAAAAGATGAACAGGGGCGACCTTTCATCATTGTTAGAGAGTGAGTATCAAAAGTTTTACTGTCTATATTGATACAGTTACCTATACAGTAAACCTAACCTCCTTTACTTAGTCAAGGCAAGAAGAAGCGCCAGTATGGAAACGAAGCAGTCAAATCGCATATCCTCGCCGCTCGAACCGTTGCAAATATCGTCAAGACCTCTTTAGGTCCTCGCGGCCTCGACAAGATCTTAATTTCGCCCGATGGAGATATCACGGTGACCAACGATGGAGCTACCATTTTACAGCAGATGGAGATCTCGAACCACGTTGCGAAGCTCCTCGTCGAATTATCTAAGTCTCAAGATGATGAGATTGGTGATGGTACGACCGGTGTTGTTGTTCTAGCCGGGGCTCTCTTAGAACAGGCCGCCGAACTTATAGACAAGGGAATCCATCCCATTCGAATAGCAGACGGTTACGACCAAGCCTGTGATATCGCAGTAGCCGAGTTAGACCGGATATCAGATATTATCGAGTTCAGCCGGGAATCAACAGAGAACCTAGTTAAAGTAGCTCGGACAAGTTTAGGCAGCAAAATTGTCTCCAAGGCTCACGACCAGTTCGCCAACATTGCCGTAGACGCCGTTCTCTCCGTCGCTGACCTCGACCGAAAAGATGTCGACTTCGAGTTGATCAAGGTGGATGGAAAGGTTGGTGGCGCGTTGGAAGATACCATTCTAGTTAAGGGTGTAATTGTCGACAAGGACTTCTCACATCCCCAAATGCCATCGGAAGTCAGAGATGCCAAGATCGCCATTCTCACCTGTGCGTTTGAGCCACCGAAGCCCAAGACCAAGCATAAGTTAGAGATCACCTCAGTAGAGGAGTTCAAGAAGCTACAAAATTACGAGCGGGAAAAGTTCATCGAGATGATCCAACAGATCAAAGATACCGGAGCTAATCTGGCTATCTGCCAGTGGGGTTTCGACGACGAAGCTAACCACTTATTACTACAGAACGAATTACCCGCGGTAAGATGGGTAGGTGGCCCAGAGATCGAACTTATTGCCATTGCTACGAATGGCAGGATAGTACCTCGATTTGAGGACCTGAAGGCAGAGAAGCTAGGCAAAGCCGGTATTGTGCGAGAGATGACGTTTGGTACTACAAGAGAAAAGATGCTAGTGATCGAGGAGTGCGCCAACACAAGAGCCGTGACGGTGTTTGTCCGAGGAAGCAACAAGATGGTAACTTTATCTTCACCCCTTTTTAAAGCACAACCTTAACTAACCCACTACTAGATCATCGACGAAGCCCGACGGTCTCTTCATGATGCTCTCTGCGTTGTACGAAACCTAGTCCGCGACAACCGTGTCGTGTACGGGGGTGGTGCCGCTGAAATCGCTTGCTCGCTCGCGGTCGAGGACGCAGCTGTCAAGACGCCCGGGTTAGAGCAGTACGCGATGCGGGCGTTCGCCGAGGCGCTAGACGCAGTGCCGATGGCGCTCGCAGAGAACAGTGGATTAAACCCCATCGCGACGCTTGCTGAGGTCAAGTCCCAGCAAGTTAAGGCCGGCCCCGAGGGCCGCGGCAGACTTGGTGTCGACTGTATGAACGGCGGCAGCAACGACATGAAGCAGGCCTTTGTCATCGATCCTCTCATCGGCAAGCGCCAGCAGCTTATGCTTGCTACGCAGCTGTGCCGTATGGTACTCAAGGTCAACAACGTTATTGTTAGCGGCTCTGGGGACCAGGACTACTAGGTGGTAGGATGAAACTTATTCCTTCGCTCTATCTGCCTATCTGCGTTAGTCTAAATCTTGACGTGCTGCATTGGTAATGCTCGTGTTCTCGCGGGGGAGAAAGTGGCGTGGCATGTCGGTAAGGTTATAGATACCTAAGAATGGTGGGTGCGTGCATTTATGTATGTAGGTATATGGAATGGCAGTTGAAGGGCTTAAAATCAAAAGAGTCACGATACCTTACCTTACCTACCCCTATCTAGTAGAGAGCCGAGACAAGAATAAGAAGAAAAAAATTTGCCGCCTCAGAATAGTTTATATATGTGCACTTGGGTATATCGTATCTTCCTCTCCGGGACATGTTATCCATCTATCCATCCATCCATCCATTCATTAGGCACGCGCAGTGCTAAGAAGATAAGGTATTCATGTGTATATAGGGTATGAACCCGAAAACGACCGCTCCAAATTTTTATTGCACGAACGCTAAAAACGACAGATACCCTACTTACTATATATATATACTGGAGGCAAGCAGTGCCCGGGGAGGTAGGTAGGCGAAAAAAAGGCACGAGTGAGTCGGTGGGTTGATAAAAAGCAGTCCCCTAAACCCCCAATGTCCCCTGGTAATCCATCATACTCCGACCCCGAGGTAAATAAATAGTATAACGGCCTGTGTAATGTGTAATGTGTAGTGTATAATAGGCGATGGAAGTGGGTAGGTGATATCCCGTCCTCCATGTCCTACTTATAACCGAGGACCTTTTTTTCCTTCCTATACGCCCCCCGGCCCCCTCATATATACTTCAAAAGAGACAGTTTCTTACTTATACCTTCGCCTTGATTTTAATTTCTTTTTCTTTTTTAGGTTGTTCGGGCTTACATGTGTACTTTCAATCCTCCTTATAGCATTTCCAATCGGTCGGTTGGAAGTACACTACACCGCTGTCAATACTACCCCATTGGATATCCTTATTTGGCCTATGATGCAATACCATGCCATAAAGCTACACGGCGCGGTTTACGCGAATCCGAACCCTTGAGCGTTCTCAAGCGCCATGGATAGACGTTCTCGGAGCACCTCTTTGTCACGGTACTCTGGGAGCAAAAGGGTACCGTAGCACGTATATGCGGTGGGTAGGTGGCCGCCCTCGCCTTCCTCCTCGCCGTTCTTCTGGACTACGAACTGGATGTTGGCCATACCGCCGACGGGCACGCGGTCACTAGCAGTGACAAACTCGAGCAGCTTGCGGCGCATCCGGCTGTCGTATCTCTTAATAATGGACCAGAAGTCGCGCACGGTACGATGCGATGCGTCCCAGCCAACGTATCGTGCCGCGCGGCGAAGCTCCCCGACGTCGATCTCTTGTGTACCTTCTGCGAGATTTTGTAATAGTGATGGCGTTAAGAGTTGTAGGGACTTTGGATGTAGACAAGCTCGGAAACCACGGGCAAAGGCGTTGAATTGAGGAGCGACCGAGACGTCGGTTAGGTATCGGATGTAGTCGCTCACATAAGCGTTACGATTATCGCCTGTAACTAGCGGTGCATCGCTCGGGTTAGATGCCGAGAGGGGAGTAGATTCTGGATGACTGGAGAATTGTGGCCAGGATATCGAATTCGACGACTCCATTTCGCGTGAGACGGGCTGGCCAAACATGGACGTGGAAAATTCGTAAGTCAGAACGAAGACATCCTCTATAGAGCCATCCTTCTCATTCCATTCAAGAATGTTGGTTAATCCATTGGCGAGGTCCGGCCACCCATCAGCGATATGGTGTAGCTCTGTGACAGGCTCACCTAGAAGCTTGCGGTATAGGGCTTTTGGGAACGTTATTGGAAGAGTTAGTCCGTTATAAACGGCTAGCGACATAAGCAGTCCGATTAGTTCGAATTTCCACTCCGGTTGGGCAGAACCGGGCTGGAACCACGTCATTCGTGTCCTATCGTCGATGACGAAGGCGCCGTAAGTAGGATCTAAAGCCTCGGCAATGGCGAGACGAAAGAATTCCTGTTGTACACCACCAGAGTCGAACCCTTCTTCTCCACTGTCTTCTCCGAGATGAACCTTTAATGGCCTCATTAGTTCGCGCTCTTGCCGTCGCCAGAGTTGGTCGAAAGCATCTCTGAGCACGTTTTTACGGCTGATATCAAGGATTAGATATTTGGATGATGGGATCTTCAACAGATCTTGGAGTACGTTCTTTTGGTGCGACTCTGTGACGAGGCTGTCAGGGGCAATGATGGCATTGATTCGATTTTGCAACGAAGTGGACTCTTCGTAGGAACGACTCATCCGCGAGAAGTTAATAGCCCTGAAGTATGAAACCAACGACGTAGGATTGAAAATATACGGATAATCCAATATATGAACCTTTTGCCTAGTCGAGGTAAAGGATAGCCATGAAACCGGCATCTGAATAGGATCGAGACGATCGCCAAAATATTCGGCGCGGAAATGTACATCACCTAGGAGGAGAGATTGGCGCTTCTGATCTACTCGAATGTCAGTTCAAAATTCTTATGAAATCACACGGGAATACTAACACATAGCTGTCATCAGCGAGAGGGCACCACCAAAGGGGCCATCCCCAGAAATATCTGGCTTGCCCTCCCATTCATGAAGCATCACGGCTCTTGCCCAATCCAAAAGCAAAACCGGAACTCGTTTTTCGTGCATGCTTCGCTCAGCTTTTGAAAAATGTAACGTTGACTGGGTAGAAGACTCGAGGTGCAATAATAATAACTCAACGACATCGGGTTCTTTAACTCCATCCTCCTTATCTAAGTCTAGTTCAATCAACTCGTCGAAGTATCGGCGTGTCGGGATCACCCTAAGTAACCTCCTTGCTAACCGAAGAGCCATGCTATCTGTGAAGGCGTCTTCATATTGTAAACATAAAGAAGATGGCTGCCTCGCAACTGTACCGCCACCAGCGAGCGATAGTCCGTGGGCTCTAATACGGGACATGTCATTTAATTGTCTCGAATCGTTTACTAATGGTGCCGCAGCGACCAGAGCGTGAAAGCATACAGACATGAGCGATGCAGCCTCCACGTTAGTAAATGACTTTTTAACGCCAAGGAACATCTTTGAAGTCGGCGATCTCATAGATTGTAAGGTCTTCGGCGGCGCAAAGAGAGCCGCCAGGGCAGTCCAGAGGCTGTCGAAGACGAGGTTGGGTGCTACTCTTGTCAAGCGCAACATGCAGTACCATAGTGTTTGTGAGTCAATAGTTCCATTGGCGCTGGTGAACGAGTCCAATACGGCCTGAGGGTCACTCAGGACATGAAATATACTCTGTTCAACAAACAGCTTCCATTGTAACTTGAGATCTTGCGGATAAGAGGCTTGGGATTTCCTTTTCCTCTTCCAAGGCTTGAGCCGATTTGACGACCGTCTAGTAGATTCATCAATGGTTGGTGGCTCTAGGAGATGCCTCTCAGAGGTAGTATCTTCTTGTAAAACGTCGCATATGAAATTGATTGCTTGTACGTTGAAGCGTGATAGCGATTGTGGTAAGTAGCAATCCAGCTCAGACGTTGGATCTGTCTTGCCAGTAGTTTCCAGAGCGTCTAGAGCGTCTTGAGAGTCATCAAGTGGGTCTAGAGACTGCGTAGTCTCTGCACTACTTGATGTCTCTTCGCCATTGATTCCATCCGATTGAAAGCAATGCTCATCTATATGGGTGTGAGGACTGGGAGGCCCTACAATTTCCCTTTCCGGTAATGTGTGAACATCGCTCTCTATAACCTGAGATGTAGGTCGCGCTATAGCTGGCGGAGGTCGAATCAGTCCTTTAGATACTTTCTCTGGCTGGGTAGGAATGCTAGGCGATATAAGCCCTGTTTCGTCTACGATAGAGTCGACTGGAGGCTCGGGCACAACTTTAGTCTGGGGCTTAGAAACGGAGGATGGACGAATCCGGGTATTAGAAGTCCTCCTTTGATGTGGTGGGAGGGTTTGAGGACTGGAGTTAGAAACTGGCGAGCGCTCAGAATGCACTCGTTGGTAGAATCCGGTAACCTCGTTCTTAGGTGAGAGTGCTCGTGTAGTATATCGATGAACCTCAGAAGCCCCCCTAGGGCCGACTTCGTTCTCTGATTCGGGTCTAGAGGGAGTAGACGTTGGGCTAGTCCTTCCGCTCTGGCTTCCTAATTGAGATACGGGTTCTCGAAACCGTTCAATAGACTCTAGTGTATTATCTACGGCCGTGACTCTCTTCGACATACTTTCTATATTATTCGGTGTCAACCACTCCAACATCTTAAACGCGACAGATCCAAACACATTGGCAGCGAATGAGCGGTAATCTTTGCTGATCGACTTTTCAGTAATATGTATTCCATCCATACCATTCAGTTGTGACGATGGCTCGGTCTTTGTTGCTTCAACTTCGGGAGGCCTATTAAGGTACTGGCTAGTCTCCTTCCAATTCATCTGTGCAGATGGCGAGGAACTTGCTATCGGCGATTGTCCCCTTTTCAACGCTACTCGGCCTGGAGCTCCCTTGGTAGATTTGAGCTTGGGCCCTAGGCCCGTGTAAGCCGGGCCGCTTGCATCGTTAGAAGATGCCGCACGCTTTAGGCCAAATATGAGTGGTTTTATAGCATCGCTAGGACCGGTTGGGGGATGTAAATGAGGGCAGAGTCGACTATCGGCATCATCCTGGCTTGCCATGAATATGGCTAGAGTCCTTGCACTGGTAGGATTATATCGGCGAATCGGGGCTTTACCAGCCAGTCGTTTTCGGCAACTAAAACATGATGGGGTAGTACAGGCACTGAAGCCGCATCCGTAACGCAGTTGGGCTATGAACCTATAGCAAGTTAGCTGAGTAGGTAGTTAATTGGAGAATATGCGCAGTATTATACGACTTACTTCTCGACTAGTAACTGGAGATCATGACGACGACTGGCGCGATAGATAGCGTAAACCCTCTTAGGATTCTCTACATTGATAACGAGTTCTTTGATCTCGGATGGCGCATCTGCGGGTAACCGCGGAAAGGGGACTTGTTCCCAAAGAGCAGCTATGATATCAACCTCGAAGACATTGTGGCCAGGACCATCGTCCGCTGGCCGATTTACTTCCCGCGTCATGACATATGGTATAGACAAGCCTCCCTGTATAGGAAGCAAAAAGTCGGATCGTAGTAGGAGTAGGTGTATATTTCAATAGTAGAAGCTCGATAGCGGGGTGAGATTTATTGAGGTCGCGAAAGCCGATAGTAGGATTTAATCGAAGGCGTTAAATGTTGGAAAGTATTGTACAGGGAGGAAATTAGGAAGGATAGATTAGGTATGTAGGAAGGATGGAAGTAAGTACTAAGGTAGGTATGATCGCGCAATCCTCGGTTATACTAGGTAGTAAGGTATATATACGCTTAGGTCATCAACATAACGAAGGGAATGTGTATTGAAGTTTATCAGATGAAGTTATTAATCAAATATCAATGATACACGCGACCAGATATAAATGATATAATAAATGATATAAATGAGGTAGATAAGTAGACGGTCGTGATATCGTAACACTAGTGGGTATCAGCTCCGAGCCGCACGCAACAACGAGAACGTATGAAGTTTCCAAGGCTGAATGCATCCCCATCATCTTCTATTGGCTTGTCTATTGGTTCTAGCGTCATGTACACTATATGCATGAATTTTACCTAAGGGTGTATTTTCCCCCACAGCCCCATCCCACCAGTTTGTCTCGAAAAGTAATGGCGCAGTCTTGGCATTTAACCTTTCTTAAAAAATCACCAATTATACAAGCAAAATAAATAGTAATAAAATTATAATATATATCGTTTTATTTACAAAAGGTTATTATACCTTTTTATTATTTTAGTTTTTTTATTAAAATAATAATGCGTTAAAAATATAACTTTAAACATATATTTTTAATAACGTTTTAATATATTATATTAATATATTTATAATTCCACCATTTCTATAGCAATAAAATTATAAAAAATACCTATAATAATAATAAAAGCCAAAAAGTTAATAGGTATTTTTTTCTATTTTTTGTTGTTTTTTTTTGTGCTTTTTTTACATATATTATATAGTGTTGTTTTTGGAAAAAAATGCTAAAACTGCGCCATTATTTTTCGAAACAAGCTGCCCACTTAATGAGCGAAAAATCCCAAGATATAATTATGTTAAATATTTAATTTATATATCATTTAAATGTATTGTGATTTTTATGATATATTATATAAATATATATTTAATTTAAAACTTTTTAATATTAATATTTAATTATTTATAATAGCAATAAAAATGCGTAATTAACGTTAATTTTATAAAGTTTAATTAATATTAATTTATTTATTTAAATAGTTTTCGAATATAATGTTTTTAAGTTATTAAAACAATATACATATATTTATATTTTTTTATTTAAATAATTAAAAACAATTGGTTAAACTTACTTAAATTTAATATTATAAAAATTTAAAAATTTAATATAAATTAATAATATTAAAATATAATTAAGTAACTATTAAATCAATTAAAAAGTATTATACATTAATTAACTAATTACTTTTAAAAATATAAATATACTTGTAAAAAAAAATCAAATAAACCGTTTTACAAATTTACATCAAACGTAAAGAAAATAATGTAAACTATACATATATGCATTCCAGTTAATACACATTGTGATTGCTTAAAAATGAAAGGACTTTCTGTTTTCTGTTGCAAGCAAGATGAAGTCACTAAAGTATATATGCATTTAAGAAAGGGATTAGCCAAACGCTTATCGGCAGTCATTTGTCAGATTACAGTGTACATATTCAATGTATCAGTGTACCTGTAAGACTCAGCCTCGATACCTGTGGGATGGTTCTAGAACTGACGTATGAGTACAACTTAAAAATAATTTTCTCGGCAAAGAGTGGTAAGGCAAGAAGGAGGGAAAAAATAGCCCCACCAACGCCACTCCGTCTAAGCAGAATTTCAACGATTTAATTCTGTAACTCTGATCAATTCCATTTCCACTTTGGCGTGCGACCGTTGTGACACATCAGTCCAACAGTAGGCCACAACTTCTTTGTAAACAATTCAAAATCTATTTCAGCCAGATTATCTAATTCTCAATAAAAATTCTGGTCTTCCTTTCTTCGAATTGCGCTTTGAAATCTCTCAGATTTTAATATAGCTGCATTCGAGACGCTGCAACCTAGTCGCATCAAAATTAAAGCCTCATCAACCCCTCCCCCTCCTTCCCGGAGCGCTACACACAAAAGTTCACCTGTCAGGATTAAAACTAAGAAACTTTATCCGATCGGCGCTTCTATTGTTGACATCTCCCGTGTTTCGTAGAAGCATCGGTTTTCGTTTTAACCTACTCTAGTAGCCGTTGCAATCAAATCACAAGATCCTCATTTATATTCTCCCAACAACGATGGCTACCATCACGGGGAGCAGACCCGCCGGCACGTCTCTGTCTAATAAGCAGGATCCCGCGCCGTCTTCCCATCAATACACTTGCAACACATGCCAAGTAGCCTTCCGCTTTGCTGATACCCAGAAAGGTCACATGAAAAGTGATTGGCAGTATGTTTTCCCCTTTGTCTACTTTTACATCTACAGAATTGTTAATCTAACGTGTATCGTGCTTTTACCTCAATAGTCGATACAATCTTAAGCGTCGCGTTGCGTCACTACCTCCAATTGCATCTGAGGTCTTCACCGAGAAAGTCCTACAAGCCCGTGCTGCGACCAGCGCTGAAGCGGACCGTGCCGGATTTCAACAAATTTGCGAGGTCTGTCAACGGACTTACTATAGCGAGAACTCTTTCCGAAATCATATTTCGAGTCAGAAACATAAGGCACGAGAGGCAGCCGTGCAACACCGAGGACCCAATCATGATGATGCTAGTTCCGTTATGAGCTCCACCTTCTCTCTCGGCGACCCTGTACCTTCAAATAACAACGAGGAAGTCGATTCTGTTGCCGAAGATGAGTTCAACGAAGTAGTCGAAGGTATCCAAAAGGCTAGTTTAACAGAACGTCCTTCCCCAGTCAAGCGCCCATCAAATCCCCATCCTTCAGCCGAGGCCCAACACAAGAGAGAACATCCCGTATCGGAAGATCCTAGTGAGGCTGCGTCTGGCACTTCAACCCCGGTTCCGAATCTTACATTGAAGTCATGCTTATTCTGTAATTATGACTCGCCGACCGTCCCGTTGAACGTCGTTCACATGGAGCGCATTCACAGCATGTTTATTCCGGAGAAGCAATATCTGGTTGATATGGATGGCCTTATCGGCGCATTGCAACAGCGGATTCAAGAATTTCATGAATGCCTGTACTGCGGTAAAATTAAGAACAGCGCGATTGCTGTACAAACGCATATGCGTGATAAGGGTCACTGCAAGATACCTTATACCTCAGAAGATGAGCAGGTCGATATTGGTGATTATTATGACTTCAGAAGCACATACTCAGATGGCGAAGACTCGGAAGATGAGTCAGTAGACGATGGAAAGCAGAACGGGGGAGCTAAGCTCGGGGCCAGACGATCGGCCAAGGCTGTAGGAGAAAATGGAGACGAGATTATGGAGGATGAAGGTTGGGAAACGGACAGCTCTACTTCGTCTTGCAAGTCTGAAGATCTGGGCCCCATTCCCGTCGATCACCATTATCGACAGTACGAAAGACTCGAAAAGCATCCTCACCACACATCTCACGATCCGCGACACCACCATCAAATGGATGGATGGCACTCACATGCTCATAAACATCGTGCCATTTTTTACGATGATACCGAGCTACATCTTCCTTCGGGTCGTGCAGTGGGCCACCGATCTCTAGCTAAGTATTATCGTCAGAACCTACACAACCACCCTTCACCTGAGGAACGTGCAGAGAGACTTGCTATTGAAGCAGCTTCATCTGAAGGTGATGCCATGGAAGTTGACGATGATGCCAAGAACGGAAACGGCCAGGTTTCTCGACGTGAAGGTCGCGGGCGTAACGGTGCCGTTGTAAGCCGAGCGAATGGTGGAACTGGTATGTTGGGAGTGACAGATCAGAAGAAGAAGGAAGTAGCTCGTGCCGAGCAGAGAAGCCGCAAGCAAGAGCATAAGGCGGCAAGACAAAAGGAATGGGCACTTAGCAAGCAGGCTAACCACCAGAAATATTACAACTACCAGATCTTGTGAGATGTTACACAAGATACGGAGTTTCTTGGCGGACGGCTCAGGAACTGGAGTGTTGCCGTCATCAACAATTGCAAGGGTAGTCTAGTCCGACTGCAAATTTAGCTTAGCAGACCGAACTAGTCGGTATATAGAACATGCAATTGACAATAAAATAAAAATAACGTTGCGTTTATAATGTCTACCTCTTAATAATTAAGAACCTGGTGTTGGATAGTGTTTATGATTGACATGGATTCGGGATAGGCACGGGAATATGATGTCGGCCTGAGATATGAGGAGTATTGGGGTAGTATGGATAAGGTACCTCCTACCTTAACTCTATCTGCCCGGGGGTTCAAGGACTTGCATACCGATCTTACTAGGTAAAATGGTATAACCTTAATCACTTAGTTCTAGGTAGCTGGTACATACCTACATGTATGTATGTAATGTTCTAGGTTATAGAAGATGTAGCAATTGCAGCTCTTCTTCCTTTAATTATACAACTCTCATTAAATTTCCACTTCTTTTTACAAGCAACTTACATATATTTACCCAACTCTATTTATCTACAGGTAAATAAACATACCGTCAATATGTCATAATTAACTATAAATCATCATAGCAGATTCGAAGCAATTCCCCATATAGGTATGTCTACCTATATACCAGTAACGTTAAAGTGCCAGGTAAAATTTAATAAAGTGCCAACCCATCCACTTTCCACGTGACATAAGCCACCAAAGCCACAACGCCATAATGAAAATGGCCCGTTCACTTGACCAATACAGGGTAATTTTTTACCACTTTTTATATATTATTATTAATAACTCTATGAAATTCCATCCAAATATTTTACAAAATATACCATTATTTAAATAAAAAAATAACAAAAATTAAAATTTAGGTTGCACGTGACTACGACTAAAATTGATCCCAATGCGGCTAAAAATAATCTTTTATTTTTTAATAAATTTATAAATAACTTAATATATATAAAATTTGAAATTTTAAAAATATTAATTTCATTTAAATTAAAAATTTATAAATTTAATAAATAAGAAAATAAAATTTTTATAATTTATTTCGTAAATTTATATTTATTTTTATATTTTATATAAAATATTAAATAATATATTAAATTTTTATTTTAATTTTATTTAAATTTAATAATAAATTACGTAATTTTTTACTTTAATTAATAAATATTTTTATAATTTTTTTTTATATTTATTCGTAAAGTTATTTATATATATAACTAAAATCTAATAAATATTTTTTTATTTCATTATTTCATTATGGCGTTGTGGCTTTGTATGGCTTATGTCACGTGGAAAGTGGATGGGTTGGCACTTTATTAAATTTTACCTGGCACTTTAACGTTACTGCCTATATACCTATATGGAGCGGACGTTGCTTTTCAGCTGGGTTCCATTCCGCGCTATTGGAACGATGCTGTGCTTCTTATTGGACCAATAACGCCCGCATTTTACGATAGGATCATAATTGAAAGGATCAGCGTCCAGGGGGGGTTGGCCAAGCACATGTATTTATCCGTGTTGTTGATAGGTCAATTGATGACAACGCGTGCCCTTCCCGCAACACCTATAAGAATCAAGCTTTGGTACATAGCTCTAGTCAAGCTCTTGATAATTCGTCACTTGGCATTCCTGTCATTTCAGCTAGAGCTTAGTTAGTAACTAAGTCCAAGACAAGAAGAGATGCAGCTTGTTACTGCCGCCGCTATCTTGTCAGCCCTGCTGGTTCAGTCCAGTACCGCGGCTGACGATACCGCCTTTATTACGGCCTCACCCCACGCCGGCTCGGCCACCTCGGACCTCTTTCCACCACCAAGCAGTACGTAATATTAATTTTATTGGTGTACATATATAGTGGTCAGTTACTAACAAAGAGTTAAGCCTCGGTTGACTCTGCACTCTTCCCACCAGAGGCTGAAGTCGGTTTCCCAGGACCGACGCCAACAGGCGCCGAACCCGCCGCAATTCAAACTGCGGCGGCGTATCCGTATAATCGGGGACCGACGAACCAGTTCCCATTAGTCGCACCGCAACCTCACGGCCAAAGCGAGACATCAGACAAGTTCGATATCACTAAGTATTGGGGCAACTTGTCACCTTGGTATTCCCTATCTTCTGCCGATTTCGGCTTACCAGATACAAGCCCCCTCGCACCACCGGGCTGCAGTGTCACACAGGTGCATCTCTTGTATCGTCATGGTGCTAGATATCCCACTACCGGCGCCGCACCGGCCCAGTTCGCGAGCAAGATCGCGGATGCTACTAAGACAGGACTGCAGGTTAAGGGTGACCTAACATTCTTATCCGACTGGACCTATAAACTGGGCGGTGAACTACTTTCCCCGTTCGGTAGGAGCCAGGAGTTTCTCCTCGGTATTCAACACCGTCAACTCTATGGCCACCTGCTTAATAACTTTACCGAAGCTGGTACTATTCCCGTCTTCCGGACCGAGTCTCAGGACCGTATGGTTAAGACTACCGAGAACTTCGCGGCCGGATTTTTCGGCGTACCTGAGTACTTAGATCAAGTGAACATCGAGATTCTTGTAGAGGCACCTGGCGTGAATAACTCGGGTGCTCCCTATTATGTCTGCAACAATTCTAATGTCCCCAGTCGAGGGTATATTGGGAGCTCGATGGCCTCGAACTTTGCGAAAAATGCTTTCAACGCTACTCTTGCTCGTCTAAACTCACAGGTAAGCCTACTAAACATTGCAAGAGAAAAGGAAGCAACAGGTTACTAATATGTCTAAGGTCTCTGGTATCGAGTTCAATTCCACCGACATCATTGCGATGCTTCAACTTTGCTCCTACGAAACGAATGCCCTTGGGTACTCTGCGTTTTGTGGACTATTTAGCCAGGAGGATTTCTTGAACTTTGAATACTACTTTGATCTTGTATGTCGTAACATATCCATCTTCCTCCCCGTCATTTTCTTATAACTAAGAATACTAACCCATCCAAGTCGTTCTACTACGAAAACGGTCCCGGATCACCTGTTGCGGCTGCCCAAGGTAAAGGTTACCTACAGGAATTTGTCGCGCGCTTCACAGGTGAATACCCAGAGGCTTGGTCAGCTCTGAACCAGACGTTCGACAACTCATCTACATACTTCCCCCTCAATCAGTCCATCTACGCCGATGCCACCCACGAAGTTGTCGTCCTCGACACCCTCACCGCCTTCAACCTGTCGGCATTGTTCAAAGGACCTCCCCTAAATCCCAATGAGAACCAAAGAGAGAACAGCTTCTCGTCCAGCAAGCTCGTTCCATTCGCCACCCACTTCACCACCCAGGTTCTCGAATGCTCGACCTACCAACCTACGAAGCAGATCAGGTTTATTGTGTAAGTCTCCTCCCATTTTCCATCAGCACCCCCATTATTACCCTATAACGAAGTATGCTCATTAAATCCTCTAGAAACGACGGCGTCATCCCAATCGCGGAGTCCTACTCGGGCTGCCCCGCCGACCCGCACGGGCTCTGCGCATTCGACAATGTGGTGTCGGTGCTCAAGGACCGCATCGACGAGATCGACTTCGACTACGACTGCTTCGGCGACTACACCGCCGAGCCGGGTGTCGACTACAACGGTAGGGCGCCCAAGAACAGCTAGGATGATGGGTCGCAGGCGCCTAGGGGCCTGCAGAACGGAGTGGTCGTCGCGATGGCTGAGGCTTTTTTGGTCCTGGGAAGTATTGCTGTGTTCGTGTTACGGATGTAGTTTGGGAGGTTAATAAGTCTGCATGCGTAAGATATTTTATCGTTTTCGAATTGTTATGATAATGAAAAATATTCAAGAGTAGATAGATCCCCTAATCAGACGTCTGCCGCGTGCAAGCTACGATCAGTCATATATAAGTGCCAAATATCTAAGTGTGTAATAGTGTGTTAGCTGCGGTTTTAAGTTCGAGTTATAGTACGTACAGTAAGAAAACCACCATTCCTCTGTCAACTTCTAGCCGAATAGAAGTAATACAACTAAAAGTGTATATTGGGGATAAATCTGTTTCCGTTACGGCCAAAACTAACAGGAAAGGAAATTATCTCTTGGAACTGTTATTGTACCAATATTGTATAGGGAAAACTCTGTTTATACTACATAGTAGAAGCTATGTATAACGACGGGTATGCTCTATATTATACTCTATATTATAGTTAGACCTAGCGAGAAAACCTGGAACTCGTAGTCGTGTTTCTCCTCTCTTCCTCTCGATAGATACTTGAGACCACTAAAATATAAATCTGTCAGAATTATGATAACTCTAAATATTTCCCAGTTTACCAATGACATCGGTGACTATTCGCTCTGATGTAAATTTTCTGAATTTCCTTGGCTCTGATGAATCATTAACGGCTATTAATCGGACCTAAGCTCACGCAGCTTCAGTCGGCACCACGGTAAAGTTATGAGGCGACCTCTCCCCTTGCCCAGTCCTCTACTACGACGACAGTGAAGGTACGTCGCGTCTTCGAATCGCTGTAATATCCCATTGGCACACATATGTACATTCTCATGCAAAACAGTTACCGGTCAAGGCAACATACTCCTCAGCATCGAATAGATAATTAATAGCAATATGAGCCTTAGTAAGGTCCGGATCGAGAAGGACACGCGTAAATACAGCCGCGTCGACAGTTCCATTGGTCTTTTGCAGGTCACAGTTCGTGTACTCTTAGCTCAGGGGCTTCCCGTCAACATGTCCAGCGCAATGCAGATACATTGAAGTCTGGGCATTGCTTAGCGCAGATGAAATATGAAACCGTCTCGAGATTAGGGACCCGAGGCCAGATAATCAGAATTACTTACCGTAGTATCCTGTTAGCGGCCTAGTTGGGGCACCATGAGACTCTCCGGCTTGCCACTTGAGGATATCCCAGATATAGTCTGCGGATGGTTTTGCCATATTCCCTGAAATTGTTGTTGTTGTTGTTGGGACATTTGCCAAGGCGAGGATATTAGCAAACATTTTGGCACGTATCAGTTTTGCTAGTACAAAGTATAAGTTAAGACGGCGAGTTAAACCTGTCTAGATAAATATTCGGATGTTAGGTTCAATTTTATAGAATTAAAATACAGCTTATATGGCGCCATATAATGTATCGTTGGGCCGCGCAATTATGGATTATGGCTAAATACGAAGAAGTACACGAGCGCGCAACGTTGCTAACAGCTAGACAACGTCGTATTACGTAGAAGAGAAAGGGTCGTCTACTACGAAAAAGACGAATTAGTATAGAACAGTTGACGCAATTTTGCATTTGCTGTGTGTTTTAGAACCATAGCCTTTCTGCGGCCATTTAGGTATCATACGACAGGTAGTGTACTAGTAATGGCAGGACAGCATGCTAGTTAAAAAGAAATACCATATTGTGAGACTACCTAGCTATGACTAAAGCTTCAAAATATCCATGTCCAATAATAATGAATGACCATCAAACTTCCAACGCTTCCAACGCTTCCAATGCCTCCATAGGCTTGGGTATTGTGCTCTGAGCAACCCAATTTTAAAAACAGAATTCAACGCTAATGTTCCGTCGTTACGGTGATTGCAAAACGAATTTATGCTGATATGCTAAACTTGATGGTCCATGCTAATCGTAATGCGTCCGTACGATATGCGCGCGTAAATGAGGAATTCCATCCAAAGTCCAAAATATCAAGCCAAAATATAGCTAAGGGCTATATCCGCTAAAATTTAAATCAATATGTAGTCAGTATATGCTGTATTAATGACAAACACGCATGTCAGAGGGGGGATTAAATACCTGATGCTTCTATGCAGAGTAAGGCAAACAATGCTATCGACGGCGCCTAGTTTTGGCTCTTATGTGTGACGCCACGAATGTATAGGACACGACCCGTGTCGAGATCCTGGAGAGACTCGATCTTTCCTTTTACAAATGCCATTCTGATCGGCTTATCCGCGTCTCTGCTGTGACGGTAGATGTATTCGCGGGCCTTCTTGTCGTAGATGGAGCGCAATCTTGAATGGCAACCGTTCTGATAAATGATAATGACTCTTGGCAATGCCGATGCCAGAACATGTCGCTCTGGAGATGCTTGTGACTGTGGCGATGTCGCTACTGCGGTGTTTGCGATGGGTCCACCTGACGATGACACCGGAGTGCTATTCTTCACCTGAGACTCTTTGCTCGAAACAGAGGATAGATTGGGCGTAACAGGAGATTGTTTGGGAGTACAATCAGTAGCTGGACTCGGAGTCGGAGTCGCAGTGCTGGTTTGGCTATCCATATTGAACAATGAGTATGTTTGCTTTAGGTGGAAAATAGTGATAAGGGTTCTAAGAGTCAAGATAGATAATGTATGGTGGAAGAGTGTATGGTAGAAGAATGTATGGTGGAAGGTTGGTTACGTTTTATATGAACGAAAATTATTTTGCTGTATGAAGATATGATTTGGGATTTGGGAACTGCTCGGGCTGATTTAGGGCTCGGGGCTTTGGGGCTTTGGGACTTTGTAACTTTGGTCTTAAAATGAAAGTTTATGATTACGACTATAGTGCACTAAATTTGGAAGTTGCTACCTGGATTTCTCACTTTTTGCACAGATAATGATAATACAGTTGCAAACATTGTAAAATTTAGAAGGCACCTCTTGCCCTCTTGCCCTCTTGCCCTCCCCCCCCTCCACCAACCCCCCATTTCTAGTTATCATTACTACAAAAATTCATACTGCTAGACGACTAACAAGGGCAAGTTTAGCACCATTTTTTAAAATAAAAAAATTGAAGATTGAGTACCTAAGGTAGTGAGAGCTACGTAAAAGGCTGACCCTTAGCGGCAACCAAATGACCCCTTCTTGACTATATTTGGGGACTGAAGAGGCCTAAGCACTATACAAACTCTCTAGGAAGAGCACCGGGCACGTCCCTATCTATAATCCTGCTAGTAAAAGACATCGGATTGAAAATTTAAACCATTTATACGAAATAAAGGTAGTATACGAATAGTAATATCGCTTTTGAATAACCCTATTTATATTATATCTTCGACCACTACATATTCACTCCCTATAAACAACGAAAGAATTTCAATATGACTTCCAGGATACTGATCCTATCCTATTTCTCTCCTCCTTGGGCAGGTTTATCTTCTGGGGAGAAGTTTAAGCTGATACTGTTAACACAGTGTCTCTCATCTGTTGGGGTTGGATATCCCTCTCCCTTGAAGACATGACCAAGATGACCACCGCAATTAGCGCAGCAAATTTCTGTTCTTTCCATACCCCATGAGCTATCAGTATGCCTTGTTACAGCCCCGGGAATGCTGTCAAAGTACGCAGGCCAGCCGCAACCAGACTTGAATTTGTGATTTGCCTTGTATAGGGGCGCGTTACAGCCTGCACAAGCATACACTCCAGAATCGGAGGTAAATTTATCGTACTTCCCAGACCCTGGCGCCTCGGTGCCCTTTTCTCTGAGAATTCTAAATTGCTCTAGGAAATATAAGTTAGTAAGTGCCTGAGCGCGGATGGGGACGATGTTTGTTCTGGGAGAAGATCGGATATACCTTTAGTGAGAACAGCGCGCCACTCGTCAGGTGTTCTCTGGTCTGGATACGACATATTGTTTGATTGGCTAGAACTTGAGCTGAAAAGACTTCCTATGAATGGAATAGTCGGCATAGACTTCAATGGTGTCGTGTTGTAGCGTAGTGATTGATGAGTCAAAGGACGAACCCTAGTCAAAGTAGAAAATGTAAAGAAAGCTCGGAATAGGTTGGAGAATTGGGATAATCGCATTAGTTATGATGATATGAGAATAGGTTTATATATTCGTTGATAGAATTAAGAATTGGAATTATGATATATAATTAAGTGAGATTTGATGGTATGATTTGGAATCACAGTTTCGCTATTTGGAGGAAGTTGTAGTATAAGAAATGCTTTAAAGCCGCGTTACCGATGACATGGATGGAATTATGCAGATGTCGTCAGTGACCTGCCCCATAGATCTTGAACCTTTTGCCACACTTCGAATACCTACCTTAATGCATGAAGCGCCCCACAACCTTGCAACGAACAGGGTCCACGGTTAGATATCAAGAACAAAGATAACGGATTAATTCAAAATCGCGCTTTCCGATATGCAGCCAGTGTCCACTGTATCTAAGGTAATAACTACGTAGGTACTTAAACGCTCAGGCCATGACTAAGACCAAGACCAAATCGAGGAAAGCCACAGTTTCATTCATTACACTTCGTTTCTTATACTTTAGAATTCCATATCACTGCCACACCTTCAGGCACCCCTTTCTAACCACCTACTTCTATACATACTTCTACCCTTGGTCCGCAAAATTGCCAACCCTATAATTCATCTATTTCACGTCTATTCCTGTTTGTTGTCGGTAGCGATCGCGCCATGTCTAGACGGCCTCCCAACCCAGCTGCTGAACGGGCAGCCCAAAATCAACAAACTATTAAGAGTCTCTTGAAATTAGACTCCAACAAGATATGCGCCGATTGCAAACGAAATAAACGTGTGTCCCCTTAAATATACCTAGTCTACTAATACCGACCTACTGGACTCACACTTTATTATAGATCCACGATGGGCGAGCTGGAACTTGGGTGTCTTCATCTGCATTCGCTGTTCGGGAATTCATCGAGGAATGGGTACCCACATTTCGCGAGTCAAATCGGTTGATCTGGATTCATGGACAGATGAGCAACTGCAAAGTATTCTGAGCTGGGGCAATGCGCGCGCCAACAAATATTGGGAATCGAAGCTGGCTACTGGCCATACCCCCTCCGAAGCAAAGATCGAGAATTTCATCAGAACCAAATATGAACTTAAGAGATGGGTAATGGATGGGCCAATGCCAGATCCTGCGAGCCTAGATGTTGAAGGTGATGATGATGTTCCATTAAGCATCGTAAAAGAGAAGCAAAGTATAGATAGAAAGGAGTCAATTCGGAAAAGCTCCGTTGGGAAACAAGCTGCGCCGCGTGGTATAGCACCCCCAGGTCCTCAGGTAGATCTCATTGGTGGCGACGATATCCCCCCGAGGGCGAGTACCGCCGGCCCAGCTTCTTCTCAAGTTCCTCCCAAATCAGCACCTGCTCCTCCAAAAGCAGTAAACACTAAGGACTCGCTCCTAGGATTGGACTTTTTTGGCGAAGCTCCGGCTGCACCTCCGCGTCCAGCAAGTACGAATAACGCAGGTGGAACAGGCAGTCAATCGAGGCCTGACCTCAAACAGTCTATTCTATCTCTCTATGCTTCAGCTCCACGCCCTCAGCATGCACCACAGCAGCCATCACACTCTTCTTCTGGATCATTTGGGGGATTTGGAGCGATGCAATCTCCCTTGCAATCCCCGACGATGGGACACCAGCCTCAGAAGTCGACAGGCGGGGGATTAGAAGATGCTTTTGCTGGCTTGAGTTTTGGAAAAGTACCGCCGCCGAAGAGTCCACAGAACGATGCATTTGCTAGTCTATCGAACATATCGAGCAACCGATCCACTCCCCAGCCTGCGACTTCATCGTTATCTGGTCTTAGTGGGGGTGGCTTCTTTGACCCCAAGCCCGCTCAAGTGGCACTACAGCAGCAGCCAAGGTCCTCAGTGTCACCATCTAACAGCTTCGGCGCATTTGGTACACCGGCTGTTCCGTCAAAGCCAACACAATCTTCTTCGGCAGCCTTGGGCGATCTTTTTGACTGGTCTGCTCCTGCTCAACCAGCTCCAACCAAGCCAACCCCTGCACTTTCATCAACTACTGACTCTATCTTCAATCTCTCTGCAAACCAATCAAAGCCGGCTCCCGCACTAGCACCGGTTACAAATACGACCGCCTCTTTGAGCACATCTGCATTTAATAATTCGGATGTCTGGGGGAATGCGTGGAGTGCTCCTGAACCCAGTCCGGCTGCAGCTCCTAAGAGTCCATTGGCAGCTAAGTCCCCTATAAGCGGCGGTAATGACTTCGGTGCCTGGGGCAGTACTGGCGGGTCTTTTGCTAGCCAAAGTTTGGTACCTGGTACCTCTGGAGGGTTTACCGCTGCTCCAAAGGTGGCAGCGGACGAGGAATTCGGAGGTTGGACTAGTAGCACAGGTGGAAACACTAATAATAACAACAACAGCGGATCAAAATCTGGTGGTGGATTCGGGGGTGATGATCTATTCTCTAACGTTTGGCAGTAAATTGCTGGCTGGTCGCCCAGTATGCTAGGGGATCAGACGGAATAAGGGCTTGTCAATTTTGAGTCGACCATAGCTATGACTGCTCGCTATGTATGTATGGTCTTACAAAGCTAATTGTCGAATACGAGCTTGAACATAAGGTGAGACCTATTCAGATAAATTTATTGGGCTAATTCTTGCTCGCAAATAACCTCCTCGACATTAAGAAGGCCAAATCCGTAACGCCTGTGCTATGCTACAAGGATTGCAAGTCTTCCATATTGAATAAACAATAATTTGACTCGTGTTCCCCTTTTATTAAATAGTTGCTGCCGATACCGTCTGGGTATGCCATCACAAATTGCAGCTTCATCCTTTGCCTCTAAGTCATGTGTATTCATGTCGTTTTAGCCAAGTGTAATCACCCGCCACTTTCATTTCATGAACTCCTACACCATCCAAAAAAGGGTTGTAAATCTAAAGGGTCCAACTCCGCGGGGCTCACGTAAGGGACTAATGATATCATCCAACAATAGCCTACCTGGCTTTCCTTAATAGAGTTTTGGTCGCTTTTTCCTGGTTCACATATTGACGTGCTAATTCGCAGAATAATCGTTTAAAAAATCCACTTAAGGATATAGTATAGTATGAGAAAGGCGCCGATGAGGATGCCCGAGAGTTTCAGAATAGCGACCTTGTTCCCCGATGCTGCCATACGACCTAATCGACCGGCGGATCCTTTCAGCTGCGACGACATGGAGGAAAATGTATCAGACTACATGGTGTGAAGCCTAGTGTTAGTATTACGCCTAGAAGGCAGATAGATAGGTGTTAAGCGGTAATTCGTACAGTATTGTCGATCACGTCCTGCGCTCTCGCGTTATCGTAAATATCCACCGTTACGCCACGCAGCGACGACACCTTTGCGGACAGCTCCTCCAGGCGCGCATTGTTCTGGCGCTCACGCTCGTACGCCTCCGACATGTTGACCTCGATAGTTGAAGTAGTAGAAGCACGGTGGAATCGGAATTCGCTTCTCTTTCGATCTTGCAATGCGCTGCTAAAGGATCGTGGAATATACAGGAATATGAAGCGGCGGCGGCGACGATGAGCGGATCGGTGTACTTTCTAGGTTCGTTAATACTCAGGGCCCCCCAGTGGGCGAGGATTGATTGTCGTCTTTGTTTTCCGTAAGCGTATCTAGGTAATTATTGCTATTCTTTTAGGCCAAAAGTCGGCTGTAACGGGAGTATAATTTTGGTTCCGTGACGAGAAAAGGAGGCGAGCTGAGGAGATGACGCAGATTGTGGCTGGTGTCTTTAGCGTTCTACATTCAGATAGCGCTGAGGATCCTTGCAGTGTTGTATCGGTACCAAGATTGTACCGGTTGTCACTTGAATTGGCATCTACCCCAACCTGCCCAGCTTAGCTTTTTAGCTTCCAACAGCTCGGAAATCATTACTCGTGGTACGTGGGGCCGTCTTAACTCTGACCTCATCATTCTGTACTCGCTAAGTATATATCTGTACCTTTCTAAGTGTACATAATTGATGTTACCTCGGTACCTTAGGTACCTACATATGTGCATATTAGGTTGAGTACGTAGCCTTGCGTTGTCTTTGGCGCTTTGGCGCTTTGCCGTTGTTGCCGCCTGCCCCGCCGAGGTGGCAGAGCTTCCGCAGCTGACGACATTAGTATTGGTTCTTCCCTTCGTAGAGGTAAACACATAGTAACTTTCCATACAAATATTACTACATACCAGCCTTAGTCAGGCACCTATCTACCACCTATCTATTCGTCTTTCCACCTCGAAAAAAAAATACGATCGCAATAGTTGCGCGTTATAGATTCGTATATCTTGACAATACCATTGTGTCATTTAAAATCACCTTCTCACAAGATCCAATTTAACTTGACAAGTTTAATCCCCGCAGTTGGTGTTTGCAACTCACCACTATACCTATCGACTGTTTAATATTCATTACCGTCGCAAAAAGGCTTTAAGCTCGGGAATCTCGGATTAGATCGATTTTCGACTTGAGATACCAACGAGAATCTCAAGATGGGTATCAACAACCCTATCCCGTCGTCTATGGCGTGTAAGTTTCTAACTACGAATACGCGCAGTCTCGCGCGATCGAGTACTTGCTGCTACGATTATAAAGTATATGCTAACACTTCTCATAGCGGAATGCAAGAAATGTGGCAAGATTCTTACTTCTTTCATCGATCCCCGCCAAGCGTTTGGCCCCGACAAGATAATTCCTCCGTCGGTCCTAGCGAATGCCAAAGTAAGTGAGCTTCCGTCGTATTCCGGCTAGGTGTCTGGGAACGATGTTATATTTATTCGTATATGCAAAGGCCGTGACTTACATATACCTAGGGCCTTGCGATCCTTACTGTCATCAAAGCCGGCTTCCTCGGATCTGCACGATTTGGTTCTGGGCTTGTCGTCGCCCGCTTGCCTGACGGTACGTGGTCTGCGCCGTCGGCTATCATGACCGCGGGTGGTGGCTTCGGTGGCCAGATCGGGTTCGAACTAACCGATTTCGTCTTCATTCTCAACGATTCCCACGCCGTTAAAACATTCTCCCAGCAAGGTTCCATTACATTAGGTGGAAATGTCTCTATAGCGGCAGGACCGGTAGGCAGAAACGCAGAGGCTGCCGGTGCCGCATCTCTTAGGAGTGTAGCGGGTGTGTTCAGTTATAGCAAGACGAAAGGTCTATTTGCTGGAGTATCTTTAGAGGGCTCGGCGATTGTAGAACGACGAGACGCGAACGAAAAGTTATACGGTCAGCGCTGGACAGCAGCACAACTCCTCACAGGTTCCGTACGATCGCCACCGCAAGCCGCGCCGTTAATGTCCGTCCTCAATTCCAGAATATTTGCAGGTGTGCGCCAAGGTACCATGGACGATTCCATGTACAATGACGTCCCGGTTTATGAAGATCGCCATGATGACGTAGTATGGAACGGCCAACGAGGGAGTGCTTACGGCGAACCTCAGCAAAACAATGGTCAGGATGAGTTCGGTGCGCCGAGACGCGCAAATACATGGCAAGACGACGTATACGATCGACCGGCCGCTGGTGGTAGCCTCGCTAGATCCGGCACCGTGAACAATCGAGCCTCGGCCCCTGTAGGTGGTTACCCAGAAGGAGGGCGAGCCGGTCCCGGTAGACCCGCGGCACCGAAACCGAACTTCGCAAGTAAGCAGGCGTTAATGAAGAAGAATGAGGCCGTTGCGTTATACAACTTCGACCCGGACCAGCCGGGCGATTTGGGGTTTAAAAAGGGCGATGTTATCACAGTGTTAAAAAAGACGGATAGTGCTAATGATTGGTGGTAAGGACATATTATCACATGCAACTCACTGAAACTTTGGCACTAATATCTATATTTTAGGACTGGCATGATCGGCTCAAAACATGGCATATTCCCCAGCAATTACGTCAAGATGAAGGAATGAATAGGCGACACAGGCTTTCCGAGCCCACCTTCTTAAGATCAGCTAGACATGGATGGGCGTATTCGGATTTCGTGGTAAGGGCTTACAGGAAAGGAGGACAGCAGTTATGAGATTGCTTAAGAAATACCTGGCTCGTTCTTGAGATACCTAGATTCTATTCTCCACATAGGGTTTTATGATTTATCTTTGGTGTAAGCGGTGTTTTATCTCGCAATCAACGATTTTGATGGCGCACTACTATTCAATTTTAGCGTTTGTAAATATGGGTTTAAGAATAGTCGAATAAAAGTCTTGACTAAATGAATGATCTTGATGGAAAGCTGTGGTGTATAGTGAAGTACATTATTAAAACTATGGTTTGTTACGAAAGAGAAGGAATACATGATTTCGCGGGTTTGGTAGCATTCATATACTCATGAGTAAGGTGGACTTGTAGTTTGGTTAATGAAAACCTATTAAAAATAATTTGTTGATACCAGCACAGTTTGCTTCTTATAGATAGGTAAAATGTATCGAACATTATCACTTCGTATAATTATACCTTATGCCTACCTGTAGAGAATTTCAAGCTCACTCTAAACAAAACAGTCTACTAAATGCTTAGACTGCTAATTTACGTAGGATAAAAGATTCCAACTATACTAATGGCCTAGTCTTAGCTATGCTGATACGAATAGAGTTATGTTAGGTAGGTAGTCACTTCTTGTTTACCTATAACCTAGGATTTTGCAAATGCTACTAAAATGACTACAAGTCAAGCATACTCCATCGTAATAATTCAACCCTATTAATGTTTTACTTCATCTAGGTACGTTGTGTAAATATAATTTCTGGCTTGGCACTGACTATTCGTCGGACCTATACTTATGATATCTTCGGTTAGGATTGTAGATAAGACCTAGAACAAGGGATCCTTTCGGTATGTATAACCGTATGTTCCCTCCCATAACTTGCTTATAGCTCCTTACGGAATAACTTCGTTTCCATGTTTCCACGCTTCTTGGTCCACCTCATGCCATCTTCGTCGTAAATATTTTCATAAGCAACCACGTTCAAAATTTCCGTCACGAAGTGGAACCTAATAGCATGAAATTACAAACTAGCTACGAGGTTCTACGTCTATACATACATACTGAACATGTTCTTTGTTCTAGATGTCTCATCCAAAATCCTGACAACTTCGAACAAAGTCTAGACTCAAGGTTGACTCTAAGGCTCACTACTTAGATGCGCCGCATTAATTACGCTTACTACGAAAATCACCATCTCAGCACAACGATACGTAGAAATCCTTGCCTGTGCTGTGATAGGAGCGAGATTCGGCCTTCCGGCCATGCCTCAACCGGCAAATAGCGGATGGACCCACTTTTACGGTAGGATATCCGGACGTCGCTCCTCGATATCATGCTGGGTCAGGCTGATTAGGTAGATAAATCCGTACCCATAAGTCCGGCGCTGTCATGGAAGATTCGGTACAATTGCTATACATAGGTATCCTCTCCGAGCCATAAACATGCGACTGTGGATCTATGTAACGCTTTCATTTCTTGAACTACCTAGGTACTCCGGATCTAATTTCGGATTGCAAAAGCGACGCGTCGGCTAGAGCTAAGATACGTTGGACGTCTTCCGCGTGGCGTTTATTTCCCACGTGCACGCATTGCTATAAGGTATTTTATGTAAGGTCGCCTGTCACTTGCTGCGCACGACTAAGCTGCGCCTAGCGGGAGGCGCATCTTCCGTCTGCCGGCAGTGAAGATACCCGAGGGTAAAGTGGAAGCGGAGGGTCCCTGGGTAAAGGGATCCGGGCATCCGCACGAAAATCCCATTTTCACAATTCTGTATTGGATATTGGGATGACCTAATCATTTCACTGCTTTTCATAGTATATACCTACCTAGGTAACAGAACCGCCGGCACGCTTGTGTAAGGGAAGCGCGGGATGCTATTTTTGGACCGAGGAAACTATGTGATTGGTTCTGTTGCGAATTAAGCGCGCATAGACCGGGGGCGGATCCGCTTGCCGGATATATACAGTATAGATTAAGGAATCTGGGGTTCGGCGGCAAGCTGCGTATGTGCGATTATTAAGTACATACATACCCCCTACATAATATAGATACCTACCTAGCTAAAATGAGATCGAAGCGCGGCGCTTAATGAAATGATCCGGGAGCATCTGTTTACTGCGCTTGCTGAAACGAGGCGGGGCGGAAGGGGGAGGGGAGATGAAGTTGGGTTAATTACGGAGCATTTCGGGCGGATAGATGCCTTTCCGGCGATGGGACAGGCGCGTAGAGATGCCGTGGTATGATACGCCGGTAGACGCGCGCTGTTGTCAAAGCCGGCAGCCGGCTCAGCCTCGAAAATGCCGCCAGGCCTCCGCTTGGGAAGCATTGCACTGGTTCTCTAGCGTACGTAACAAAGTCGTGTATTCGTATGTGTGTGTGTGTGTTTCAGAGACACGTAACTACGCAATTCTTTTTTGTTTTTGTTTTGTTTTGTTATTGTCTGAAAAGCTGGTGATCGAAACTCGGACGCACAGACGCGAGATCAATCAAACCTGTTTACTACCTATCTACCTAATTTAGTCTGCCTTTCCATTTCGTCGAGACATGCAGCTCAGCCGGAGGGACTGAGGTGGGACCTTCTGGAGTGGCTATTTGTCAGAGCGAGAGACAGTAATATTATCGTCGCTTATTATGGCCTCAGTGCTGCAGTGAATGTAATCATCCGGAGATTCAACATTTGGGTGTAGTGTGTCGGCGGTGTGTATGTACATACATCGGCCGATAGGTGGAGCGGAACAATCACGGGTTGAGTTGAGTGGCGGAGAGAAACATACATACATACATACACACATGCATGCAGTAGGTACCTAAGGTTAGGTATGTCGTCCCAGCTATATGTGTGTGGCTTCTAAAGTTTGCTGATAGCCACTCACGAGGGGCATCGACGCACCATCTACTACGCAGCAAGTTTAAAATATCATCGGAGATGGAGAATTCTACGACATGCAGTGGCTCAACTGCCGCGTGAAGATGCTCTCGGTATTGAAAGGCCCGAAGTTGAGATGAACAAATAGTAGAATAGGCTCTCCCAAGCGGGACTCGCGAGACATTGCAAGGCAGTAAGCCACAGCCTTGGCTCCCGCTTGGGGAAGAGGATCGACGATTCTTCAGCGGGGGAGGGTTCAACAGATTGTTGACTGAGGGGATGATTGGATTGCGTAGAGCGTGAGCCACACCTTTGATTTCCCTTTTTGATCTCCCACCTACTATGTATCTATATAGATAGTATACTGCCGAAGATGTGAGGGCAGCTGAGATGATCAGGTCATGATGGCAGGATTTTGTTATTCTAATCCCAAGGCATATTCTGTTCAATCGTCGCAACGTCACGTCCGTTAGCTGCGGGCAAATAGCTACTGTATGTGCAACGTGTAAACGATAGATTACTTTTTATTTCCTCATTTGTTTATGTGTTCCTAAGTAATATAAAATACGCACACATACTAGTTAATATGTATGTACATGTAATGTACTATGTATGAATGCGCTGTCTATCGCCTCGTGAGGCCGAGGCACGATGTACGGAATACGTGGCTGATCCATCTGCACCTCCCATTTGGTCTACCGAGCACCAATCCTTACCGGTCCGGAGAGAAAAAGGGTCTAGGTCATCTAAGTTATCAGCCACACGGCATAAAATACTGCTAGTTTCCGTATAATGGCTAAGCACTCCCCATCATTGGATCGTCTAGCTTGGCCTGGGTTGTTTCGATTCGAGGCGGCTGCGACCAATAACCGAACTTGATTAACTCTGGTCCCTGCATCTCTTCCTAGCCCGGCAGCTATCCGGCAGGAATACGGACGACTATAGCAGATACATGCATATATAGTAGGTACCCACGTATAGTAATCTTCAGCTTCCCTCTACGGATAGCTGTAAGCGGAAATATATTGTCTTTCAGATGTTGGTGAACGGCGGTGAAGTCTTGGCCCGAACAGTTTCTGCTCAAAGTGCAAGGTTTGCTGTGGATGGGTCGGCCCGGGTGCGGCGTGTAGTCTAAGAGTTGTCGGTCAAATGCGATGCATTCCTTTTTTTAAATCTTTTTTTGCTGGATACTCGAACTGTTTTAGTCTAAAAAATCTTGTGGATGCTATACGATGACCTGATATTGATGATATGTACATATGCACTTTTACTGCCTGCCAAGTCATCGCGACGTTCGTTCATTAATGCCCTGGTTAATAGATGCGGTAATTAGGAGATCAGGGATGATGACGATGCTTATAAGAAGTATGATTGGACCTGTCGCCAGTGACACTGGCCAAGATCGTTGGCTAGGGCTGGATAAGACATCCCCAGGCCATATGTAAGAACTATATGTAAGAACCTTACGCCGCACGAGTGATGGAATGTATGGCTCCAGGGGGGGACTGAGGGGGAAAACCATATTCAAGCCCCTCCCTAATCAAGGAGTTATGTAGTAACTGGAGGGGAACTTCATTCCAATGATATTGGTGGTGATGTCGATTTTGATATTCAAGGGGTAGGAGTGAGATTTCGGATAAATCTTGAAACGCCACAGTAGTGACATATTGTCCAAATTAGGAAATACATATTGATGATATTGGAGGGGCCTGCACAGATGTGTGTAAATCCCAATGTATGAACACGACTAAATTGATTCTTACGTATATGATGATACCATACATAGAGGTCATATCAGCTAGGTAGTTAAGTCATCAAAAACGAACATACGTGCAGGGGAAATAGGAGGGGCCAGAGTGACGAGCCCGTCAATAGATGGTAGCAACAATAATCAGGCCCAATTTACAAGACCACTCGCGATAATGTTATCGTTAGTCATTGGCATGTTTTTCTTTTGCCCCTTGCGTGGGCCTTGCCACGACGTAGTAGCGCATAGAGCACGCCATTGGTTATAATCGTGTTATTCATCCTGAGGATACATTCCACCAATTGCCGATGATTGACTATATCGTATCGATATGCACACCTCGCTGCTTGAAGATGCATCAAAAGTCTTACCTAGGTGGGAAGAGTCGGTCAAAGATCTCACAAAACAAGGGCCTCTCCACGTAAGTTGGGCATTGAAGAACAGAAAACTGGGGAAGACCCGGGGTGATAAACCCATGTTCGTTTCGTTTCGAGGTCGATCTCGAATCCACACGATGATACATACGTAGGTACCTAGTAAATAGTAGATGTTCAGATGTTGTAGATAGACGACGATATCCTCGAGATGAATGGGGGTACAATGAATCAATATTTTACAAAGGTCGAGTTATCTTTTGGTATAGTTAGCATCCGATTTCTTGTTATGCAAGATTGATTGGCCTCGATCAGGTGTAACTGTGGTAAGCTATTTTTCGACCTGTTTTCCCAGATCCATGTCTCGACGCAGGTCCATTGGTAGGTCTTTATTTTTATTTTTATGTTTATTTCCATTTCCATTTCCATTTTCATTTTCATTTTCATACTAACAATAAACATGGTTAAACGTGCGGACAACTGTCAAAGACACGCGTATAACGAAGTACCATGGTCTATAAGTTGAAAAGGTCGCTTCCGTTGCGACCAGTTCTCCATCCATCATTCGCTCGTGGTTTGTCTAGGGCTGTTTCGATTCTAAGTTAAGGTGGATGATCTATGGTCATTGGTTGAAAGGAATTGAACAATTGGCTTGCATTAAATCTGGGCTGTATGTACCGTTAGATGATTGCGCTAACTGGAACCTCGATGTGCATATTGAAGGTCTCACTGACGAATGCCTGTGGTCCCTCTTCAGGTATTCCTAGCGCTAACTAGGCGCTATTACATACAATTTCTACCTTAGGTAATGTAGTAGTTACACAGCTACTAACTATACATTGTTTCTTGTGGCGGGGGCCCTGGGCGATTAGCCTGCTAGCCTGTTAGCCCTTCCCCCCCTAGTACTCTAGTTTACGCTAAGTCCCGACCCCTCTCGCTTGTTTCATGTCTTTAAGCTCTGAACCACTTACACCAATGAATCACTCACCCGCTTCTATCATTCCCGTCATTCCCAACCCGTCTCAATCAAAGGGATTATGCGGGCGCATACTGTAGGCGGGCGGGTCCCTGGATGAGTTGTAAGCCGCCAGCCATTCACATCATCGCGACTCCAGCCTTTTGGGGTCTACGTTTGTAAACATCCTAACTTAGGGGCGAATAGACAAAGCGAATAGGCAAGATAGGTTGAACTGACTGGGTTTATTTGGTCATCTCTAGCCATCTACACGCATACTACTATGTACATGGCATACATGGCATACCTTACCTGAACCCACGATTCGCATCAGATGAACCATATTTGGAAAACCCCTTGTATAAAGGTGACCAAAAAAAAGTAGATATAGATCTGAAGACGCACACTCCTTTTTCTTCACTCCCCCTCCAGATCCCTTCCATCAGTCTTCCCTTTTATCATATAGAGCACCGCTAGTCGACAGCCTAAAAGTAAATCCACCGTGTGGAATGAGTTTGGTTTTGTTTCGACAGTATTGAAGGGAACCCGATTATTTATCATTACGACAGATAGCTACCCACGTTGACATTTAACGACCGATACGAGATTTTGACGATACGAAACCCACTTCTTCTAGACTCCGGCTAGTCTATCATCATCATTGCCTTCCCTCTAAACAGGACTATTCGGCAATTAATTGCTATCGCATATCTTCAATCTACCATTTGAAAAAAAGCCCCTCTTTTCTACGACAACCTCCTTGACGGGATCGACAAAGTTGCCCCCTCCCCCGGGTCTTAATATAAAAAAACACTTGGGTAGATCGTATTATATATCAGGCTTTTGCCTTGCACTCTAACCCAAGTAATCTTTCGGGACACAAGACACGACACAGTTCAGTACCTCAAGACACAACCAGTCACACCGCTACCCGACGTCAAGTTACAGTGAATTTGTGTTTTGGTTTGAATTGTTATTATTCACTTCCTAGTGTTACGAGGCTTTGCGCGTCATCTTACTAGTCCTCGTGACTCGATTCCATCTTAAAGATCTTTTATACAACTCTTTATAAGACCCCGCCAGACCCCGAACAAACTGCGCCTTAAGGCTCGGAGCCATCGGGAGCCACTTTTCCACTAGTCGTCAGCAAACGGCGAGAGATTCGTCAGTCTTTTTCGCATTAACGGTCATTCAGCCTACGCAAGACATCTCATTCGGAGATAATTTTTTTGCCAGGACTTTCTCACCAAGGCTCAATCGTTATTTGCAGTTCGAGTTTTAGTCGAACCTTTACGATCATTCCCAACCAATCTAGTAGTCTCCAGGTCTTCCGCCGGCTCGGGAACCTTGCCTTCTTTTGCACCTTCGCCACTCTTTACTGAGCAGGACAAGTTTTCAAGCCTAGCTGCTTAGTTGACTTAGCCATCGCCTACAAATTATTCGGCAGCCTTCCGATTTTATTCAATACCTTCTGGTAGCTACGTCCACGTAAGCACCCGTAGGTACTAATATTTGTTAAAATCGTCTGCGCAATTGGTATTGCATTAATACGCACGCCTTCGACAACCTGAAAAGGGAAAAAGGAAATCCACTCTTAATAGTGAAGCCACATATCAACTACGCGTACAAAGCGGCGATTGATTCATCATCCTAGTCCTAACCCATAAGAGGGAAAGGAAAGAAGCAGCATTATTGCGACTAATTGAATCTTGCAACGATTCGATTCCATCCACTCCACGTCCGGATAGAGGCGAGACACAATTCATTAAGCTTTAACAGCTTTTAAACGAACCGAGACCCGATATTCCGAGGCAGACCCGGAAGTCCCGCTTTACGGACGAGTAACGAGTAACGTACCTTCACTTTTTGAAGGTTCAACTTAGGCAACTGGGAACTCCCCTGCCGGTCAAATCCGGAGTCCAGATAGGGAACCTGACCCCTCCCTCCCTACCCCCTGCATAGGCACCCGCACAAGCAGTTGCATATTCAAGCACCTGCCACTAGCTGCTGCCACCTCCTTTTTAGTAGGCTTTGCACTAATCAACATAACCCCTGACACAATTTGGGTACCCATTTCTTTTCCGAGTTCCAGCCCAGTTGATTGTACTTAGGTACTTACATACCTGTCTTCCCATTTGGCACGTCAGCGGTCGATCTTGCCAGGTATCCTAGTATCCCAGTACTTTTGCTACTTTGGCTCAGCCTCGACCCTCACGTCACACACCCAGACGTACCCTTTCACAGTAATTTGTGGGAATTAGGTGTTCGTTCAGCGTTGCGCCTACTAGTCAGTCTGTCAGTCTGTCAGTCTGATATGACCAAAGGCTCCGCCTCGTGATACACCCTTCCACATCCTCCATCCTATTGCATACTCCCACACTCACACAGCTCAACATCCCAGTCATACGCTGTTGTTGTTTAATATATTACCAACTGTCCATCACACCCGTCTTCGCTTCCCCGGATTTTTTCTTTCCTTAGCTGTTGCACTTGGGAATATATCAGGTTGCTATCGGATATCATCACATTTGATACCTCGTCTTAGCAGCGCGCATCGCATCACACATAATGTCTTCGACATCCAGGATACCTATGAGCGAGCTCAACGCCGCCGCTCTTGAGCACTTTGTATATAAGCCAGTCAGCCCGGCAATGATCGCATATCTGGCCCGTGCAGCGCGCGATGTCATCCAGTGCGATCCCACTATGATGCCCCCACCCGTTCAGAACAAGTCGCAATCTCTTACACCACCGCGAACGCCATCACCGAAAGCTGTTCGCTGCGACGACAGTAGCTTACCGACGTTAGAAGAGTTTATCACACAACTAGTTCGCTCTTCCAACGTGCAGGTGCCGACTCTGATGTCTACGCTGGTCTACTTAACACGATTAAAGTCTCGACTGCAGCCCATGGCCAAGGGTCTACGATGCACGACCCACCGGATTTTCTTAGCTGCGCTCATTCTCTCAGCGAAGTACCTTAACGACAGCTCACCCAAGAACAAGCACTGGGCTGGCTACAGCCACATTAACACTGATAGCTACAGCTTCGGTTTCAGCCGGACGGAAGTTAATTTGATGGAGAAGCAGTTACTATTCTTACTAGAATGGGAGCTGCGCATTACCGAAGAGGACCTCTATCGCGAGCTAGATCTCTTCTTGGCGCCCATCCGCGACAACATCGAGGCCTCGCACGCCCGTCGCATGCAGCGCAAGGAAAAGCTACGGAAGCAACAAGAGGCCGAAGAATGGGCAGCTACTCAGCTCCCGTCACCGCCGAGCTCGCGCGACAGCTCACGATCAAGGCAAGCTGCGCTACCTTACGAGACTGCCCGTACGATGCAGGATGTGTCTACGCCACCAGGATTGGTTTACAGCTCGTCAGCTAGCAGCAGTGGCAGCTCTTACGCTTCTTCTGTCTCTTCCTTGCATCAATCGCGGTCCTCAACACCTCTCTCGGAGCCGGGAGAGGGTTATGTCTCCTACGTTGACGGCTCGCTCTACGATTCTCCCGTCGAAGTGGTCCTCGACATGCCGCAGCCAGCTGCTCGCCTTAGGGGATACCGCAGCAAGGATGCCAAGCAACTACTTCCATACGAGATTAGCGCGGATGATTTACGAACTCTTCAGGACGGCAGTGCTAAGACGAAGCGCGCGAGAACCGGAAGGGGCATGTGGGGCCGCATGTTCGGAGGTGCCAACACTTCACGATAATTATTTCATTTGTTTTGCTTCGCTGCATTATAGCCAGGAGTTACGGATTTTGGATAAAGGCGCAAATTGTTACGGGCGGTATTAAGACGCCAAAAAGAGGTCGAAGAATTCTTACCTCTTGTTGCTGCTTTCCCCATAGAGTGGGTGGAACCTTGTCGTCATGATACCTACCACGCACAGCATTTCTTAATAATAGGATGGGGACAATAGGTGCGATACAGGGCGGGCTTGGGCATAATAGGTGTACTACGGAAGAGCGGCGGATAGCATGCATTCTGGCATTGATTGCCTGTGGGGCACAATGATAAAGGGGAATATACAGATGACTGGAGTTCCGGGTCTCAAAGGGGAAGCAAAAAATAAATTCATGGGTTGGGTACTATGGAGGTATTGGATTGTTAATGACGTCGAAGCATTGATGGGATCTGTCGGCTTGACCGACGGATAAAACCAATAGCTAGCTAATTTACTGAAATGGAAATTCAACATTCGGTAAAAGGATGACTCTTTTGACTGTGATTGTTTTGAGTGATTAATACACGAACGGCGAAGATATGGCGGCACAAGTGTGCAGGATCCGCAGTTGTAGACTACATAGTACAATATTTCCGCGTCTCTACGTATTTGCGAGTAAACTCGTACCCAATAAGCGCTAGTTAGAGGGTAATCATTTTTAATTCCTACCTATATTTGGGTATCACTTATAGAATTTTTACATATGCAAGATCGTCTTAGTTGCATCGGTCCCGTCTTAATAAGTTCCTAACAATCAACTCGCCTCTCGGTAATGTCTGTTCGGTTGCACCGACCCGTTGCAGCGCAGGACCCTTGGTATTTACATAGATTTTTTGATCCCATGCCGCGGCCTACAAATGGCAAATATTCCAGAAATAGGTAAGAGGTGCATCTAGGGTGGGTTGGGGTCTATAGCCTATGACATCGTTACGTAGTAGTATAGGTAAACTACCTTACCTGATAAACAATACCTGAAATGTCATCTGCAAATATCGATAGCCTATTGCTACCTAGGTATGCATTAGGGCAATAATAGTTGCTGCTTCTACTCGTATAGTAAAATGAGATTACTCGGCACTTCTTTTTTTTTTTTTTTTCTTGACGCATGGGAGTTGAATGTTGTTAGCTTCGCTGCGCAACTGTGCCACCTTTGGAATATATATTGAACTATGTATGTACGTATTGCATGTAGCGCGCGTTAAGGTGGTGCTATGCAAGGGAGGAATCTAGCCCCAGAGTTACATGGAGTAGAAACGCATTGACGGTGTGGCACGGTGAGCGAGCGAGCAGGCCTCATCGCACAAACCAACAGCGGATGGACGCAGAATTCCGCGGCCAGGTTTCCTTAACCTCCACAAAAGTCTAGAGATGCAAAACAACACTGCTATATTAGAGGAGAAGTAGGAGAATAGAAAGGCAGGTAGTTTCTGGTCCTTCTTGCATGGGAGATTTATGAGGATGACCTAGGTGAATTAGATGAAGCTTCTCGAAACCGTTGAGAGGCTTCGAACAATCCTTCCGCGTTTCGAGGAGCCGCGAAGTGCCTCTTTTGGGGGAGGCATCGTACAAAATGGGATAGGTAGGTGGAAAAGAAAAGAATTCGGCCTCAACGATAAAATGCGTCAATGCACATATTTCGGCCGAGTATAGAAAGTCCATTTATACATGAACTGGGTTTATCTGTGTATACTCGCCTATTTGGGCTGCATGATTGTTTTGGTCCCAAGGAACGGTGGTAGGTATTTCGCCTCGGTGGGAATTGGTGGATTTCTTCTACTCGTTGCAATCCGCCAATTCCCTCCATATCCTAATTATATAAGCGGATAATACCGAATGCCAGACTTGGATGGATGGATGATACTCCACGATGAGCTCAAAGAAGGAAAAGAGAGCAATACTAAGTCAATCCACTTCTCAAGAGTCACTAGGATGATAGTCCTTGCCATCGTGGTCTTCATCGTCTGAACCATCAAGGATACGCGAAATAGGATTTGTTTGTATTGCACATCGCGCCCCTATTTTGACGAAGCCATGCGGCCGATAGAGCGACCTGGGAATCGTGTCCCTCCCCAGCTTTCGTCATAAACAAACATATCTAAAATCATCGGTTATTGGATCATCAATGCGATGCTTGCCTCAATGCAAAGTTGCTTTATCGTCGCGTTGGACGCAGGAGGAAGAATCACATAGAGAGCACAGCCACGTTAGGATGGATTATGTACTCCGCCGCGACTTGGTGTTTGCTATTAAGAGTTGAGTCACGGGCGTTAGGGGATAAGGGCGACGATGAAAGACCAGAATGAGGAACTATACCGATCGCAAAACAAACAAACAAACGCTCGAAGTTGGTGATGAGATATGATAGTGGACGTTTGTAGAACCAATATAAAAATATATTCAGCTGTCCCGGGTCTCTGGTAGCGGACACGAGACTAACGAACGATGCGCCCGTATCAGATGATATTAAGCCGAAATAGTAATCGTTATTGGGGGCTGAAAAACTCAGAGAAGAGAAGATGACGTAGGCCTGTGCTTAATGGCTTACTACATAGGTATGTATGAATGAATATTTATGTAGTGTAAACAAAAAAGGTGCAACTTATAATCACAATCTCAGCTTAGGCTGGCTTCATACCTACGAGGCAAATCATAACTCGAATATTCATTCAAAATGAATATTGAATAAGTCTGCCTCATCAAATAATAAATCTACCTGCATATTCTGTCCGAGTCCTACATGACAGCCCAAAGTCATACTAACTAACTTTCAGCTCCCAACCCAAGTCAGCCGCATAATCTCCGCATCCAGAAATGCCTCGCTAGGCTGTCTGTAACCTAGCTGAAAAAACATCAACTACCTAACCTACAATAACTATCTAACTATGTAAATCCCAAACACAAACGAACCCCCCCCTTCTCTTCCCCGCCCAACTAGTATATACATACCTAGCTGTAAATTCATAGACGTCTGAGCGTACTATATCTCCGATTCCTCCATGCGGCACAGACCCCGTATCTTAGCCAATCCGCAAACCTTGGTTCTGGACCTTTTCTTGTATGTAAAAACTCCCCGGTATTCAGCTCCGGCCAATGAATCCCCTAGCTAATTCATCGTAGCGAGAGAGATCTAGAACGCCTTAGGCGGGCGCGCTAGCGATCAATGAATGAATGGATCGATCCGTCCGGTCGGGGCGCGCTAAGACGACACTATTTCATGGCTGGGGTTAGGATAAAGAAATGGCGTTTTTTTTTTTCCTGGGGATGGATGTTGGCTGTACATAGGCTAGGAATTCACTAATAGGTAGGTACAAGTTTGTAAGATATTCAATAGTGAGTAGTTGTGGAATCCGACGGGCTAGACACAGCTGCTTCGAGAACAATGTTAGTGCGTGGGATAGCAAGACATCACGTATCGTATCAGGGGTAGGTAAGTTACTAACGAGCGTTTCGACCCATTTAATAGTTACTTACCTAGTAGGTAGACAGAGCTATGTCAAGTTTAATATATATATCATTTCATCCTACGGCAACTTGATATTAGCTCGGGTGGGACTACTGTGCCTTTTCTTACCAACGGCACGGGAAGTTGTAATCTTCGGACACGGGGGGATGATAACATCTAAAGGTTATATTGGTCGTATTGTTTACTTTGTATATAGTGAATTACATGTAAAGATATTGGGGTGTAAAGTCAGATATTAATTATCTTTAAATACGAGTAACAGAATTAGTTAAACACGTTTATTATTAACAGAATTCAAGGGGCTAAGTGTATTAGTCAGGGCCCATTTATTTTTATTACTTTTATTATAATGTTAAAATGTTTATAATACGGTGGACGATGGTATACCCGGTAGTGGAAAGTTTGTGTCTGGAATTATGCATCGCGAGGTGGAACCAAACAGCATAGAATCAACTTCGTTCCTCAGCAAGGAATTCTAACCTAACTATAGGAGTCTACGTTTATATATATTGAACATATTCTTTGTTTTAGGTGTTTCACTTAGAATCCTGATATTCCTAATCTGAAATAGACCTCGCAAAGCATGCAATACTAGCTAAGCTGTTCCCACTATACGGAATGCTATGTAGATTTGGACGTAAAGGGGTAATAGGGGTCAGAGTTACTAAGAATAACTCCGTTTGTATTATTAACTCTCTCATTCTAGGCTTCAAGGGATAATTTATATTGCGACGGAGGAGGGGTACGCTGAGTATAGTAGTAGAGTGGCGACAATATTATTATACTAAAAATTTGCGCACTCATGTAGTCGCACATGTAGTGTTAAGGTTACGAGTTGCGTCGAACGTGTGTTGATATAACAAAGCTTCGAACTTTTCCAGACGGCGCAAATAGATGCGGTCAAACCAAGTCATTCTCGTTCATTATTTTTCAATATTGATTACAGGTAAGCTTCATCTCAGTAGGTTAGGGGCGTGCCATCGAAGTTATAAAAATTACCCGATGTCTCAGCCCGTGTAGCCTCATCAATCTTTCCCATCAGACCTGGGATAATGTCCTCTAATGAATGGGGTGCCTTCTCCATGCCCCAAATTTTGGCATGAGCGTTCCCGGTAGCCGTTTGCATGAAATCCGGGTTCATGACCCATGTAGTTAGCTATGGGATCTCGAAATGCGTACGCCGAACAAGGTAGTTAAGAGCTGCCTTACTGACGCCTATGGCACCAATCTTTACGGGGATACTAGGCTCCATCTCGATAATCTGGCCAGCGTTGGAGTTGATGACGAGCAATTTTGGAGAGCTGGCTGATGCTTTGAGCAGCGGGTACACGGCATTGAAAAGTCTCACGAAGGAAAGTGTGTTGACATCAAAGATGTTACGCAAGGAATTTATGTCCATGTCTTTGGCGTCCACAAAAGCACTAGATGGATTGATACCGGCCACAGCTATAACGACGTCGAGGGCATTAATGCCGGCTGCCTTGATCTGGTCAACTGCCACAGCGTGGTCTGTCTCGGATGTAGCTTCGATCTTGACGACTAGTAGCTTACTGCCCTCTGCCGGCTTGATGTTCTTGAGCGTGATGCTTTCAGGATTGCGGACGGCGCCGATAATGGTTTGGTTTGGGCGTGACAAGTAGGCCTCAACAAGCGCGCGCCCGATGCCTGCAGCATATCAACATTATGAAAAAAGTCTTGGCCGATGGAAACATTATCACAGCTGAAGCAGAGGGTGAGCATGCCGGTGACTAGCTTCTCTTCACTTGTTCCTCCTGTAGCTTTAATTGGATTTGACTTATGATCGATAGACCTCTTCCGTACCCTGAAAGGCAGAGAATAGCTTCGACATCGTAACCTAACTCATGTTAGCTATGACTAATTCTTACCTTCCTTCTAGCAACATCTGGTTCACTTTGACGATTAAAAATGATGCTTCTGTTATTCTTAAAGCCGCCGAGTTGCATAATAAGATGGCGAAGGAGCTCTATGTAGGCATTCTTAATCAGGATTTCACCTCGTACGTCTCCTTTCAGCCCTTGTTTTGTCTATTTGTACAGCAGTCACACGTTATTAACAGAAGTGGTAACGTACTTGGCCTCGAGCAAAATACAGGCGATGCTATCCTGATCCAGGCATCAGCCAGTGTCCGTACCGCCGAGCTAGAGGCATGGGCTTGTCCCAAGGTTCGCGCATTGGTTGATGAGGTGCATGCCTTCGCTAACAATATCGAGGGCGGTGTCACGCCGTGGGTGTACCTCGATTACGCTCATTCCAGTCAGGATGTTCTACAGAGTTACGGTCCAGACAACGTTCGTAGAATTCAAGAGGTGGCATCAAAATATGATCCCGAAGGTGTCTTCCAGCGCCTGTGCCTCGGTGGTTTCAAATCTCAGCTTTGAACCCCTAATTTCTACATTCGCCCTTGTGTGGAGGTAGACCTTTTGCAAGGGATAGTTGACGTTAGGAGCAGTAGAGCCCATGTTACTCGTCCAGATTAGAAACAATATCTCTCAAATAGGTATCGGCTGTGAGATATATAACCTGAGATGACTATTGGCCTGCAATCTCCCTTACCAAGCCTGACTTAACCCATCCCCTTGCGAAGTTTCTCCCTAAACTTAGCAGAACTATAAGCCACCATATTCTTCCAATCCATCCATCATACCACATAACCTTTTTTAGACCCCTTTTATTCCTTGCGCTCCTCACAGCTCTCGATACTACGCCTTCAACCACAACAGCGAGACCGTTCAATGCGAAGAACTTAGCTTCGCCCGCAGCGCTATGCCAATCACCGCCTAAAACTCCTCTTACGGAGAACGAGTGGACAAAGGCACTGGAAAGGAACCCGCCTAGGACCTTACCTACATCAGCAGGATCCTTATCGCACTTCCCCATTAATTTTCTTTCAAGCCACTCCCCAGGCCAGACGCCATATACAAGAAACAAGCGCGCAAATAGCCGATGCCATCCGTAAGACCAGAACTTGCGCACCGACGTGATATCCCAAATCCTAGTACTGTACAGCGGTGGGAAGAAAGCCAGGGGACTAGGCGCAAGCGGGCTAAGCATTATTGCAAAAAGCGAATGGCCTAATGAGAATGCTGCCATAAGAAACGCCCCTAAAGCACCCGTAAGTAGACATTGCACTGGCAGCGGTAGCGCTTCGTCGAAAAGCTCGCGAGATTGCCTTTCATCACTACTGGACCATGTCAGGTCTATAGATGTAGCAAGATACCGTAGATATGTAGTCCTGATGATAATCCAACTCACTAATAGGACAGGGGTGGTGTGTACGAGGATGCTGTGGACACGGTTGCTAACCGTAGGCAGCCAAGTCCTGCGCGTGTGCCGCACATCGGCCGTCGTCCATGTGAAGCCGACTCCACGCATGCTTAGCTCGAGCTCGAGGGCCCAGGAGGCGCGGTCGCGCAAAGTTCGCGGCCAGCCGCACTCCGTTGTCGCCGTTTCGAGGACGGGTTGTGGATCCGGGCCGTGTAGCGTACGCTGCACGGCGTAATATGAGTCGCAGGCCACATCGGGGATGGAATTCGACATCCTGCGGGCTGCGTGGCTGATACCGATGGGAAAGCTTGAACGCTTTCCTTCGCTGGTTTGCGTACAGCTGCGGTTTGGGACAATCTCGACTTGCGTCGATTTGCTAACCAGAATTTCGTCGCTGGCTATGGCTCTCTCCTGATGCGAATACGGCTCCTTGACTCCTCCGTCGGACCATGCTCTCGCTGTGATAGCCTCTGCGGGCGCAGATATTTCAACTCTCGGCTTATGTACGTACTTGACTCGTCGGGGAATGTGCTTGAAGAAATAGGGGCTTATGAAAAAGGCGTCTATCACCCTACACCCGCCATAAAGGCCGACGAGACCAAGTTGGTAGGTAAGCCCGATGCTCTGAGGGACATGGTATGCAAGTGGTAAACGGAAGAAGAGGACTCCGGAAATCAAAGCAAGTATATTGCGAATTACTTTGATATATACAGAGTCGACAATTGGAGGAGGTGGTGGGGCAAGGAGAAGGAGAGCGATGTAGTAAGTCAGCGGCGGCATTACCGCCGCGCTGAACGTGAGAGGTTGGCTTCCTGGTATGGGATGAAGACCTGGTCGCGGTGTGGGATCAAGAACCAGTGCCTGAAGCTGGGCGATAAATCCAGGAGTAGATAGTATCATTCTGTCAGCATGTGTACCTGAACTAGAATAGAAATATTATTAAAATATTTTAATATGATTAATATCCAAGTTATCTCGCAAGCTTAAGACTTCAAATACGATGAGCTTTTTCTGATTTGGAGATGATATTGAATGCCCAATCGGGGGAATTATATCCGGATATGTGATGACGTGGGAATTAGTTAGACACATGACATTAAGTTCTTAGGTTTGATCGACTAAACTAATTATTTAATTAGCGTTACGTTTTTATAGAAACATAAACTTTCGACGCAAATCTTAAAATAACTAGTGTGAAGATTAGATAGTTTTTTGGCTATGAGAGAGTTGGAGGTGTTACTGTTAATTGAGCTTTAAAGTGTTTAAAGTGGTATTAGCTTGGACCAAAGTTAAAGTGTCTAGTTAATATTCCCCGAAGAGTCAAGTATACTCAATAACTTCCTTCGTCCAAGTATAATTATATACGTTCATTATAACATTCTCAAAGGTGTAAAGATATATTTATTAGCTTAGTTATATTATTTTCTCTTCAGTTGTAAATATTATGATTAGACGATATACCAAGACGTGGGAGAGTAAGACACAATGAACAATTAATGAATATTTGTTAAGATTTCCTTGAATATTTAAATTGCTATATATTATTCCCGTTCTTTAAACTTGGGTACGTGGTATCAATGAGTTATTATCAGGGGTTAGCTATGCCTTAACCTAGTCGCTTATGTAAGGTACGCTGGAATAAGTGACCAAAGACACCGCTATTAGACACAGTTAATCAAGTCGCCCACACCGCTCAATATCTAGGTATCTACTCGTTTAAATTACAAGGATTATCTAGTGCTATTTAAGATACGATGAATACACCATAACTCGTGTCTAGGTAATTATAAGATGCTAATGTGCAAGTTGATCAGCCCTTAGATATCATTTTATAGAGTATCAACCCTCCCCTATTAGATTACATGAATGGGCGTCATGCATCCAAATACTACACCATCTAATACATTGTATCCTTTCCCCATACTGTCTCAAATTTGAGCATCCACTAGGAAGACGGCCTAATACTTTACCGCCACATCCTAGCTTAGCCGTATCAGAGAATCCATACCATCGATAAATACCGTCATTTGTAGTTAATGTGTATATAGTATTAGAATGTGTATATAGTATTAGTCTCGTTATTCACTATGGGATATATACACTGTTAGCAATATACCCAGGCATCTTCGAGTAAACAAATTTATTTAGTTAATAGAGTAAACTTTCTTGCTTACTTTTTATTTGCCAGAACTCTGGTTTCAGTCCTACACTTACATGTTTGATCCAGCCAGTGCAGTCGCTGGACTCGAACTCGACCGCTAGGAAGTCCTTCGACGCGCAACATCCGGATGCTAACAGTGAAACTGCCATCATTCAAGGCCTCATAATCCCCTACTTAACTATGTATTTAGGCTCAGCTTTGGTCGAAGGTATCGTGAGTAAGTGTTGTACTATAAAAGGCCATTGAAAATAGCAGTGATAAACTTGTTGAGATCTTAGGATAAACACCTCATTATTCTACGTAGTTAATATTATATAATATGATATACATAAGCTCTGTTTACCTTCGGTATGCATGCTAAATAACATATTTCAACAAAGGAGGTCTCGAGGTCAATATAAAGCGGCTAGGTGAAAGGAAGTACGTAACTCTTTTGTTTAATCCTCTCAAAATAATATTGGTAAATACTTGTCAACCTAAGATATATCCTAGAAACTATCTATGTGTTATCCTTTATTAGATCCTAATGCTCATCTATTATCTTAGCCACAGGATGCACATTTACGGAGCCATCGTGCTACTTCTGTAAATAGCATCATTCTACATAACGCCATCCATTCTCTTCGCCTTCATATATCCTTATGTCAGGTTCCCAGTCCCCTATTATTTTCAAATTCTGAAATTCCGGATGCTCATACTTCATAGGTACACGCAACCTAATTTTCAGATCCGCGCCCGCCATTGTCGCCGCACTGTTTGAGTCAGCAGGCATATTCCATTGGACAACCTTCCAATGAGAAAGGTCTTCAATTTGAACAAAGTCCTCTTTCGTATTTTCCTGCCTCTCATAGAGCGTTATAACCATCGGCGAGTCCGTTCTACCACGACCTCGACGTACGAGACCAAGTAAGGAGTCGATCTCATGCTTTCTAATCCTCTGCTTCCAAGAAAACCTATTAAGTCTCTGAGGATTGTTGAACCGCTTTAGCTCGTCCGCTGGCCAAAATATGCCTTGAGTATAAAAATCCATATGCAGCGACTCTAGCTGTGGAGGCAGCGCTCTCCAAATCTTCTTAGCCCATGGACACTGCGTCGCAATTGCAACATGCCCAAATAGAAGTTCTGGGCTAATAGTGAGGCTATAAAGGTTTGTGAGGCCTGATAGATTGACCAGGGGCCCAGTCTGGCGTATATTTCTAGGAAAATCAAAAAAGCTACGAGTAGTTAATTTCAGATTCCTAAGATTCGCCCCTAGGGGAGTTATCAATTCCGCATAGAACGAGGGGCCTAAGGGTTTCGTCGCGGGATCGTTTGGCCCCAGAGTGCTACTGATAAGCATGCTATCTCTCTCGGTAACTCCAGCTGGTATTTCCAATATCAGACTCTCCAAGCTGGGGGACTGTAAAAGCATATATTCCATTGCTCCAATTCCGGATGCCTGACTTTTTTCGAAACGCAACTTGCGGAGGTTGGTGAGTATCAGCCTTAGGTCAACTTCTGTCTTGAACCGTGCGATGGGTGCACGGACGGAAAGGGACTCTAAACACGGTAACTCGTCGAAGAGTCTAAGTAGCTTCTCCGCCGGTAGATACCAGTCTAGCCTACCCAACACAATAGAAAGCTCAATCGACAGATCTCTCAATTGGTAGAAGCCACCAGTCGTAAATTCGTACAGAGCAGGCACAGTCTCCCAACTAATGCCACCGAGCTGCACAGATAGACTCACGAGAGACGTCGATCTTGACAAGTGGCTTAGTATCTCGTTACAGGGGGCCTCATCTTCTTGCGGGTAGATACAGTCAAAATCAGCGTAGATACAGCGAAACTCAGCGTAGCGAATGCGATTTACCAGATATGGATGTTTATCGCATGACTTAGCTAAGGCAGGCATCCGCTTCTCTTCCATGTCAGTAGTATCGTCTGGATTTCGATGCAGAAATAGATGTTTGTATAGAGTGCATAAGTGGCTATTTCCGAGATACGCCGTGATGTGAGTGCGAGAGAACAGAGATCAGGATGCTCATTACATGTTAAAAATCCTATTTCCTTCTCACAAGTAAAATAAGAGAAAATCTCCCTCAGAATTTCAGTGGGCAACTTTTCCAACGACATTGCGTAAATGATTTGAAGTGTTGATTTATTCTTCGCTCGTCCCTAAGATAGGGGGACATGTAGACATTTATTTATGTTGAGTCGCGGATGGAAATTTGACCCTGTGGGGAAAGACAAATCATACCGACCAGATATTCAAAATTTACGGATCTATACCGTGCAACCAAGTTATTATTATAATACGAATAACCTACTCTAAGGTAGCACCCTTATTTTCCCTATTGCCCCTTTTAAGTGGAGAAAAAAATGTGATAGTAATATCTATCCTACATCGACATTGCACTACCTTCTGTGGCCGAGTTGCCTGCTCTAACCATCGACGCCTTAGTAACCTAAGAAAAAAGCAAAATACTAACATATCTTTTACCCCCTGAATCGCCATCACAAAACATCAGCCATTATCTTTCATTTCCTTCATAGCTTATTGGGTTATGATTTCGAGGATGAAAAATAGTAATATGTGCGCAAAATCGAGTCCCAAGTGACATCCTCTCCGCGACTCGGCATAAAGCCTAGTACGAGGTGAGAAAATAAGGGAAGTTGACGCGCTAGAAGCAATATCAACCCACTTGACCTAGCCTACCACGACTCGGTTGAAGGAGAAGTGTATGCATTCCCAATAAATCATGTCATCTGCGAACTGTTAGCAAGAAATAGCCTTAGCTATCGGAGTAATAAATCTATCCCAAGGTAGAATTGGTCTAGTACTATTCCCCAATTAGCGAGTAAGATAGGTAATCCGGGGTCAGTCACATTAAGCTCTCCACTGGAGATAGTATTAGGTAAAGAAAGAGTAAAAATGCGAATCTGAATTTTCCCTTGCCACTTGGCTAAAGGCCATCTAAGCTGGCCGGCATAATGGAGCAAGGGGGGTACGACAAGACTGCAGAGCGAGGCTCGGCAACGACATGGGAACGTGTCGGCCAAGCATTCGGCTCCTAAAATACATTGTACCATCCTCGGCGGAATGGATGACTCCTGTCGAGCATCTAAGCGGTTAAAAAACAAGAGAAACAAACGGTATCTGTGCATTTGGCCGTCTTCCGGAACGCCGTATGTCCATGGACCTTGATGATACCTAAGGAAATTCCGGTGTCGGTGCACTCTCTAACATGACCAGCCGTCTCGAACCAAACACTAATAATAGGTCTCATAACCACATAATTATCATCAAGGGTTGTCCAGAGTGTCTACCGCCACGAGTAGCACCTTGTAGTTTCTATAGTGGAGCTCCAGGGTACTGGTGAGGTCGGTATTGTACCACTGGATTACCAGATAATGTCACCAGAGTCGTGTTCCTGAGTTTTGTAGTTGGGGATCCCTTGTGCTGCTAGGCGTTCTAAGTAGTCTCTTTGGACCTGGAAGATGGAATAGTCGCCTGCAAACAATGGCTCAAGGATTGTGTTACTGACGCCTGAGGTCTTGGTTCCCTTTGCAAGCTCAGCCATACGCGCTTTGATCATCGAATGAGCTTTCGAGAATTGGGCTAGGATAGTTGGAGTATTCTTAGATCCGCCTGCAATGTCATTTTCGGGGTTGTTGGGATCGAGAATGGACAATCGATCTAGGTTGCGATAAACGACATTGCTTACTTTGCTCTAAATACACATGATTAGCATAAACCACGAGGATAATTTTATAGGACTCACCTTGGAAACAAGACCGGGAGGGTTCATGCGAATCGCAACCGTGCTGTATTGGAAATGGTTACCATAGTAATCAAAGAATTCCATCAGAAGCTCTCCAAGATGATGCTCGGGCTTCATAGAACGACTTTGAACCTGTGGCATCTGATTGAGTAAGTTGACAACCATGCAGATAACGGAGAAACCCCCAATGCCACCATTGACAGGCTCGTTGAGTCCTCTCATGAGCAGAAAGTGCTTGATGACGGCAACGAGGATTGGCATCACTGGGTACTTCTCTTTCCAATCTAAAAACGTCTTGATGGCTTGATGACCATTCATCTTCTCAAACGAGATGTCAACCTTCAGGCCAGTTTCGCGGTCGGTAAATTTCACTAGTGGGACTTTGGCCTTTGCGATCACTTCGACGTCGTTCTTGTAGGGAATTCCGTGATGTATAAGGTGTGTCTTGAAGGCCCACAGATCTTTCTTCTTGTCGTATCGCGGAGTGCCACGAGTGATGAATGCGTTGGAACAAATGGCGACATCCATATCTGCAGTAGGTAGATAGAGACCAGACATGAAGGAGCCAAACGGATAGACCTCAGCATCGGTCCACTTCTTCTTAACAACCGATCGGAGATTATTGAGCATCTCGGTGCGAACGCGCTCTTCAAAATCGCGAGGACGAACATAGAGGTAGAAATCAACAATCTCCTTATGCAATCTAGAGCAAGTAAGTATGGATCCTCGAAGAAGAAAAAGGGCACACTTACCGCGTAGCCATAGATGGCGTTGTCGAATAATCAGTTACAGCCCAAGGACATGAATTGTCGTCTTTGGGTTGCCATGCTGGCAAAACGTTTCCTCCACCGCTAAACTTCATCGAAACCTTCAACGTCGTGTGGGGTAACTTGATTGTATCGTCAAAAGTGCGTTTGCGAGTACCGAGAGATGTAGATGCTGTTAGGTCAATAGAGTTATTACTAGTGCCTTTGGTATTAGGTTTGATGGTTTGGGTCTCTATGTGTCCAATTCGAATCTCCTCAGTAGGAGGGTTGTGCGAATAAGTTGTCGGGAGTGTTGATGTTGCCTCGCGACGGTTGGCACCTATTTGTCAGTTAACGATTGTAACTGTCGATTCGTACTATCCCTATAGTCCGCAGTTGCCTTACCTTCACCTTCGTTGTCACTAAAATCGCAAGAAATAAAATCTAATCCCTCTACAGGTGCAGCAGCTTGCTTTGCTTCCGCTTCTACGCGTGCTTTGCGGATCAGCTGTACCATGTCCTTCTTTTTGCGTGTACTCTCATCAGGGGGAGGCAGCGCGGTATACGGGTCGGGGTTAGACCATTTTGGCGCATCCTGTTCTGGCTTTGTAACATTCGTCTCTGACGTTCGCATTCGCTTGGCTGCGGGTTCGGCTACATCCAAGTCGGAGTTATCTGAAATATCCATCTCTGCCTCGTCACTATTTGACAGTTCATCAACATCTCTATAAGTAGCTCGACCAGCTGTATCGCCCAACATCAATTCAGGGTTATCGTCATGCTTCTTAAGTAACAGTAACCGTGTCGCTGGTATTGTTGGCCTGTAGGAACCATTTTGTCTACCCTGAGTACGGTTTCGCGCGTCTCGATAAGGTTGCTGGCGTCTACGATCGTCATTACGGCGTGGGCGACCATCGCGGCCGGTTGATCTTCCATTTTCGTCGCGACGCGGTTGATAGGGTGCGTTTCGTCCGTCGTTATAACTATGTTCATGATGAGTATTATAAGCCCGCTGTTGGGGACGGTATGAGCTATACTCTCTAGAAGCTCGTTGCTCTCGGTCCGATGGTACATATGAATCGACACCGGCAGGGCGTTCTACGCGAAAGGTGAAGTCACCTTGAGGAGGGCGGTAATTATCGCTGTCGCGATAGTTGTCGCGATATTCCCCATCAGCTCGACGGTGATCATCGGGTCGATTGCGACGTAAATCGGAGTAGGGACCTTGAAACTGATAATTATCGCGACGCTCTTGGGGATAGCTGTTCCATGATCGAGGCGGCTCATCGGTGCGCGAATACGGAGACTGTGGCGGTCGACCGTAGCTGTCATAACCCGGAGGAGGGGGGGGGTTAGACGATGATGACTGGTTATAGGAATTTCTATACATCTCGAACAAAATTGGTGTTCTCCGATTCTAATCGTGTGTTAAAAGAAAGAATGTTAGGATTAAAGAAATAAGTTGGGACGGTTCGCGCTTTAGAATCCAATGCGATAAATTCGATTAACTCGTGGCACCCGGCAATTATTACATAATTCTGCACACCGCACTTGGACTAATCATGCGCTAGTCCTTAGTTAGTTAGGGCTAAATCACTCGGGACAACTTCGGCATAGTGCCCACCGCAGGTGAACGGGATGATTTACCGGCTTTACCTAAGGCGATTTACCTAAAGCAACCTTATCATCAACAAAACTTATTGAGATCTTTCTTACGTCTTTAAGATGAACGCATATTCGAAAACAACGACAGCATGACTCAATCCTTAGCGTGTTGGTTATATGACAATATATTCTCGTTACCTCATTTTATTCCATAACTTAGAAACACCACCAAAAAAACAATAGAAACTCAGTTTGAAGCCCTTACTATTAACCATGCAAGCGATGTATATGTATGATCTTCAAGAAGAGTCTACCTACCTGTCATGTTCTTCAAGACTAAAACTGAAGAACAAACATCCCTAGATCATCGATTACCGATCCCATAGAGATTGAAGTACGGCGTTATGTGATTCCGTTTATAGTGAAGCTATTATTCTACTGGCCGCTTAATTTGCCTATATTATCACGGATCTGTAAGTGCCGCACTCCCTGATTAGTATTGTAGTGCTGCGCCTATAAGTGAGTAGAAGACCTCCCAAATCATACGAGGACTATTGCCTCGATGATTTCATCTTAGTTGCTTCAAACGTGAACTACCGCAACTATGAAGGTGCAATCGATTATTCTTGGTCTTACAGCTCTGGCCTCTGGCCATACCATCTTTCAGAAGGTATCTGTTAACGGAGCTGATCAGGGTCAGCTGAAGGGTGTTCGCGCACCGGATAGTGACTATCCCATCCAAAATGTCAACGATGGCTCATTTGCTTGCAACAAGGACCTTAAACATCTTGATAGCACCGTCATCACCGTTCCGAGTGGAGCAAAAGTCGGAGCTTGGTGGGGTCATGTCATCGGAGGAGCACAGTCAGCTAACGACGCTGATAACCCTATCGCGAAGAGTCACAAAGGTATGTCCTAGCATTAATACGTACTTGTTGGTTTCATGTATTGATCAGATCTTATATTAATAGGACCAATCATTGTCTACCTCGCTAAGGTAGACAATGCTGCTACTGCCCAACCGACCGGTCTTAAGTGGTTCAAGGTTGCTGAAGATGGCTTGAGCAACGGACAGTGGGCAGTCGACAAGATGATCGCTAATAACGGATGGCACTACTTCACGTTGCCTACGTGTGTTGCGCCGGGTGACTACCTCATGCGAGTCGAGTTGATCGCACTCCACGGTGCGCAGATGTCAGGACAAGCTCAGTTTTATATGGAATGCGCTCAGTAAGACACGCCCTTCTCCTATATCTTATGTTATAATTATATTTCTAACGAGGGGTAGGATCCGTGTTACTGGCTCTGGAACCAATGCTGGCTCGAACTTTGTGAGCTTCCCTGGAGCATATAAATCGAACGATCCTGGTATCCAGGTAAATATCTACGATAACAGTGGAAACCCGTACATGGGCGGTCAGCAGTACAAGATTCCTGGCCCTTCGGTTCTCACTTGCTAGTGACGAGACTGTATTTGTGGTATTCGAGAACTGAATCTGAGGACATGCGATCATGAATGAATGCCCTGGTACAATATATAACTGCGGTTGTAGCTGTCCATAGATAGGATACCAAATATACGAGGCAACCTCGACTATAAAAGTAGCTATCTCTTCCAATTATGAATATCCTATAATATCGCTTATATCTATTGCCGTTTAAATACCAAGCACTTAAGTAGAGTATATGATGTATTAATGATTAATACAGATGAAACTATCGTGGGAAATAGACCAGTCACGAGGTGGAACCAAACAGCATGGAAACAACTTCGTTGTTCCGCAAGGAACTCTAACTATCTAAGAAGTTCTATGTCTACCTATACATACTAATCCTGTTCTTTGTTCTAGATGTCTCATTTAGAATCCTGACAAGATCATTAGAACTCACTTTATCCTAGTGAGCTCTACTGAAGCCCCAAGCCTCTAACCCCAATAGCACTATTCTCAACTATTTCCGAACTATTTGACAGGGCACTATTGAATAACACGTCGATACCTTAGAACTAGACAGGCTGAGTAACTCAAGAACCCAATTTTAAACCCAAGAGACTTTATCCTTATCATATTAACGAAGCCTATTATACAACTCTCAATATTTCCGGAAGTCTTCTAAGTTAGCTTTAAAACAATTCATGAAGTGGAGTACCGCGGTACAAAGTTTTTTCCTTAATAAGGAAGACGATCCTATGCAATTCAAAAATAGACTTAGCTTTAAAGTTATTACCACATTTAGCAGATGGCCAATCGGATTGACAGTGGGATTCAGGGGTCCCCTGAAGTGTATGGCTTACTGACAAAGAACATCAAAGATCTTCACCGTAGTTAAAATCTGCATACCTTAGGTACCTAAAGTTAGGTACTTATCTGGTCTCTATTTTTTTTCTACCGAATATCCTGTTTTAATCATTGTAGTACGGATAGTATATATAGAGTGACACTCTATATATATTGTATATAAAGCATGTACCTTGGAAACAGTTTAGTTGACAAGATAGATTAACTGAAACTTCTTAACCGACAAATAACAATCAGCTTAATTCGAGCTTACCATTAAGTCTACGATTTATCTTAATTAAGCAGGTAGCTCGGACTAACGAAACTGTTACACAATAACGATTGACAAAAATAGAATCTTTGTCATCGGTTCTGCATCAGCTATCATGTCTTCTGCATAGCGTTAATTGCTTTTTATGCCCATTATCTGATCCTACATTCTTCGGCTAACCACAGTTAGGAAATAGTTATGATTAAGCGCACCCGTAACATCATAATTTTGTCTGTTTAAACGAAGTTATGTACTTCGTATGATGGCGGCCCTTTCATTTGAGCTTCAGGGGCTTGGCTGATATGGCTGATGTCAGCATAGATCTTGGAATGTTATGATCGCCCCATGAAGTAGGTTGGAAGAATCGTATCGTACTTGATGTGTACATGACTACTTCATATTGTGCTTCTAAACTCTTTAAAAGATCAACGTCGAAGCCGGCCTATGTAGGTACTTTCGCGATATCTTCAACAATACTTGCTTACTTTTCTCTTTACACACCATCCGAAGGCAGGCCTATTTTTGGTGGCTTATACATTAAATTATCAAAATGTTGATGAAATCAGCCTCATCAACCATTCTAGCTTTAGCTAGCATTGGGGTTGTTAGCGGCATACGTAAGTGATAATTTGATCAATGCACAGGGACTTTACTAACATGTTTATAGCACTTGAGTCGTTTGGCGAGTCTACGCGACTTAACAAGCGATGGCTTTCAGGCGCCGATAAAGTCCGTGGGGTTAACCTCGGATCGCAGTTCATTATCGAGCCCTGGATGGCCCAAGATCAGTGGTCTAGTAGTAAGTTACCTTGATTAACACCATCTAGCTACTTTCATTGTGATATTACACCTAATAGTTTTCGTCCACCGTACCCTGGATGTTCATAGCTAATATTTAATCTTCTAGTGGGCTGTGGGGGTGCCAACGACGAATGGCAATGTGTAGAGACACTAGGACAAGACGCTGCCGATGCGGCTTTTAAGAAGCATTGGGACACGTGGACTACCCAGGAAGACATCACGCAGATCAAGAGCCTGGGATTAAACACCGTCCGCATTCCTGTTGGGTATTGGATCCGCGAAGATCTTGTTAACGAAGGAGAACACTTCCCACGTGGTGGTCTCGAATATCTCGATCGGCTCGTTGGTTGGTGCGCCGACGCTGAGATCTACGTGATCATGGATCTGCATGGAGGACCTGGAGCCCAGTTTCCCAATCAGCAATACACTGGCCATGGTGTAGGCTACCCGGGATTTTATAACCAAGACAGTTACGAACGCGCATTCAAGTTCCTTGAATGGATGACGGAAAGAATCCACACCAACGACAGTTACCGCACTGTCGGTACCTTAGAAGTCATAAACGAGCCAGTCCACGCTGGAGACTACGGCTCCGAGGCTGCAGACATGATTGCGAATTACTACCCTAACGCATGGAATCGCATCCGCAGCCGCGAGGATCAGTTAAAAATAGGGACAGATGATCGCCTACACATCCAAATGATGGTATAGTTCCAACTAACTTTCCACCTAGGTACGTAGTTCATGCATGCTAACACCCACCACAGGATGAATCATGGGGCTCAGGTAACCCTACCAGCAATATTCCCGACACCACCTTCGCGCTTTTCGACGACCACAAGTATTACAAGTGGGACGGCTCAGTGGAGACGACGAAGAATGGTTACATCTCGGCCGCGTGCAACGACAATCGCGGCGGAAGCGACGTTATCGTGGGAGAATGGTCTATTTCCGTCGCCGACTCGGTCCAGTTCAACGACGAGTTCCAGATCGACAACAGGCCCGATCAAGTGGAGTGGTACAAGCAGTTCTGGGCCGCGCAGGCGCAGACGTTCGAGAAGTCCGGCGGTTGGGTATTCTGGACGTGGAAGTGCAACTGGATCGGTGGTATGAACGAGTGGCGGTGGTGCTACCAGTCTGCTGTTGCTGCCGGCGCTATTCCGAAGGATGCTGCGAGCGCTGCCAGTATAAGCCCTTGCTAAGTCGACCTGAATTTGACAGTGGTTATGAGGTAGTATTAAACATAGATTCTAGTGTCTATTTCTTTGTGTTCAGGGGAACACTTGTATTATTTAGAGTTTCTGTTACCTGTACCTTTATCCTTTATTCAACGTTCTTAGTATCTTGCCAAGTATATATATATAAGATACCTAGGTAGGTACCTGTTATTCAAACATTGCAATCCATTTTACTTGTTGTAAAGCTCTAGATAGATAATTTCCCTTACCTCTGGCTATGCTCCCTATGGTACGATTCCCATCAGTTTCTTCCGACCTAGAAAGCTAGATGGCCATAATTTGACCTGGGATATCCCTCTTCCTATATCGGAACATAAATACTAGTGATAGCGTTACTAATTAGGACAGAGTGGTTGTATTGGAGGCTGAAGTGTGTCTTATTGTGAAATCACCCCTTAAAATTTCACTACAAAAGTACCTAACAATGGACTTTGTCAAACAATTCTCTTCTATTCAGTCTTAGAAGACCCAAATCATAGAACAACAAGGCATGCACTATTTTAAGAACAATTCCTGAAAGGGGGTCATTGTGATTGAGTTATGGGTCTGAATCCCATTATGTAGAAGCCCAGGTTAAAACCGCGTAAGTTCACTATTGGAGCGTGAAGTATCTACCTGTTTCATACATTTCCATTTCACAAACAATTAAGTCCGGCCTCTTGTAGATTTCTCACTATATTGAGACACCTATATCTTTACATAACTTAGGTGAGAAATCTTCAAGCTGAACAGCATTCAAGTACCTAGGTACCCATTAAGACAGCACACTATCTAGCATCACTATCAAGCCGGCCTTGATATAACTACTCTGAGAGCGGTATATTTACTTTGATGCTATTTATTTCAGGAAATCAACTCAGCTGTCTAGCTACTTAATCTAGGAAATACTTGAACAAAATGTGCCGGAAGACCGTTACCCATCACATGCATCATGATGTGCGACAACTCATGATAACCAATCTAGAGCATCAGGGTCATACTGTTTACGCTAACCCTCTGCATACAGTATTTCATCAGTGTGAGATAGATACCCCACTGCCGAAGCAGTGGCTCCTTAACAACCCCTTTCCCACGTGCGAATACCATAGTTGTTGTCTAGTTTCTAAAAAGGTTCGTTACTGCACCGATTTCATCAATGAGTTACTAGAAACTTCCTCTTCAGAAGATGGTTTCGAGCCTGAACCCGAGTACTGTCCATATTTCATACAAGAGCACCGGCATAAACGTCTAGAATACCTTGGCCACCCCGAGTCTTACCCTAAGGGCTGCCCGGCAACTTGGCAAGAGGGCGTAAAGGAACTTGAGAGGATCTCGCTTCCTTACTTCCGGCAAAACAGGAAGAAGTTCTTTGGGTTTGTGACTGCGCTGTTTCTCTCGTGCGAGGAATATTACCAACAAGAGAAAGACGCCGAGACGCTTTTTCTGGCCTACCGCGACTTTGTTAATAACTTGCCGCGAGGCGATCCTCGGATAGCCATCGCGGAAGTTAGTGTACTTAATATCCAGAACAAGCTCATTCAGAAGAAGAAGGAGTTGTTTTCTAGAATGATTTGGGCGATGGGTCGGGATGTCGAGAAGTATTCGCGGGGCTTCATACCTATATGGTGGTTACGTATGTGGGCTTTGCAGCAGCAAAAGGAGGAGGAAGAACAAAGTGATGATTACTCAAGTGATTCCGATTACTCGAGTAATTTTAATATTTAAACTAAGATGGATTATACAAAAGTGGGTTGGGTTATGATAGGAGGTGAATAGGGAATTCATGTAGAGTATACGCCTTACTCTTATAAACGGGATAAGGGGTAATCTTGGATTATTGGCTGGCCTATTATGGATAGTGGTATATCTTTGGTGGTAATATAATAGTAAGGGTTATAGGTTTGACCAATAATGGTTATGATGAAGCGTTTCTATTTCTTAATATAGGGTATGTGAACACCTCGACGGGGCTAGTACTTGAGGGCTTTTGTTTATAGTTTAATACGGATCATTAAAAAGAGGTACCTAGATAGTTGCCTAAATGCTTGTTTAGTATATTGGCTAGTTTTCTTTTATCATCGCAGCATATAAGGTCTTGCAAACACCTCTATGTACCTGTATTTTTCTATGACACGCTGGTGCGCTACCTCACATCACCTTTAATAAACAATTTGCCTAAGCCAATATGCAATACCTCCTCCCTTCTATCTCGTTTCAGTTCCCGCCCAAATCTCTTTATCTTCGTCTATAATCGCCTCTAGACTCTCTATTCTTCCCTCACAGCCCAAGCGAAAACTGTCGACGTAGAAACCTGCATCTCCTCTCCAGGGTCTTGTGTGCTAGCCCTCATTGTACTGATAGTACCCGCCACACATCTTCGCCACTTTACCCCTTGCTATTTCTTTTTTATCTTTTTTTTATCTGGCTATAGGGGAATCATCATCAGAAATACTATACTTAATGAGGTATAAAAATGGCTACATAGTTTCGAACTACAATGCTGCACGCGCTATAATAACTCCTATCATCGATCCATACAAATACCCCACTTCATTACCCAGATGATTCTTATGCCCAGCCAAATTTTCCTGCTAAAGCATAAAAAATTCTTGTCTAATGGTAGAGTTTCTACGGTTCGTAAGGGGTACCTAAATGAACAGTCGTGATAACGGCTCGTGGTAGGTCGTCTCAAAGCTTACTGGTAAAGGGGCTACGGTACAAGCGCCGTGTCGAGGCCGCTGTAATAGTGAGAGTATTATACTCATATAATAGTAATAATAATTATATGAATACCGAAGGAGAGTATGTTTTAACTATCAACTAAATGAGTGTACAGATATGGTAACGCAGCTAGCCCACATGGCTAGTTTACAGCGTTGTAGTTGTCCCTATCAAGAGCTTTCTTCAGTCTCAATAATAAACGAATTCATGTAAAGGAGTGGAAATCCCCAATATCACCCGTTCAACTGGATAAAACACCGCCTTGAGGCTTAGTAGCTAACAAAACCTCCCTGATGCTAAACCTTGCCGTTAGACTGGACGTGTTCATAGATCTTGTCGTCGTCTGCTTGGTAATACAACTTCACGCTCTCATCGCCCCATTTGAGGGCTGAAATGCGTTTTCCAGGCTCCGGGCGTCCAGTAACTATAACATCGGAGCTCCATCCATGATCCCACTTGTACGTCACGATATTACTCTTATCATCCTGGCAGTAAACAAGTATATACGCGGCCGAGTTATACCACGCAACGGCAGTGATTGAAGTGTGGGGTAGCATCTTGTCGGTTTTTAGGTTGCCTGTAGGTAGTATCTTCGAGTTAGATGATACGAATACCAACGGGGTATACATGTACTTACCCATATACCAATTATTACTATCCACACAGTGTTCTTTTACGATCAAGTCGGGCGCTTGGTAGTATACTCGGATATGATTTCTGTCATTGCCACTGCTCCAGTATACCGCAGCCAGATGGGACCCATTATAAGCTACTGGGAGTGTGGCCCCTCTTGTCCAAGGATCCCCGCTGCGATATTCCTGAATACTGTCTGAGTTTGACTCTAACCATCTATTAGACATGCCACAGAAGTAATAATGGGAACGCCGTACCTTGAGCATAGACCCGGATATCACCATCCCCACAGTACACAGCGGCAAGTCTCGTATTATCACCCACACGGAACCTGGAATTGGTGAGATAGCCGAAGACCCATTCGTTCTGTCCGGCTGAGAGACACCACTCTTCAAGATATCTGGCTTTTGAGACACAATAGACTCGAACCTGGCTCGCTCGTATAATATTAGATACTTATATATAGCCGAGAGGATTGTAACATGAATCTTACGTACCTCCTTGCCATCATCGAAGCTAATCACAGCTAAAGGACTGGACAACTTTGCGCTGAAAGTTGGCGACTTGGTCGCACTCCATTCACCGTTGTAAGTGTGCTCGCGTATTGCCCCGTTGGAATCCTGGTGGTAGACATTGTATTTCAACGGGCCAGTCGCAACGGCGGCAACGTCACTACTGCTTAGCGCTATGGACGTCCCGTTGATTGTGATTGGGTAGTCCGAATTGCTGATGAGACTCATATTTATGTATGTGGCCTAGACTTTGTTCTATGCTTAGAATAGTGATAGTCTATTAGTAAAGAGAAGAGAGGCCGTCAGAAAGGAGGCACAGCAATATTTTATATTCGTCGTGCCCTTGTCAATATTGTATTACCAAAGTTCCTCCCATACCAAGAGTGGGTAAATAGTATCTATTATACATACCGTGTAATCATCTAGACCTATAGATGGGATGCGGATGCAGTCACGAAATAGCTATATTGTGGCTGCTTCTCAGCTGACTTGCGAGTATATTAATTACGCCGAACAAGTATTACGTCGGAGCACCGTTGCTGCGGCCGCCCTGGTAGTGGCTACCCGTTTCCTGTATAAAACCAATAAAATTCGAGTCTTCCCTATATAAAGACGGAATACGAAAAATCAACTAACATAGTACACAATTTTGAGGTTTTTTGCTTTTCCATAAGAAAGCGAAGCGAGCCTAGTTAATTTCTATGGTAAGAATACTATCGATGGAAAGCTATTACTAGAAGAGGTGATTGGTTAAACACGGACCTAGAATAGTTGAGTAGGATATCTAATGTAGTTCTGCAGTCGCCGATCCGAGCACTGTTTCCCCTCTTATACTTTTCGCCGGCGTACGCTGCCGTCCGCTGCTGTACGCGCACGCAGGCAAACGACAGATTAAAACGGTTGGACGTAGATAGACCGCTGGTTGTACGTGGGTATTTTGAAGCGACCCTTCCTACATAAGCGGAAGAGTGTATTTTCGATATTATACGCCCGCGAGCGGGACTACATGCGTGTGATTACATAGTGTTCACGGCAGCTCCGGCGCCATTAGTAAAATGTAAAAGCAGCAAAACGTCGCAAGACATGATTATCCTGTGGCCTCTCTAGTGCCTTCAGACGACGGACGCTCGAAATACTGGTTTTCCTAAATTTTCTATCTTTCGGAGAACGATGTGTCACGGGGTGGAGCAAGAAGCAAAAAAGAACTTCATTGTTCCGCGAGGAATTATAAGCTAGCTGCGGGAGCCTACGGTTACCTACTTAGGTATACATACTGGTAGTGTACTTATTTGATGTCTTATATGGAATCTCGGTAGATAAGCTATAAACGCTACAGTTTACACATAAAGGTGAGCCAGGTAATGTTGTGACCCTCTTTCTAAGAGGCGGTGTTTTAGTCACCATAGTAGGACATAATCTATTGAAAAGCTTTGCAAACTCAAGACTTGAAAAATAACCCTCTAGTTTCAGATATGTATAAGCCGATTAAGCTTTTTATTACTCAAAAAGGGGTTATTCCATAGCCAACTACTTAGGTATAATTTCGAAAATCATGCTGTTGACCCTGCGAAACAGATTGAATCTATCATATAGTAGCATATTTGATAGAACTGGTCAAAACTTAATCAACCACTTAAAGTCTGACGATCTTGACGAAAGATCATCCAAAACATCCCACATTACGGTTTCTGTCGACACACCGCTACACCACTAAAAGGTTATTTGGTAACAGATTTTATTCTATTACATATTATATATGTCGACAGATATTTTATATCTGACAGTTTCCAAGTAGCTAAAGATATTTCAACCCAATACTATAAGAAGTCGCCCGTATTTTCAATTGGTCTTGTCTTGAGTAGAGCATTATATGGCTTGCCAATCACCACCGATCTTGGGTAAAACCGTCATGAGACTAAACCGCTAATTTCCTAAGGATATCTAGTTGTAAGCTAATATAATCTATCTCTTAGGTATTGTGTGGGCGAATTATAAAGTATTGCCTTGGTCAATTGAAACTTGGTTAGGAACTAGGGGTATCCTGAATCCTATGACTTTCTCTATTTTTCTAGAAAGGCCGAGGGCACAGATATTTCCTCTTGCTGTAACCGTATCAATTCCCCTCACTCCATATTCAACAGCTTCATCTTAGCTATTCCATATTGAACGAACAATAGCTAATAGCTAAGAAAATACTGAGTACGTAATTAATTGAAAGTTATGTATTTGTCTAGTGTGATGGTTGACGCGTATAATTCATAAATGAAGGCAGTGTAAGCTACTAAGGAGATTTCGATGTAAGGCTTCATATGAACTACACTAGAGAGAGCTGTAATTGGATCACCAATTGACGCCAGACAGGAATTAAGCTAAGTGTTAGTTTTAACAAATAAATTATAAGATAATTGACTGCAAAAATATTCTAAAAGGAGATAGTTTCGGGGGGAAGTATATTGTCGGTGCGTATATCATAAACGTAGCAATGTCAACTTCTTTGACGGATGATATATAGAAGGAAGATATAATTTGGCGGGGATGGCGCCATATCTTTTAGTAATAACAGTTATTCGAAATAGAGCAGCAGTGCCATCATGCTCTTGTTTCTCATTCATGAATGGAAGCAGATCGTCCGACACGATGTTTGAACACGACGTTTGACCGGATTGGGTATTTTACATTAGGTAATTTCGTAGTGACAAGACTTTGTTACTATTTTGGTTTTTATCCGAACAGAGAACAGGTCTAGAAATCTTGTTTATCTTCCCAATCCCGACTAATGCAAGTCTTTCGAAGGTGAGCCAAAGTAGACAACAAGCGCTAGGCACCGGCTCTTGGTAGATTATGGGATGCCGCTTTATCATGCATAATAGTTGCATAAACTCCTTTACCTAATAGAACTTAGCTTCTATGGGAGCATTTGTTGGGTGAATTCATGAAGCCGGAAATAGTAACTTATCCCTCCTCCTGCGAGGTATAAGGGGCCCACATGAATAATTTTACACTAGTACGCATGGTATAAGTGGTAGTTTAAACCATCTGGTTGCCGATTTAAATCTTGTCGATCACTTGATAACTTCTGGGGTGGGCCTGCTAGCCGCTTTGCTAGATATTAGCCGTAGTTTGCCTCCCGCCGTTGTATTCTACATTGCTAAACCTCACCGACAAATAATTTTTATGAGAATTGTTTGAAGCTTATAAACTTGACTTTGAATACTCATAACTATCCGGGAAAACTACTGTTCTTACGAAATGCTTAGTTGGGTAAATTCTCATCATCGCACAATACCCGACATGACGTTTTTCTTTAGCTGACGTGCTTTGTATGAGAGGCTGTAGTTGAATTGATGTAATGCCGTAGAAGCAAGGCGTGCTTGGAACCAGTACTCGATGAATTGTGGTACGGCAAAGAGCATATTCAACCCTGTCTATGTGGTTCAAAAAAACCTTCGTGTAACTGGTTTTGATGTTACTTTTACCTTCAAGTGTGACGCACCCCGCATAAATTCCACCTGTGAAGGGCTGGATAAATTAAATAACGTGCATATATCTAATATGCGGCTCCCGGACATCGTATATATATCTTGATCTCATTACGTACTAGATTCACAGTATAATATGACGCGGCAACTAGCTGCGCGTGGCTATAATTATTGGTTCCGTTAATCTATTAAATAGGGGCAAAGGGGTTGGCTGCATTTTTATTTCGAGTTCGTCGTCGACGGCCCGGAGATGGCCGCTATAAGTGGCGATATTAAGTAATTGTGTTTCTACCGCCGTAGTACTAACAATATGGAAGAATGGTGTTCATCTGTAAGGAGGTTAGATGTCTACAGTATGTTCTAAGTGGCCGTTATGGCATAATCTTCTCGTTCAAAGATATGATCTTTAACTCACGTAAATATAAAGTAAATAAATTGATCGGCCGGCAAACGATGGGATCGCCAGTGGGGAATAAAGAAGCTTAAAAATTGACAGCTGTGATCGTCAGGTCCCAATTCCATTGTATCGAGACGAAGTCGACAAGAAGTCGAGAATGGCTTCTTATTTCTCACGATGAGTCTTGACATCATCGAGCATTTAATAGATGCATTGAATGTCACGTAGGCTCCCCATTGTTAGCAACATGGGTTTGCTCTCAGGCAAGTTCCTGGTGAGATCGATACCCGACGCAGACGTTGTCAAAACTGCGCAGCAGCACGCAAAGCCAGGGGTAGACAGGCGATAGCCAATAAGGACACAAGTCACACCTCCTTCATCGTGACAGGGACAAGAGGCCTTCCAAGCATATTTTCCCTACATACCATAGAGCCTATTCTGATACTATGGGAGTATTGTTCAGTTTCCGGACACAATATCCGTCAATGAGAAGTAGTGCCTACTTGGTAGCCCAATGAGAGGGATGACCGTATGTTGCTCATGAGAGGTTGTATTCCGGTAGTTTGAATTCATTGATCTATATTGAGCTACTTCATTAAACGAGCGAACGACTCATGATGGGTGAACTGGGTTGCGTGGGAATATCAACGTCATCTCACAGGGCTGGTAGTCTTCATGCGGTAGGACAAGAACTTTGAACACCGTTTCGAGGAAAGTGAAGATGCGAAAGCGTATGGCAGTTGTAGTTTCGACGAAGCACGCAATCTTGATCGATAACTAGCTCAAACGTGGGAAAGGGGATGTCATAAAAAGTATAAATAAAGGAGGTCGATCCCATGGAGGATGCTCTCTTTTTGTTCTTCACCAGCGGCAACAACGCAATCGATATAACCAGCTTCTATACAGCCCTCTTCTCACCGCAGTACCTCAGCTTCGACTCATCTTCAACATGAAGGCCACACTTTTCACTCTCTTCGCTGTTGGCGGCTTCATTGCCACCAGCATTGCCAACCCTATCAATGTCGAAACCGGTCTTGAGAAGCGTCAGGACATTGATGCTATCGAGACAAGCCTAGAGTCCCTTTACACCCAGATCCAGGAGCAGACTGCCAAGATCAGTGAGTGATCATGAGAGGGCCCGGTGGCTGGAAAGACCTAACAAGTAGCTAGACTCGACCCTGACCCCCGTGGCTGATGGCGCTCCCGAGGCTGATGCTTCGGCTGCTGCTGATTCCATCGCTCCTCAGCTTGAGGTTATCGCGGATCTTCTTGACAAGTCTGCTGCCATCGCCAAGCGCGCTATTGTTGAGGCCCGGTTCTTTAAAGAGGATATTTTCAAGACTGTTTCCCTCATCCTATTTGAGCTCCTCGGTACCGTGAAGTTTATCCTCATCAAGCTTGGTCTCGGTAAGAGAATCCCACTGTTATATTTTCACGCATGAAACTGACGGATAACACCAGGTCCCGTTTTGATCCACCTCGTTCCTCTCATTCTCGCTCTTGTCAAGCTCGTTAAGGCTCTCGACAAGGTGGTTGATGGCCTACTGATTGCAGTCAAGTTTATCGTCGACGACCTTCTTAAGGCTGTCGGCCTTGGTCTTCTAGGTCTCCTCCCCTAGATGGCGTATACATAACCTTTAGTAGAAACACTCACTTGACCTAGATAGAGAAGTGGAGCATCTGTTTCCTAACAATTGCTATCGCTGGCGTCGATATACATGTTTGGCGTCTTGGATAATTGTAGTCTTCTCGTCGAACTTACATTCTCTCAAGGGGCAATTGGCACAGACACAGACAAGAACTACTTGGTAGCCCCTAGAGTTACCGAGAACAAGTGCTTACTTAATGAGCCATGAGTAATAAAATTATTGTCCTAGTCGATATTGTTCTGGTGAATTCAATTTCATATCTCCGACGACTTCTGAAGCTCATACATATCGGTGACACTGTAATATTAATGTTAAGAATAAGTTCGCGAAATGATATCTAAATCTAAAAAAGAGTAATATAGGGGTTATTATAGTGGGGTTGCGGTAAGACAGGGTTAAGGGTAACTGACACAACATCCTATCTTTTAATTGGTCAACAGTCCTAGTGAAACTTTACTTCCCCTGATAAGGAGATCTTCATTGAGGCTCTTTAGCCTTGCGCAACATCGAATACCCTACAATTAACCAATAAGAAAATAATACCCTTGTATTCATTAACTTTAATACCCCGTCAACTTTCAAACCAAAGTAACCGAAGAATTTCGGACATGAGACGAAAGACGGCTAACTCGGCCTTGGTATTTACCTGATGGTTCGACGTTCCGCATTAACCCCCCTTCTCTCCCCCCCCCCCCCCCCCCCCGGTGCTGATCAGCGGGTAAGTTGTTGATAAAAAGCGTGAAAGATCTCATTTTCAAATATGATCGACATTCTTCTGCTCATCTATCACTTTTCGATTCTATCATCCTTCTGTGAAGGGACCTTGCTTCATTCGTAATCTTTTATTCGTTCGTTCTTAGCTGGTTCTGAGCATTCTTCCTCGTACATATATCTCCATTAATATTATACGTACTCGTCAAACCATCATAATGCGTACCTCATTCTCTGTCGCTGCTGTCCTTGTTGGCACCGCAGTTGCGGCCCCCGTCATTCCTTTCGTCACTACGACTGCGGTAATACCACTGCAAGATGATGCTGCCGGCTCATTGAGCGCAGCCACAGAAGTTAGCCGACGACAAAGCGCTAATCAAGCCTGCTTCGTCGTCGGCAGCACAACGCTACCCCAGGAAGTCGCCGACGTCGCCGCCAATCTAGCCTCAACTGTCACATGCAGCAAGTCCGCCAAGACCATCTCAGGTGTACCAGATGTTACATCTGGATCGACGACCTTCTCGTCCATCGACTTTAGCCAGTCTAAGCAGACCGGACTCCAGTTCGCGCTGTCGCAGTTCGCAACAGCTGAACCTCTTGCCAGCACGGATCTGCAGAAATTCCAGGACATGCTTAACGTATACCAGGCTACTGAGGCTGGTATCCGTAGCGTCGGCGGATCTTTAGCTATTAAAGTTCCGAAATTCTTCCTCGAGATGCAGGTGTCGCGAATCCAGACCGCTCAAGGCAACCCCCCGACTGCTGCTGGGCTCCAGGTCGACCACCTCCGTGACAAGGTCCTGAAAAACGCACCTAAGGAGGCCTCAAACCTGCTAAACCAGGTCAAGCAACTCGCGACCCAGCTGAACTAGATATAGATGCCTTGGTGGGGGATTAATGAATAGTACTGATATTTGTACATGGCATTTGCATTATTCGCAAGACGTCAAATCCAGCTTATCTAGCTAGGGAACGTTTATAATGAAATATTTTAGGGAGATGTATATTGTCCATCGCGCTCGTGCCCGCTTCCGTCTACCGACGCCTATATATGCAACTCTATGCCTACCCATAACCTTGTATATGATTAAATGTTTGGTGATAATAAATCGTATTTGACACATCTCTCGACCTGCACAGGGATGTTTAGTATCATTTATAGTGAAGAGAGAAATTATTGGACTCACGTCTTCGATGCTACCTTGCATAAATCTTCTGGCCTCCAATCCTGCCCAGACGAAGAACATCGAAAAATCGCCGCCCTTTATCATATCGGCCCCACCTTGCGCACCTAGCTGTCTAAGAATCGGTAACGAACTGCTCAATAAATCCACGTTGGGATCGAGACTACGACCGATACCTTCGAGGAGCAGGATACTAATTACAACGTTTACGAAATCGCCTTCTAGTCTTACATGGTGCTGCCTAACCATGTCTAGGACCTGTTGCAGGATGTCCCCAATTTTGACGCTACCTAAAGCGAGAGTCGAGCTCTTGACGTTTAGGACGAGGTGTTGCATCTTCAGGGCGAAGACTTCTTTGTCAATAACCGCATCAGGCTGACGGCAACGTTCACACATTAAGTGCCCAGCTTTATATCCATCAAACTCAGCAACGGCGCGGAAGAGGTCTAAGAAGTTGCGACGATTCGTGGCATTGAGCTCAGTTACGAGCCCAGTGTCAATGAATATGAGCTGTGGTCTAAAACCTTCCTCGTCGATCTTCTTCAGCTCCGCCTTCCACGCTGTAGAATCTCTTCGTTTGCGGTATGGGCGAAGCCGCGCTAGGACTTGTTCGGTCACATCAGCGTGTTTTTGAGGATGAGGCCCTTGGCCGTCACCTGACTGGCGCAAACTAAGCCCAGGTTTATCTGCTTGATAGAAGCGAACCATAATATTGCCGGGATGTAAGTCAGCATGCACGAAGTTATCGATTAACAGCATGCGTAGGAAAGCGTCAAGACCCTCCTGTGAAATATCCCGTTGAAACACACCCCCACCGTTCTCTAGGAAATCTGCTAGAGGCATTCCCTGTGCGAATTCTTCAATTAGAACCTCTCGCGTGGTAAACTCAAGGTACGGGAATGGGAACCAGGCCGTCGTTCGGTCTTTAAAGTTCTTTCGAAATTTGGCGAGATTTGCAGCTTCTATACGTAAGTCAAGTTGTAACTTCATCATCTCCCCGAATTGCGTAACTTCGTCGGGCAGAGATAACCATTCGATCGTTGGTATAATGTTAAGGACAGAAGCGAAAAAGCCCATGATACGAAGGTCACGCCGGACGGTTCGTTCGACTCGCGGGTGCAATACTTTAACAGCGACGTAAGAAGATGGGACGCGCTTTGGCACACTCTTCAAAACTGTATCGACTTTACGTCGAACTTGTCGCCGAAGGTTACCACGAGTCTCTAAGACATCGACGTCCCCTGGCGCAGCAAGGTCTGGCTTCAATTTTGCTCTATAGACCTGCGCAATGGCTCCGACACCAAGAGGAGATTGCTCAAATTCTTCAAAAATCTCCTCAAATCTCCTCCCATCGAATGCCTTTTCCACTATCCGCATCGTTGCTTCTAGGGAGTGCGCTGGTGCATGAGAATGTAGTTTAGCCATGATATTACACATTTCTGTCGGAAAGATATCAGTTCTTGAAGCTGCCCATTGGCCAAGCTGTATTGCCCCTATATTAGCTCGGATATTACGATATCATCATCACTACTAAAGCATTAACATACCTTGATAAATGCTGGCCCAGCCGCCTCCATGGCCTTTACTAAGAAGTTATACCACCATAATGTACCAGACCGTTCATTATCGCGGTGCACATGGCGACTCCCAACCCATATGGCTGGGACCGCGAATATGACCGGCATGAATATGAAGACCAATTCGATGAATCGTAGACCAGTACAGAGGGGTTCCCAGAAATAGGAGTCCAGAAATATGACTAACGTATGGCCTAAACGGTAGATTCCTCTCTCGTCATCGCGGACTGTCTTTCTTAACTCCTCTCGCGACGCTTCGAGCATGCGACCCTCGGTTGTCTTTTCCGCCTCTCCATTATCGTCTTCGGATAACTTGACAAAAACCGCGGTTCCAAGAGCAACATTTGCTGTTGCTTTAAGTACTTTGCTGCTAAACTGTACATTCCTCCAGGGAGGAGGACGTTGTATTCCTGCTCGGAATGTCGAATGCCATCGTGCAATGTTCACAGGAGTCTTCGGAGCTTGGGGGGCTCGACGAGCGCAAAACCGGCTAAATAAAATGACCGGTCGCATATCTAAGGAAGCATGTGTTTATAAAGGGGGGTATAAATTAATTGGCATGATGGGCAATCCTATAGAGAGGTAGGTATTGGCCAATTTAGTGATATTGCTTACTGAATAAGAGAACTTTGTATCATTGACGCATGTGAAATGGGTAGCGTCGTATACTATGGTTACAGGCCAAAGTTTAACGAGTGGGCCTAGTATTTGTGGCTGTGGCGGACAAGGACAGGACAAGCAGGTACATCAAGATACTTATATTATATATTACCAATTTTTCAACCAAAACAACAGCTTTTTTAATAATAAAAAATATTAAAATTATCTTCTAATAGTCTAAAATTTAAATATTCTATTAGATTAAGTCAAATAAGCTAAAGACCGATTTTATACCATTATATTTATATAGAGCGGCGCTATACTGTAATGGGTGCAGCACAGGCCACAATACCTAGCCCACTTCTTAAACTTACCCATATAACCATAGTAGAATCGCGTGGTTCGGAAAGCTACTGCAAACAACGGGTTCGGGTTTAACGGGTGTGACGTAGTAGATCTAGGTATTTGGATTTGAGCTAAGTCCTGGTAAAACCCCGGCATTGAATTAAGGCTTCTAGGTACATGTACCAACGTCCAAGCAGATGCTTATTATGTAATAGTCTTCAGATTTTCTCCCATTGCCCCGGTCATCATATAGATCGGTGTTTCCCGCGACTGACTCAGCCTTATAGAGACCGACGCGGCAAATAAAAAAAAAAGTTATTGAAGTTTGAAGGCGATAAGCCCCTCAGCGACAAGCCATTTGAATTCTACTTTCAATTACACTTTCCATTCCTATTTCATACGATTTCATACGCCTCAAAATATCGTAAAATTCTCCATTTTACTTTCATATTCTTTTTTTCTTAAACTTTAATTATCACCATGGGTTGGTTTTGGGCAGACGGTTCTCAAGTCGGGGCCCGATCACAGCCTTTATCGCATCGCTCCTTTGGATCACAAGATGGAGGGCGTATACCCCCTGTAAGCCATATTTAAGCCTCTAAACGCCGTATATGCACTCTAATTATTCTCGACATATATAGCCAGGGTGTCCGATGCATAAACACCAGAAGTCAGCCGATGCATTAACTTCTCCCCCAGCTGCCTGCCCAGTGAAGCATACCCCCGATGCTACTAAACCTCCCTCGGCATGTCCTGTGCCCCATGAGTCTAGAGGTGATTGGAAAGAAGAACGCGATTCACAATCGACATTTTCGAAACTGAACCCTCTAAACTACATGTTTCGCGACCTTTCGCAAACACCGGCTCCAGATCAAACACAAGCTCTCCCTACCTCTCGAGAACCTTCAACTATTCCCAGAGGCGATGGCGACGGCAATTGGGAATACCCATCGCCCCAGCAGATGTACAATGCTCTTCTTCGCAAGGGTTACACAGACACAGATGTTACTGCGGTAGAGAGTATGGTGAGTGTGCACAATTTCCTGAACGAGGGAGCATGGGCCGAAATTATGGACTGGGAAAAGCGATTCGCGGGAGGTCTATACAAGGGATGGCGTTTGTGCAGTCATGGTGAACAAAACTTTGAGAATATGGCGAAAAAATATGGATATGAGAAAGAAATGGAGGATTTGAGCCCGAGCCTTGTTAGGTTCCAAGGGCGACCGAAGGACTTGACGCCGAAGGCTACTATGTTCCAAGTCATGGGTTGGATATACCCTGCAGCATTTGGGTAAGATTATAGTATTCCAGTCGACATAGCTTCAAACTAACCCACTTTATAGTACCGAGCCACCATTCGATCGACACGATTGGTACGTATCCCGAGATACGGACGGCCAACGGAAAGAAGTTCGTTACATTATTGACTACTACTCTGGACCACCTGAGCCTACGGGAGAGCCTGTATTCTTCCTTGATGTTCGACCTGCCATGACACCGAGTGGAGCAGCTGAGAGAGCATTAAGATGGGGATGCGATGTATGGTGGAAGGCTATAGGAGGTGATGCCCGCGAGGAAGAAAAACTGAGGAAGATAAAAGGGTAAAGTGGGTGTATATGTGACGACTACGACTACAATTGATGTCGACTAGGCACGGAGTTTTGGGTTAACTTTCGGGATGTACTATAAGGGAAGGCTCAACGATTCTTACGGCACCTGGCGACGCATCATGATTCCTCAAATTTCACGAAGTATTTGTTTTCCTCTGTATCATAGTTCAAAGCCTCTACCATCCCCTCTTCAGCTAAAGAGTAGGAGTAATAGACTACGTGTCTGAATAATAGATAAACTCCAACAAATAACTCATATACTTGGGTAGGTATCCTTAGTTGATACAGTATGAAGCCTGTAAGTTGAGAACGACGTAGGAGAGGTTAACGCCGTGTTACACGTCTTCCTCCGGTAATACATTTACGTCGTAAAATGCCGCCGGGGGATACTAATAAGCCGGGTAAATTGTCACGGCATATTGATTCTTGGGGCACTACAGCAAAATCTCATCTATGCTTCCGATTCTAGACACATGCTAGAATTGCTAAACATATTAACAATAGGTAGTTGTTACTATAAATGTCATTCCAATCCCTTGGCTTGTCAATTCCCCGCAGATTCGCTAACGCGCATCCATCGATTCCCGTGGTATATTCAGATCCTACCAAGATCCTTCAACGTGTCCAGTTCCGAAATATGGTAACAACCCGCAGAGGCTCATACGTATTTAAGGATCGTATCTGAACCATTGGCTCTTTTAGAATGTTATACGCACAAGATTACTCTATGCGCTCTCTTATACTCCTACTCTCTTCCGAACGTAACCAGGGTTTCCAAGTTTTAGTCTGTCGTACGGAATATCTAGCCGGGTACTGGTTTTCGCGATAGAGAACTTACTTCCTTGATTAGACGTAACTAGAGTTATATGTAAGTATCTCTATCCACACCTTCACTTCTAGCGAACTTGACAAAGTCTTCGGCGTACCTGTGATATTGACCAACTAGACTAAATCGGCACTACCTCAAATCTAACGAGCCGAATACCTAATACTATCTTCCTAATGCTACAACTAACATACCGCCACCTACTCAAGTGGAACGTTCAGACCTGGTTGGGAAACTACAAGGTGACAACTCTAGACGAGCTCTGGATAGGACTCCTGGCGCTCGAAGCTCTCTTGATCACAGGTGTTCTTGGCTTGCGGGTCTTGGAAGCAATAGGGTGGACGGCGCATAAGTCGAGATGGATCAGGTCTAATAGTATACGTTTATAAATAATTATTATACAATAACTATATAAAATTGACAATGAAAGAAATTAAAATACTATATCGTAAGTGAAGTGAATACGACTAAGTTGAGAGATAATTGGGGTCGAATATTAACTAAAATACTTTATCAATACCTCAAGTAAGTATTTCTTGGTAAATCTGTTACTACCATCATCGTATCATCGTCTTTGCTGTGTTCGTGTAACCCATAGAAGTACTTGGTCCCTCATACAATATCCTTAAGTGTACTAGAAAAATGAACAATACAAGGTTCTAATATTTTGCTATAAAAAAAGGCAATATTTATAAGTGATTATTCGAGTAATATCACAGAAGCGAAAAGCTTGTTAATACAGTCAAAGTCACATTTTAATAGAGTCTATTATTATCTATAACTACGTCAGATGTTGATAAGTGTTTATGTTATGGCTTTGCTTTCATTCCTTTTCTTTTAGGACAACTTGGGGGTTTAATATCAAGGTGAAAAAGGCTGTAATATTCAATCTGCCTTTTCAGTAACAATTTTCTAAATTTCGGTTTATTATTATCAATGAAGTTGTATAAGTTGTCTTTTATACTTCTGTCTAGGTAACTAATATTAAATAATCTTGAGAATGGCGGGGTCATGAGTTACCCCACCTACCTGGCCTGTAATAATATATCCGATCTTTAATGTAAGTGCTATTCTTTAGCCTTTTCACATATACACGTCGTCTTTAATTAAGAGCTACAAACGCAGTTATTACATGATATATCCCTTTATCATAATGTGTGGTTGTACAAAACCGGGTAAAGAATCCTATTCGTGTCTCGGTCAAACACTTATAGCCGAAGCGATCTAGATCTATTCCATGTGGGGAAATCCGTTTGAAGAAGCGAGAGACGCGAGAGGCGATCATCGACATGTGCTTCCAATCAGTGTAACAATAGAGAATTAAACCAAGCGCTAGATTGGATAGCAGGTCTCGCCTAAGACTATTCCGTAATCCTGACGGAGTCAACTTAGTCATCGGCTCGCGATCAAGCGCGACATTGTAATCCTCTATTAGGTACTCAATCCAAGTATCGCGACCTAGATTATCTTCAATATAAATCTCCTTTCTACGTCTAGACCGTTTCTTAGAAACGTCACTGATTCCTCTCGTCTTAATAAACATAATTATTTCCATTGCAAAAAGAAGAATATTGTCTTTCATTAAGGTCTATCATTGACATCATGTCTACAGCTCCCTCGAGCTCAGTTCTCCTGTCTCGTGGAACCATTATAGCATTCAACGAGGAGACTGAGGCTATCGAAGTAGTTCGGAATGGCTCCTTGCTAATTAGCGGCGACCGCATTACAGGAATTTACGACACCGCTCGTCCGGACAATCTACCTTCGGATGTAGAAATTGTTGATTGTACGGACAAGATTATTTCTCCTGGCTTCGTCGATACGCACCGACATGGCTGGCAGACGGCTATGAAGACCTTGTCCCCCAACACCACTCTACCGGATTATTTAGGCCGTTATGCCGGACATCCACCATCACTTATCTACTCAGCTGAAGATGTATATATCGGACAACTCGCGGGGTTGCTCGAGGGTCTCAACGCCGGTGTAACAACCTCGCTTGATCATGCTCACAGCACTTGGTGTAAAGAGCGAACAAATGCAGGTCTCCAAGCATCTGTCGATAGCGGAGCTAGGGTTTACTGGTGCCATGCATTCTCGCATCACGATGCTTACTCGCTTACGGACCAAATCGCCAATTTCAAAGAGTTGGCCAAGTCTAACTCGGCGTCTAGTCTAACTACTGTAGGCGCCGCATATGATCTTTGGACGATATCTCCGCCAAAGGACGTTGAAGCTGTGATTTCCGTCATCAAGTATGCAAAGATATAATCAGTTAAGACGTTGTTATATCACTAATGAAGCATAGGGAATTGAAAATTCCGGTGCTGACAACCCACCATTTAGGGGGTCCGTGGTCAGGTACGTCTCTTAATTGCAGGAAAAAGACGCGGTTTAGACAAATCCCCGCAGAGATTTGCTGATGATTATGGAATTCAGTTGATAACTCACCGGAACTTCTTCACCGTCTCGGAATTTTGGACACTGACACGGCGGTCGTCTTCTCTCATTCTATGGCCATTACGCCGACAGGGGCTAGTCTTCTTCGATCGACTAACCAATTCATCTCAATCACGCCCGAGTCAGAGATGCACTATGGCCATTCTCACCCAAATGCGCATCTGATACAGGAGCAAGGCTCGCTGGGTGTGGACACGTTCTTCACCTTCTCAACAGATCTAATGACCCAGGCGCGGATTTGGCTCCAGCGCACTCGCTCTAGGATCTACGACCAAGTCCTCGCGGATTGGAAGATCCCCAAAAATAATCCGATGTCCGTCAACCAAGCCTTTTTGATGGCTACCCGACAGGGTGGACTCGCGCTCAGACGCCCTGACTTGGGCGTAATCCGTGTTGGCGCAAAGGCGGATTTGGCCGTTTTCAATGGCCGGTCTCCTGGAATGTTAGGATGGCTTGATCCTGTTGCGGCTGTGATTTTGCATGCAAACGTTGGCGATATTGACCACGTAATAGTGGACGGCAAATTCCAGAAGCGAGACGGAAAGTTGACCTATGACAACTATGATGCAGTCGTCGACCGTTTCCTTGCAAGTGTAGAAAGGCTACAGAAAGCCGCCGTTGAAAGACCCGCGCCTGTTCTCGAGGGACGTTTTTGGGGCGGTTGCGAATAGTAAGTGCCACCGAGAAGTGTTGATCTTGAAAAGATGCTCGAAATTTGAAGTTTTGGAGAATAGTTGCTAATATTCGTCTTCGTAGTGGCCATGCTACGGAAGTAAATATTTCCCGGGGATCCGGCACAGGTTACGGAAAGCAGTTTATCGAGAAGTAAATATTTTTATATCGGGAATATGGCGTGTGTTAGGTGTTTAAGGAACGTTATAATATTCAAGGCATGTATAAGTACTCGTATTGAACGCGCGACTTGGTGCTGGGAATACTAGCGGTTTTATGTGCCCTGTCAAAGTTAATGTATTTAGAAGACATATGGAAAGCTTAGCAGTTGCCATTCGAGCAATGACTTGAGTTTGGTATTCTCTCCTCGACTGGCTTATAACCGATAATGATACCATATATCATAATTATATTACCTAGGCTAAGATATGTAGGTAAATATCTTGATATTATAATTCAATGCCAATGAGAATTCTAAGGTAGAGATGACTCGAGGTCTTGTGAGCAATATTTTTTTTCCTAATTTGAAGTAATACCTCTGTAGCATTCGTAAATTACTAGTGTTTTCTTTTTTGGATCTGGAATAATACTCTGAAGAAAAATCTCATGATTATGACAAAATGCTACATATTCTGATACATATAGGCCGGGAGTTGAACTGCCTCTTAACATTTTATTAGCTATTGCGTTAATCTATCCCCACGTTTATTTGCCTTTGATATACATAACTACGACTGTCCCCTTTGGTCAAAAGTTGTTGACTTGACTTAGTTCCTGGTTCTCTTGCCCTAAAAACCTGGAATAAGTGGGTAGTGATGTAACAGTATATCCATGTTTCCCCGTCTGAGCGTGATGTGCGAACAGGGTTGAACCCCTGGGTTGATTCCCATAGGCCATTTGAGTATGGTTCTCTACAAGGTACATTTGATTATTGATTGCTTACTTGATATCCGGCACGTTTTTCAAATGCAGGTACTGCATACTGCATACTATATAAATCACGTTTTATGCTTGGAATCTAATTAACTAATGGATACAATTCCAAAGAAGTCACAATAGAAGGGATCAAAGCGTCTTACGATATTTGTTGTTAAGGAATAAGCAAGTAAGGGGGCTTCCCTGCAGCCCTCCGGCGGTCAGAGCTTGTTACGATGCCAAGATAAGACCGCATGAGAGAGTCGTATCCTTGGTATTTTGTTGTACCTAAAAAGAAGTAGATTAAACTGGTGAGGTTTCAATATTGATCTATCTGCCATGTAATGGAACAGTAAGTCCTTTCTTTCACCATTTGCTATCTACAGACTACCTTTCAACGGTACCGAGTATGCATCAATGGTCGAATATGTCGGCTTTCATATGCTGGAAGTATGAGAACCGCACCAATCAACATAACTATAAAGTATACGATGTAACCACTTAAGCTTTAGGAGTTAACCAAGCGGTATATATGTAAATACGAGGATGTAGTGTTGTTGTTCTACGCTAGGAGTTCACACAAATCCGCGACAAGGGCCAAAGCCCATAATCATCGGCCACTAAACTCCTAAGGTCAAGATCCCGTAAGTTGTAGATTTACGTAAAACCAGGTAACGCTTTTTCAAAGATACGCCAATCCGTACATAGGTATAGATGCCCGCAATTTCATCACAAAACACATATGCGAAAGCTTGTCGAGGCCACGTGCCGCTTACCCAGAATCTCGGTGTCTGGGATGTTTCTAGCAGTTATCACTAGGGTTATCACACGCTAATATAGTGTAGAATCGCATAGTAAAAAAGGTATCTGTTATTATATAGTACATATCAATCTCAGGAACGCGTGCCGTCTGGTGTTACCGATGTAGTGGGTGTATCCGCTCACTGCGCTACGATAGACTGGGCTATGTACTTTTGACAGGAGCATTTTTTAGACGGTGGCTTTGTCTCTGGTTAGGGAACTTTATTTACAATGTAAGACAGACTGAATGTAATATGGTCTGGCCAGAATTGGATTCTACCGTAGATTCGTTACCTAGGTTGATAGGAATTCGATTCACTTGCGTCCAAGATAGCCCAATCGGGATCAGGCCTTTTTGGCTTAGTCGACTGGGATATCGGAGCCTAAGCGTAGAACAGACATCTATCCGCTGGTCCTAGACTCTATTCGGCAAGGGGTTTGCCGGGTACTTTAATTACTACCCACTATGTAGCTTACATACGGAGAGCATTTAGGGTGGCCATCAGCCGATTGTTTGAACGATAATAGAAGACTGACGTGACTATTGCAAACCTGAAAAATAGTGTAAAGAACACTCCGAGTTCTAGACAACAAGCCAAATGTGGATTACGAGATTATAGGAGAATTTTGATGTGAAACTAACGCTGGAAAAGGGGACCCCGGCTGCGAATCAGTCGAGTTCCATTCACTTGGGATCGCATAAAGCTGCCAATGCCGATATTGTGGGCCAATTAACTACAGATATTATCACAAATCGTCATAATCCTTTACAATATCAAGTTTTTGCTTATTATTATTATTATTTAGATTCACTTTTATTAAGTTTATTGTTATAGAGTGGTACGTTGTGGGCAACCGCTGGTTTACTGAGTGTATGGCGACGCATTTCTTCATCGTTTTAACTTGCGATAGAGTCATTCTTGACTACTAAGTCGCCATTGATAAGTTACAACAATCGGAAGACATCTACTTCCTAGGTACGCATCTATCAACATGATTGAGCTTGGGCGAGATGACTATGATGTCTTCGCCAACCAAGTCTTATGGTCTCTCTTTGCAGTCGCAACAAGTACGTTAAACACCTCCCAATTTACCAGCGCTTGATTCTTATTGCCTTTTCATATATAGTCATAGTAGGACTGAGGATCGTATGCCGTTTGCGTTTCGGGACGTATCAGCGGGCGGGGCTGGGCATGGACGACTACATCACCGTATTCTGTCTTATCCTCAGTCTTGTCGTATGCATTCTTGTCACAATAGCAACAAACTTCGGCCTCGGGAAACATGCATACGATCTAAGCCACTACGAGAAAACGAATGCGCTTAAATATAATGCCATCATCAATGCGGTTTTAATATGGCAGTTTTCGCTACCGAAGTTTGCTATCATCGCTATTCTAAAACGAATTCTCAATTACGGCACAAAGACGGCGGTTTTATTTTGGACCCTTGGAATCACCTCTCAAGCATGCGTCTTAGCTGTATCGATCTGGTGGTTTAGGCAATGCGATCCTGTCGATTTTGGCTGGGATAAAAGCATCGAGGGGGGAACTTGCGTAGATATCAGAGTCATGTCAAGCCTCGCATATTTCACGTCGGCCTATTCCGCTTTCCTGGATATCTTCTTCGCATTCTATCCAATCCCTTTTATTATGCGCTTAAACATGCCACTTCGAAGTCGCATCGCTGTCGCCGGAGCTCTAAGCTTGAGCTCCTTAGCATTCGTTGTGTCGGTTATCAAACTATCTGCCCTTGGAGAAGCCTTTGCTATATCAGCAACGGATCCTACATGTGAGTAGCTGGTTCATACATTTATAATTCCTATCAGCAAAGACTAACTAGATGCATGTAGATCCTGTACCTTATCTTGATATCCTGGGGATGTCGGAAGGGTATATCCTAATAATTTGTTCCTCGCTCCCAACTCTCGGACCCCTCTTCAGGGCGGCCAAGGGAAAAATATCGAGTCGCGGCGGTAGTACTAATAAGTCTGGAGCGAATGTTGGTTCTAGCCTACATAGCTTACACAAGAGTTTCGGTCGTTCGAAGAACCAAAGATCTACGAATGAGATGGAACGGTCGATGGGAGGAAACTCGTCCAGTGCTGATGAAATACCACTGGTAACATCACCTATGCCGCTATTATCTAGCGGGATTAAAAAGACCGTAGATATATCACTGACTACGGAAGAGATTAAACCCAAGTCAAAAACTCGCTCACATGGCGATAGAATATTTTGATAAATAATATAATAAAAGTACAATTATATGTTCCATCCTTATTCACATAATAGCGTTTGGTGGAAGTCATGTTCGTAATAACCTGATCTTTTCCATATACAAGCAACCCCGCGCTACTTATATTTCATCTAATAGCTAAGTAGGTACTTTTCTATATCATATTATAGATATTGTGATATATTTGTGTGAGATCTATATCGTTAAACTATAGTTGTTATAATTACATCTTCACGTTCTTTTATTTTTATATTTTTTTTTTTTAGCAACTCAATCTCGCTGCTGTACTTTTAGTCGTTAATCTCGATCCGACCAAAATTGTGTTCTAGTAGATACTAACAAAATACACTCATCCTCTATTATCTCTTAACTCGTGGACTATTTTTTGAACACCTACTTGGTCGCTATCATTCTTTTTTATGAAAAGCTTGGTAGAACAGGGTATTGTTTGACGCGACATGAATATTCGGTTTAGCGTGAGGAGACTGTTGTATCATGAACTGTGCGCTAGCTTTCTAGGCCCTCTACACTAGGTAACTAGCCAAGGCAAGGAGTGCTCCCCAATTTTACACAATTTCTTCTCGCTAACCCCATACTCGCTTGTAATCGGACATGGAAAAAAGCCCACCTTAGATGCTAGATATAGATCTTAAAGACCACAATCCACGTGGCAATAAAGATCTTCGCATGGCCAATACGTACTATATATGACGACTCCCGTTCCCGGGCGGCATTGTCTTGCAATCTTGGCTCCGCTGAAAATACTATCTATATATGAGCTAAGCGAACAATTATCGTGCCAAGTAGTGTAGTTACTGGAACTTGTAAGGAAACGCGTTCTTATTAAAATTATACATTTTACAAGCGAAGCTAGCATTTGTTTATCTATTATCATATTAGTAACGCCTCGGTGCAATTTTGATAAAGGACATTCCTAAGGTTTAGATACATGACAACCGACGACTCGGATGACAGGTACTCATGTAGCTAACCTCGGACATGTCGTACTCTCGCGTATCAATCGTGTAACAACTTACATGAATAATCTTGGGCCGCCCTGGTGCTGGATGCTAGGGTACTTAATAGTCTCAATAGAATCAAATATTTAGAATTTAGTATAGTATGGTAACAACGGAAGCGATAGCTACCTTATCAGTAGGGCGATGACATAGCTTAAGTATGTAGATATGCTAATATTATATCATAGGACTGTTGAAACGGATATGTTTTATCTTCCAGTATATTCCACGAAGTATAAATCTGTTTTACTGCTCTACTTAAGGCCAATTTGCCTCCCAAGCGAAATGATGGTGACGGGCCGGAAAAGGGAAAGTTGAAGATAATAACTTCACTAGTTTCCACGGGGCCGCCTACAATAGCTTCCGGTTCACCAACGCTAAAGTTCTAGCAATTATATAGCTACCTCGCCGATTTTCTGACCCCACACCCTGTCTTTGAATACAGCACCTGTCTATTTAGATTCATTTAGAGTTTTGGATGTCACGGCTATAAGGAAAGATAATGATGTGGTAAGGTCTTTTAAAAGTTAGGTAAAGTACAAAACTCCTAAGAATTCATAAAGCTATTATGTTAATGACGACTGGTATTAAAAATGCTACAACTACCCAGCTTTAAAGCGATAAACAATGAAAACCTGGATATTGAAGATACAACTCCTAGAGTTCAACGTTAACGTATTTAAACTAATCCCTAGGTACGTTTGGTAACTATAAATTGTAGTTTTCATCCTATTATACATTTACTCATGTAGAGACACGGTCAGTCGTTTTAAGTTGCACGAAATATAAGTGCATAACAGTGTTGATAGAAAAACTAGAATCGATTTCCGCTACTTATACTTTAGGGATCGTTTGATACAGTAGCTCAGCTGATTATGTAATACAATGAACTAAGTTGCTAAGGCTAGTTCCGTGATAAATGTTAACTACCTAACCGCTAGCGATCCCATTTGGCACATACCCACTTTGTGGCACAGGTTTACACCAAAACTACTACCTTTTTAACCTTGAATAACATCATATATATTGATAATATAAATTTAAAACTAAATTTATTTAATACCTTATAAGGTTGCATTATTAAAAATATATTTTTAATAAAATTGAAAAATTTAATTATAATATAATTATTATAAGTATTATTTAATATAAAAATACATAGTTTTACATACAAATTAGGTATAAAATTAAATATTTTTAATAATATAAAATATTAAAATATTATAATAATAATGTTTTATATCTTAAATTTAAAAAATATAATAAAATATTTATATTTTTTTATATATAATATATATATCTTATAAACATTATACCTTTTATTATTAAAATATTAAAATTCAAAAATAGCTTTATAATAAATATTATTATATTTATATAGGTAAAACTTTTAACTTATATAATATACCACTTAATTTAATTATAACTATAAAATTTCGTATATAACGTAAAAATAACTAACTTAACCTTTTAAGCCTAATATTTTTAAATATAAAATATTTAAAAGTAAATTATTGTAACGTTTTTTTACACTTAATTTATATATGATATTTTATATAATATATTAAAGTATTAATTTTCTAATAATAATCATTTTAATTTTAATATTATATATATAATTATAAACATAAATTAATTTTTTACCAATTAATATAAGTTTTAAGTTTTTTATTACTAATATATATGATATTATTTAAGGTTGAAAAGGTAATGTTTTGGTGGGAAGTGTCCCACAAAGTGAGTATATGCCAAATGGGGGCCACAGCGGTTAGCTACCTAATCAGTAAACACATAACTAATATAACGTCTATTTAAAAAATCGAATGTTGAATAAATAAAAGAATTAAGCCTGAAATTTGTGATAGAACGAACGGTTAAAGGGTTGTTACTAGGTACGGTAAGATATATTCTAACGCGAACTTATGTATATGTTAAGATGTCCCCTTTTAAAAGAAGTTCAGTTATTTGATTAAATTACCAACACTTTTTAAATTATTCTTCATATCTCAACAACATAGGCAAACTTAAAATAAATAACGTTTGGAATAATTTAACTCCATATTATACCTGTAATATGAAGCAATTATCAGTTAAGTAAAACATGGTTGGCTGAATCTGCTTTCATTACCTGAAAAACGAATAATCATTATGTTTACGGAGTGAAGTAACGTGTTCCCAGTTCTGAAAAATTTCTAAGTCTTCTGTAGACAAAATGGATCTTGGTATCAGCGCGGTATGCTAAGGGCTGATAGGGGCTTGGAATAATATTTCAATTCAGCCAATAATTCGTTTACGGTATTTGGGTCTATTATTTCTCCGGGAACATTACTTGGGTGTTTATTTTTATTAAATAATATAAAAGGAAATGCTCGTGTCACGAGGTGGAACCAAGCAGCATGGAAAGAACTTCGTTGTTCCGTAAGGAACTCTAACTACCTAAGAGATTTTACGTCTAGTTATACATACTAAACATGTTCTTTGCTCTAGATGTCTCATCTAGAACCCTGACACCTCGAACACTTTAAATCATCCCGTGTTAATTGCCTTGCATACCTATGCATTGTGTTCTCATGACCCATGTGTTACCAATGAAATATTCATGTCTTCTCTTAATTGCGAGCTTCATTATCGTACGATATTGCAACTAATAGGTTTTGGCGTATGATACGCGGCGCGGAGGCTTCTTCATTAAATCACTCATTATATTCTAATATTATGTCTATGGCGTTGATACAGCGGTGTGATTAATTATAATAGGCCGTAGATTGTACCTAGTTAATATATTATCGGAAGTATAAATAAAGTTAGTCCGGTAAGATCGTTGTAATGACATATCAAGCCTTTATAGTTGAGCATTCCTCGAAGTGCTAAAAAGGCCACAAACGCATAGATGCGTTCGGCCTGTACTTGCTAATAAAATCAAAATAAAGATTTGACTAAGATCTACTATACGTTGGAGATAACGGTAAACCTGAAATAATTATGCTTAGATCAAAAGGTACGATAAACTTATTTTCAGTCATCAAAAGCCATGTTTACGCCACAACGGAATGGTGCATTGTCATTAGGTACCCGGCATACGATATCATCCAAGAGGCTTAATTTTGTCTCGGTGTATCCGATCGAAAATAACTAGGTACTTTGATATCTATTGAAATGATTGGCAAGGGGACTACATCTGGGTACGGTATATGGTGTTTCAGCGTGGGATATATATGCCTCATATAACCCCCCCCTTTTCACTCATATAGTTGATAAACTAAGTCATTATAAAACACACCGCCCGTATGCCGTATCTTTCAGCATTACCTATAATCTTTTGAATTGGCAAACCAGATTTGTCGATTAGGAAATCTCGAGTTTTGACATATAACTACCTCCTTAATATTCCAAAGTATCCTATAAGCATTCATCAAAATGAGCTTCACTGGCCGGGTTGATCAGATTCTAGTCGAAACCACTTCATGGTTTCCCTCAAAAACAGCACATGCTTTGGCTTATAATATTCATTATCATGCATGGACTGTATATCTTATCTGCTCAGGAGATATTCTCCATATTATCGGCGGAGGTCTCTTATTTGCCGCTCTTAACTCTTCTATTGCACCTGGTTTCTGCATGGGCCCCGCCCTCTCTCTCTCCGAGCTTCTAGCAAAGACCCCTTCGATACTGCTCTGGTCAGCTAGCAATTTCTTCCTCTTCTGCCTTCATAATCAGATGCAAGCAGCAACGATTGCTGAGGATATGCTAAATAAGCCTTGGCGACCAATCGCTTCGGGTAGACTCACTCCGAGACAAGCAAAGATAATTCTTTACTATTTACATCCCTCTTGCTTGATTATTGCTCTTTGTGCGGGTGGACTACTGCCGTATGCCATTTTGACACCTCTCCATATTTGGTATAATGAGTTTGGTGGTGCGTCTAATGGAGTCCTTAAGAACATACTTAACGGTGTGGGAATTGCTTGCTTCTTCGCGGGACCGCTCGAAGTTGCCACGAACCATTCAATCCTCGCCGGCAAGGGAGATGCAGCTTCATGGTTTCTTATCTTGATAGCTGCATTTTCCACAACTAGTCACACACAAGACTTCCGAGACACCGAAGGAGACAAACTTGCGGGTCGTCGAACAATCCCGATGGTTATTGGAGACGTACCCGCTAGGATAATAATAGTGCTTGGCATCCTAGGCTGGACTGAGGCAGCTTGTTTGTTCTGGTCAACTAAATGGCTGGAACAGTTAATGGTATTTTCAACTGGAGGGATATTGATTACTAACCTTCTCTTGTGTCGTCATAGACAAGGTGATACTAGGGCTTGGAAGTTGTGGTTTGTCTGGGTTCTAACGTTAGTTATGCTGCCGGTTGTGAAAGGAAAGGCTTAGTCCGGTGAGCTACCACTTCGTGTGTAGGAGCTCTCATCGGCAGCCGATCTACTGAGAGATGAATATTATTTCCTAAAGAGAGTCAGAAACACTGAGAGGACTATGTAGAATATCCGGGTGCGGAATGCTAGAGATAAACTGTCAGGGTATAAGTGGTACAGGCATGAATTAGGTATAGATCTACACAAGATAGATATACATGGGGTGCTACGCGCCCTCGAAAGAGAGTAGAAGGTTAAGCTTTAATATATTCATACTATTGAGGAGATATGCTTTGAGTTGAGACGTTTATACTTTAAGGATTTCTTAGAAGGAAACCTCCATTCTGTAATCGCTGAAACAGCTGTTCAGGATCGTACTTAGCGGAAGCTTCCTGCAATCGCTTCATATTTTCCATGCCATAGCTACTGAGTACCCTTTGCGAAAACTCAGCATCATTCATGAACTTGAAGTTGAGATATAGGCCTTGTTCTTTAGCGAGCTTTGAGACGTCCTCAGTAAATTCTTCTAGCTCATGGGATACTGCCGTATCGTCAGACTCCTCAGACCATTCAGCGACCAGCGACCACCCTATATCAGTTTATTAACCAGTGAGTCTAATAGCAGAATAGTGATGGGAAGTGAGATTTACATGTCTGAGGAACTTTCTGGAGTCCTAAAGAATTACCACCTTGGTTTTCCCCAATCTGTACGGCGGTTATAGATGTAGGTTGGATATTATACCATAGATTGCTAATATTTGTATATCTTCTTGCAGAATCCAACCAAAGATTATGGACCTGTACATAGAAGTCATAGGAGACTTTTGTAGTAGTTGTTGCCGTAAGTCTCCTATTGACGATTAGAATCAAGAAACTTCCAGTATTAGTTAAATGGTGTAAGTACCTGGTAGAGGGTCCTAAAATCCCGATAGCTTCGACCAAGGACTTAATAGTACCTTTGGTCGTTGGCACCAGGGTTTGCATGAGACTTTTTAAGTTCAGGAAGGTCTCAATCGCCTTTGGCTGTTCTGTCATCACGTCGGCAAAATAAATTCCAATTGCAATGAATGTTGGATTGACACTGGCAAACATGCCTAGCTTCGGATCTGTTTCCATTACTTCTTGGGCCTCAACAGTGGCATGGAGGACCTCTTCGAACCCCGAGGGGTGGTACATGAGGACGTTGTATTGGAGTTGTATAGCAGGATATGTCTGTATATCGAATCTTGTCACGATACCTATTATTTAATATTAGCACCTACCTAAGGTGGTCAGAAAGAGTGTGAAGTATTGTAATTTAAATACCGAAGTTGGAACCACCACCCTTCAAAGCCCGAAACAGATCCATATTCTCATAAGCATTAGCATTGATAACGGTCGAATCAGCCAGCACGACCTAATTATAAGGAAACTAGTTAGAGGGCGATATAACAAGATCATGCATTTGGCTTAGGTACGAACCTCGAAGTTTTTTACACTATCGGCCGCCAACCCATGGAGATTGGGAAAAGCTGGCATACCGCCCCCAAGAAGATAACCTGATATTCCAACGTCACTCTGGCGCCCACCTATCGCCGAAAGTCCCTTTTCCTCCAAAAAGGTATATACATTACCCCATGTATTTCCAGCACCAGCCTTCAAGATCCCATCACTGTCTATTTCTAGAGTGTTAAGATCCCGCAAATCGATCAAGACCCCATTATCTATGCTGCTGAAGCCAGGATTGAAATTATGGCCACCGGAACGGATCGCAAATTTAGCATCAGCTTTCTTCACAATTTTTATGACTTCAGCAACGTCTTTGCTGTTCTGGGGTCGGACAAAACAAGCTGCAGGAAGCCAGCAATTCTGACACCTACATTCATTCAGTTAGTTTAAATATTGGTAAGTAAGTCGTATTGCCTCACCATGGTTGGCATTTCTGAGACTGGTATCGAGTATGGGATGGAACTGTCACGCGCCCGGGAAAAGCAGAGTCTAAAAGTTCACAGGCCGTCTTTGCGGTGGTCACTATGTCTGACTCGGATGCCATTCCAAAGAGTTTATGGCACGCGGTGGGAGTTAATTGGTGAGAATGGCTTTGAGAATTTCAAGTGGGATAGGGAGTTATCAGGTTCAGAGGTAGTTTTGATACCACTGCTGCTACTTAATCCATGAGGAAATATAAAAAGGATGAATCGCAAGACTGAGCGTATATTTAGTACGATTATGGAGAGGACATCATTGGTAAATATAGACATTTGATTACACCGCCAATTACTTAAATGACTGGATGGGCGGCTTCAATTATACGACAGTAGGTATTCTACATCATACCATGCAAGATAATATTACTTTGGTGCATTTAGCAACAGGGGTTAAATCGATCTGCATCTTTCGGCTCTTATTTCGTAGATCGGTGCAATACTATGAATGCCATTCATTTCATCCTCATATGAGTTGAATAATGCAACCTCGAGGGCTTATCCCAGAGACGTAAATAATATATTTGTTAAGCCGCGTCTAAATAATGACATACAGAAATGAAAAAGACAGGAATATGAAAGTAAAGAAGTATCCTATTAGCCTCAGCTAGTTTGATAAGCCAAGTCAAGTCAATTAACCGTACAGACTTGCATCAGGTCAGATATATTGACTTTTGAAGCCTCTTGAACTGTCCTGGTGGAAGCCCCTTATAGAGCCACACCTCTAGCCACATCAGCCACATATACCTAATACTCCATTCCAAATAAGCCAGCCACCAATCATACTACACCAAAAATATATTAAGCCAGCCCGTCAAGTCAGGTCCAAGTCAGGTCAAGTTATTAACTAACTCATCGAAGTCGCTGTTCCAAATTCATTGTCCTGAATACAAAGGAAGAATACATAGTAAAAGTTGCTATTGTCAAAATATCAACTCTTAGAAAAGTGGATCAATGCTTTGAAACTAGCGACCGCCTAAAAAATGCATTGGGTAAATGAAAGCAACTTCTCATGTAAAGAAAGGTCTTTCATGTGGCCGCAATAGGGTTAGTTTTAATTTATTAGTAATATAGAGAATAATGCAAATAATAGTTTTGTAAATGCGATAAAATATTAAGCAATCATCGTTTGCAAGGTGCTTGCAAGGTCATGGTGAATGGAAACCCCTGAATCGACAACAATACAACTTTCCTCACTTACTATTTCCAAAAACAAAGAATGAATTCTTGGGATAAGGCTAGGGATGACATTGACAAACTTACAGAGTACTTTTCGTCCGACGCAAGATTCGATTTCGTAGGTTTCATCGCCCATGGAAGCTATGGCTCTGCAAGTCGTGTCCGGTATAAGAACCCGGCCACAGGAGACTGGAACAACTTTGTAGTGAAGAGGGCGTTTAGTTCAGAGGCTGCGGAGGAGGCTATGAGACTGGAAAAGGACTACCTCATGGTATGATAAATTGGAAGAAACGATAAGTGCGTAGACGGAATTACTATTAATAAGCTAACCTCCATGGAACGCACAGAGATTTCGCGGTGCTTTGCATATTGTCCAAATCCTAGATGTTGCCAATAATCCTCTAGCCGTAAACCCTGTTCCGGGAGAGTGGATTACAATGGAATGGCTACCTTATGGCTCACTGTCAGATTTTATCTTTAAGACGAAGAAGAAGAAAGTAGATCATCTGCCGAATCGTTTGCTTTGGAGGTTTTTCTTATGCCGTAAGTTATTAATGTTATATATCTCATAGTTATCCTACCACTTAAGTACCTAATTTCCTACACTATACGCGCCTGGTAGTTTAAACGTATTCGTTGAGCTAATAAATGGGTACACAGTAATAAGAGCTTGTATAGCCATGGCGGTAGGTAGTATTTTAATCCATGATGTACTTGTATCTATAATTAGCACTAATTTTGTATCGGCCATAGAACCCTCCAGAGCGTACTGATGGCAGGGTAGAGAGAGAAAGGGTATCGGGCCCACTTCCAGATGTGGGTGTATCGCATAGTGACCTTCATAACGGGAATGGTATGCTACCTACCTAAACATTCACGAGTATTCGATATAAAAGATATTGAGCTAATATTGATAAGTTGTTCTCGGAGAACCCCCTGATGATTTCGAGCATACGATTACGCCGATTTTGAAGGTCATTGACTTTGGTAATGCTGGAGAGTGGTCCTGGATCGAGTTCACAGGCACAACTACACATAGTAATCTCTGGGACATAGGCAAGGTGTGTGCTCTACTCAGGATATCAATTTAGAATGCAGGTCATAGACTGACGAGTGTGACAGCTCATGGTTAGTTTGATTATTTTGGATGAACGCCCTTATGTCGTAAACTTGGGTCTGGGCGAAGTTGCATTCCCTGAGCGCGGGATATTATTGACAACAGACGCTGACAAGATCCTCCCGCTCGATGAGCCCGGGGCGCCGTACCCTTGGCTCGATCCGCAATTGGGGAAACTCGTCGCCTGGTGTCTAGCGAGCGAACCCGCAGACCGTCCTAGCCTATGGGACATAGGTAACGAAGTAGGGTTTGCTGTAGGCAGTAAGCAAGCGGCAGCTTACCCAAATCGGCCAGAGGAAGAGAATGACAATATATCTCAGCTCTGGCGGAGAATAGTCCTCGATGCAGACACTTAGGCTTCAAGAAATAGGTTGAATCACTGTATTTTATTTATTGAATTCATGTCATATTAAATAGTTACGCGATTGGGGTGGTGGAAAAACGTATCTTTTTGAATCATTCAACATTCATATGATATCCTTCATAAGTTGGCAACGGGTTAAGTACCTCAGGTACTGAAAGCATTTGTTTATATTTTTTAACCTAGTTAAAATATTACTTGGTAGTTGCTTTTAGCCTAAAAGAATACCTTAGGTACCTAGGTACCTAGGTAGGTATTGTATATTATTTTCTAAAAATGGAATTTTATAAAGTACTTTACTTCATCAGAGACTGGAGGGAGGTAAGAAAAGTAATTTCGCTCTAATCACTAGCACATAATACGAAGTCAGAAGAAGTGACCTTTACTAAATCTAGTAAACTCAAAGAAGTGGTATTGGATTAAGGTTTTAATATCGTACTTTGCCTCTAGCATAATCGCACATGTAAGTTTTCCCAGAAAATATTAATAACTTCTCAATCAGTAAGTATCACATGGACAACACCGCCAAGAGGGGTTTGGACGCAATACGAGATGGCTAAGAGCCGGATAGGCGCCTAGGATAACTATTATTAGAATCATTGGATGGGACCTATCACAAGAAAATGCGGGAAGAATGCAAGATAACCAACATCTGTACTAATATAACAATTAAGTCCTAAGATACGTACCACAGACTGTCTACAAGGAGGTCTTAAGGCCGCCTCTTTGAAGAGTGAAGGGATCAAGGACCTTGAGACCTTATAGAATTATTAGTAAACTGAATATACGTTCCAAGCCCATATAGCCTTTGCTACAATATAGAAGATTATCTTTGTAAACTACATCCGGAAATTGTCCCTGATAAAAATAAAGAAAGGCAGATTTCTTAGAAGAAAGTCTTTTTTTTTTCCCCATGGGTGGCAAAGCACTACGACTTTTTTACTACCGCCAGAACAGCTATACACGTGAAAACAATTGATCATAAGGTACCCAAGGTAGGTAATTTAAACCGCGAAGTAGAATTACATGGCTCTGTTGGGACTTTTAAGTCTTAGTTGATCTCAGGCCCAATACACAACAAGCTGTAAGTCATTCTCTTCTTGTAAGCTACTCTATTAAGTACCTAGGTAACTATATGTTGGCATACTACGGCATTATGCTAATAATATTTGCTTGTAACTAAAATTAGTTCTATTACCGATAGTATGGCATCCGTTTTCATGCAACAAAAGCAAACCTCTAAGCGCCACCTTAGGTAAGTTAGGCATATGCCTAATTGGGTAACTTGTGTTGGCACTGATTGGTTTCCCGCGTATGCTCGGCCGAAGTGCTCCACCCTATCGGACTTTGCCATACCCACATGACCTCATTACCCAGAATAACTACCTCCTAGTAACGCAACCAGATACTCGGGTTATTGGCACCTAAACCACTACGCATAGATACCTAACATATGGCTTGTATCTCTACGTTGCCACTTTTAGTTGACAAGCCTTTCACGATCTCTATAGTCCGGTCAAATAATTTTATAATATCACCTACGTAATCTTGGGTAATTTGTTACCAGGTACTTAGGTAGCTACTACAATAACAATTACAAAGGTCCAGGCCAAAATATCTTACACGTGTTCAGATTATTAACACCATGTTTTATACATATTTTGACTTACTGATACTATATGAGGCATACACTAGACTAACGGTTGAATAGCAGGCCGTCAACTAAATCCAGGTGGCTTACCACCTGTGCATCTGCTATATTTATAACGATATGGGTCATCGTAGCTTCTAAACAAGGCTGTGTAATTTATTTTTATTTGAATCTAGCTTTTATAAGTTCAGATATGAAAGACTTTTGCCCCTGACATTGGTGGTCTTGGAAATATATATGAAGGTACCTGAGCTACATGACACACCTCGTCTGACAAGGAATAGACTTTCTGTGATTTAATTTTCTATCTCAATTTTGTAACATACCTTGATATATCTACTAAGAACAAAGATTTAACCATGGACACTCCCATAGATATTCCAAGGAAATGCACAGTTTTGGTCATAGGTGGTGGTCCTGCGGGATCCTACACTGCTGCGGCTCTAGCCCGTGAAGGGTTAGACGTTGTAGTGATAGAGGCCGAAACATTCCCGAGGTAAGAAACTGCCCTGTATTCCGATACTGCCTACAAGTCCCTTCTTTGTTGATCAGTATTTAATTTTTGAACCGAATTCCAGGTACCATGTCGGTGAGAGCATGCTCCCATCCGTACGGCATTTCCTCAAGTTTACCGACTGCTACGATAAGTGGAGGGAGCATGGGTTTCAGATTAAGGTAAGTAAAAAATTGTTATTCATGAAAAACCTTGCCTCGAGCTGATAAATCTCTCCAGAATGGCGGCGCCTTTAAACTGGATCCTTCTCTCCCGGACACGTGTAGGTCAATCGAGATTTTTATACTTAGAAATGCAACTAACAAATTTAATCTCTATCAGATACCGACTTTCTCGCATCTGGAGGACCCGATGGCTATGCATGGAATGTGATTCGTTCTGAGAGCGACAACTTACTTTGGGAACACGCCGGTAGCTGCGGTGCGAAAATTTATGATTCCACCAAAGTTGACACTATTCAATTCGAGCCTCAAAATCCTGAGTCATGTTCTGACGAGCGTAATCCGGGACGTCCGGTTTCAGCGACTTGGACAAAACTGGACGGAACTACAGGAACAATACATTTCGAATACCTGGTTGATGCTAGTGGTAGACGTGGCATCCTAAGTACTAGATACTTAAAAAATCGCAAGTTTAACCAGGGTCTTAAGAATACTGCCAATTGGGGATATTGGAGAGGTGCCGGTGTATACGGTCGCGGCACCTATAAGGAGGGCTCGCCTTACTTTGAGGCCTTGAGTGGTATGTTCATCAGGTCATAATTAATTCTTACCTTAAGCCTAACTACCCCTTTAGATGCTAGCGGATGGTGTTGGTTCATCCCTTTAAATGATCATACCCACTCCGTAGGTATTGTACGGAACCAAGAGATTGCCACAGCCAAGAAACGAGAATCAGGCTTGGACGATATCAAAGAATTCTACGTCCAATCCCTTGATCTTGTACCTGGCATCAAAGAGCTGCTATCTAAGGGTGAACTAATAACCGAGGTTAGGTCAGCGTCTGATTGGTCGTACAGCGCTTCGAGCTATGCATTTCCTTATGCTCGCATCGCCGGCGATGCTGGAAGCTTCATCGACCCGTTCTTCTCGTCAGGTGTGCATTTGGCATTGAACGGCGGTCTCTCTGCAGCCGTTACAATTGCAGCTTCTATACGAGGCGACTGCGATGAAGTGACTGCTGCCTCATGGCATAATAAGAAGGTTTCAGACAGTTACAATCGCTTCTTACTAGTTATTCTCAGTACTTCGAAGCAAATTAGGAACCACAACCGACCGGTCATCCACGACTTCGACGAGGAGAGCTTTGAGAGAGCTTTCGAATTGTTCCGCCCAGGTAACACTAAAATTGAATCTTCCAATATGGCTTCCACTAACTGTTCCTGTTCTTAGTCATCCATGGCACCGTCGATGCCAACGTCAAAGTAAAGCCAACACAAGAAGAAATATCCAAGACCGTGGAGTTTTGTTTTCGATCTCTAGCTGATATCCCCCCGGAGCAAAAGGATGCTCTTATCCAGAAACTTAAAAGTCTTGGAATAGAGGGCGAAGTTAACGACGAGGAAAATCTACGCGCCATTGAAGAAATAGAGAAGAGTCTCACCCCAGAGGAATCGCAGATTTTAAATATCCTGCGTGGTCGGCGAATGTTGAGGAATGAAGATTCGATTAGTCTTGTCAACTTTACCCTTGATTCAATTGACGGACTAGCTCCCAACATGGAACGTGGGAAACTTGGTCTTGTCAAGGCTGTACCGGTTAAGCCAAACCAAGCGCAGCTGTACTCCGCTTCGTTTCTAAGAGGTGACAGGCCTGATATTCGGACTCAGAGGAGTGATAAAGCTTCAAAGGTATTAGACAAGGATAATATTGTTGGAAAGCAAGGATTATATTATGGAACACCGCTCCTATCATAACCACATGAGATGGTCTGAGGATTGTAATTAGGACACTACAAATTCCGTATATTAACTTAGTCCATTGGTTGTCTGAATGAAAAGGAAGGCCTTTATCCTGTGCAAGTCTGCGCTATGAACATATGCACCATATCTTGAAGTAGTTCCCTCCCTTGTCAACAAATGGACTTTACTAATACGGCTGTTGATTAACTTGGACGGGATTTAATTAGCCCTATATCAACCCGGTAGGTTGTACACATCGGATAAATGTTTCTTCTTATCGAAAGTTTTTGATCTTGTGTTTTCAATTTGATTTATCATGCGTATACGGTACATGCACATAACTTACCCCTATTCTCAAGTACCTATGTACTTTTTTTTTTACCGTGGGTGGTTCTCAAAATACTTATCCTGCTGCCGCCTTATCGAAGCATTAATTCTTTTGTCTACCATGACTGATATGTTATATATCACAGAGGCCATATGTCTACGACAAAACTAAGTTGAGTCGTATACTAGACATAGAATGTACATCAAATTGTGGAAAACCCACGATGACTTGGAGTATCACATGGCAGACGGGGTTAGATCATCGCTTATGCAATTAAATAGAAATATGCTTTTAAATTTTGAGATCTTCAAAACTCATTCTAAATACAGAACAATATATTAATTAGTAGTTTTAACTGGCACTTTATAATGTCCAACTCTATAACCTACCAATATGTATGAGTTCTTACCTATTGACACGCGGTGTTCAAGATGATTACAGGATTCGACATCGTTTACAGCTAACAAACGGGTTATGTGAGATTTTAGCTTATCGAATGACGATAAAGTGGGTATATGCATTTACGTAAGTGCTTATGCAATTCCCCGCCGTACGTCTAACCTCTAGGTCAATGTCCCCCGCTCTTGGTGTTCCGGAGGTACATAAAGCAAGTACCTCCCTCCCGATTAAGCTTACCGATATTATTTCTCTCCATCCTCATATTTTCCTCAGCTTACCATATTATTTCCAACAACTCCAGACAAACCCCCTCATAATTCAAACTTAATATCTGTATAATTCTCAATTTTCGGAGAAAAAGGATGACTTCGACAGTTCGCCCCACTACCGCCGTTGTGGAGCGGGCCTCGGTATCCGACATTCCGGAGCTGATCACCGTCTGGTGGGACGCGTTCGGCTCCGAGCACATGCAGCGCATCTTCCCGCAGACGCCCGATGGCAGGCTCTGGCTCGAGCGCGCTTTCAAGCAGTTCCTTGGACCCGCCCCGGGACCCAATGAACTAAAGACCGAGTGTCTGATCGTGCGCAGTCCAGATACCGGTACGTACTCGGCGCGGTTCTTCCTTTAGATGTTCTTTACTGAAGCATTCTTGTTAAAGGTATCCCTGTTGCGATAGCTATATATCGCATCGTACCAGCGGGATCTGACGCAGCGAAGCAGTCATGGCGCGCGAGGTGGCCTGCTGTTGATGACTTACCGGATTTCAGCGATGCCGCCGTAAACGGGTTTTTCAGCCCTATGGAAAAGGCGCATGCTCACGTTCTAGGCGACCGTGGCCATGTCTGTAAGTACCTTATATGCTTTTGAACGTTTTCCAAACTCTATCCAGGCCATAAATGATCCAAATTGAGGCGATTAAGCTAAATGTGATATAAACTGTAGTCTTGGAAGTGCTTGGTACGATAGAGGCATTTCAGAAAAGGGGTTATGGTACCGCGTTAGTTAAGTGGGGAACTGATTTAGCCGATCAGTTAAGAGTTGAGTGTTACTTGGATGCCAGTCCTGCCGGAAAGCCACTTTACGAAGCCAACGGTTATGCAGAGCAAGATGTGTCTGCTATTATAGAGAAGCAGTCGGCGGCTTCAATGTTACGCCCAAAGAAATCCCAAGATTGATAGGTACCTCCTATGAAAGTACCTAATACGACACTCGATAGGTATGGTTTATACTAGAATTTGTTTCCATTAGAGAGACTATCATCAAAATAACCCCGACATAATAAAAATAATTGCAAAACGCCCCTTTTAATATACCCAAGACATAGTAAAGACAGAAAATAGAGCGACCTAAATATCATCGATACTCAACCCAGCTTTTTCAGCGATCAAATTCCGGCATGCGATATGTCCATTTCTCTCAGCAAGCTTCATCGCTCTACGACAATACTTCTCCTCGAAGCCAGTCTCGCAGCCCTTGGGTATGAATATGTTCTCCTTAGCTATCCAGAGGTATTCAATCATGTGCAAACGACCGTGTTCCGCAGCCCCCTCAATGGGCCATCGCCCATTAATCTTTGATGGTGGTGGTGTATGCAGAAGCGCACCGTGACTTAGTAGTTCAGCCGCTACATTGCAATTTCCACTGATTGCAGCAAATTGAAGAGCCGTGCCGCCGCTACGTGTTAACGGGGGAGCATTCACGTCCACCTCGTGCTCAAGAAGAAACTTGACAATAGCCAAGTCACCAACCTCTGCAGCTTTTTGCAACGGCGTTCGGCGTACAGTAATATACGCAGTGCCGTGCACATTGGCGCCCCATTGTACTAGTAGTTCTACGAGTGTCTCGTTTTTCTTGCCGATAGCCTGTAACAATGCGGTTTCGGAAATCTGTGCTTCATCAATAGTTGTCCTGGTACTTATAGCGTTCGGATTGCAGCCGTCCTCTAGAAGCTTGTTTATGATGAAAAATGCGGCGTCGGGATGATCGTTTATAATATCAATAGCCGTATATAGGGGTGTTATGCCCACATTGTTATAAACTTTGAAGTCAAATATTTTCGAGGCAAAGAGAATATCTAGGCATTCAAAGTTGAAATGATAGTTTTCATATCTACTATGATAGTTTTGATATCCATTATGATATTTAATTGCCATGCGTAGTGGGAAAGGTATTGAACCAGGTGTAACATTGTTTTGCACTTGACGTAAGAGCAGCCGGAGTATAGCAGTGTGGCCCATATAGGTCGCAAGCGCCAGGTAGGATACGGATAATTCAATAGCTCCATGCATGTAAGATAGCATAAGTTGTACTAATCCAGTATTGCCGGCTTTAATCGTGCCTTCGAAGCATGAATCTATTTGCTTTGTGTCGTCGCAATTTAGTGAAGATAGTAAAGCCTTCAATGTATCGTACTGTCCGACCTCATACAAGTCGAAAAGAAAGTCCAGTAGCCCTTTATTATCGCTGTTACGAACAGAAAGCTCGGAAAACATATCTAGAATAGAATATTTCAAATGCTCGTTGAACATAGACATGGAACCAGGTTCGCAAAGTGCCTGAAATGTGGTAATATCGACTCCTGAGGGTCCAATGCCTGCACTTAGTATAGCATTTACGAGTTGAAAATTCCCTCGCTCAATAGCTGCATTCAATGGCAGGCCAATGTACTTTTTCCCGTTGATTTTTATCTCGATATGATAGTTGACATCAGCTCCCTCATCTAGGAGGATGAGGGCAATATCATCAAACCCGTTTTCTATAGCCAGAAACAGTGGGGTTGCTAAGCTACCCGGTTCTATGTGGCTGAACTGGTCCAGAAGTCTTTTTATATAGTCAATGTTTCGAATTTCCAAAGCTGCGGCCATGATGTTTCCAATGCAACTGAAAGATAGTGCACCTGCCATTTCAAGGCGATTCACTAGTGCTGTATCATTTAATAAGAGAGCCTCAGCTATTGGAGGCAGAAGAGTACCGTTTTCATGCCTTTCTTTTCCAAACGGATTGACGTTTTCATATTCACACTCATCGACGTTTTCATAAGAATCTTCTTCTATATTTTCCACAAGGAGGGTCACCAGATCACTCTTTTGTGATTTAATCGAGATGCTTAAGGCTGCGAGTAGGTATTTATCACCGCAGAACGGGAGTAGGAATTTAGCAAGCTCATAGTGACCATTATTAACGCCTATGAACAAAGCAGCTCCAAGCCCTTTGTGATTGTCGCAAAAGCAGCCACACTCCGTTTTCTTGCAGTTGTCGTGGATAAGGCGTAGAGCATCTACTACCTCGTTGTCTTCCATTGTTTTCACTATACTCCGTATAATCCCAAATTTTACCATCGTTTTGTGGTCAAGAGGTGTGAATGAAGTGAGCGCCAATCTAATTGCGTCTATGGTCCAATTCCGAGGATTTTCGCAGTCCTGGGATGTCTCACTAATTGCATCAGGCCAATAGTCTCGTATCAGTACGCAAAACTCTACCCATTCTGCGTCAAGAGTTTTCTGTTTATCAGAGTAGATTTTTATTAGATCTTCCCGGTTTGCTTCAGTTAGGTTTTCTTTTGTATTCAGCAAGATTTTCATAGCGGCCAAATTTTTTAGCTCCGCCACACGTTTAATTGCTCTACATCGATGTCCGTTCTTAGTAGATATAACTTTATTCGCGCTAACCAAGCCTGTGCGTTGAATAATACGGAGAACATTATTTTCTTTCTCCTCTATTGCGGCTTCGAAAAGGGATTCCGCAAGTGCTCTTGTAAAGTGATCGTATCCAGCCTCCGGAAATGGGGTAGTGGCTTTCTCGGAATGTGCGAATAGCTTCAGTATCGGTCCCATAGGAATATTCCCCAAGCCCGATAGCTTATTCGCAATCACAAAGATAAGTCCTTCGAATAAGCTCTCATCGTTAAACGTTCCACTGGGGCTTGTCACGAATACCTCATTTTCCCATTGTTTTGGAAGCAAACTCCCCGGTATCAATGCTTGGAGATTTTGAAGATTGTGATTAGAATGGGAGGATTCCCAGTGCTTTGACACGGAAACGTCCATATTCGCTTCCATATCCATCAGTGGCCTTACGATTTCATTGTGGATCATAGGAAGTTGTTTTTTCCATGATGCAAGCAGGGAGCTGGTTTTACCGAGAGACAGAATTTTCAGCCATTCGTAAGGGGCTCTCAAAGGGTGTTCGGATTGCAATGACTCTGAGAGGTTATCCCAAATGGAAAAGGTGAATTCTTCTAGGGTGGGTGTGGCCATGGTGGGTGTGGCTGGGCGCCATTTCAGCGGACTAGGATGATTCCATAAAAACTCGGGGAAGTCGACAAAGTCGTTTAGGTTCAAAGGACCTCTGGTGGGCTTAAGTAAAGGCAAGCTATTTAATAGGGTGTCACGGAATTCGGTTATCCGGCTCTCCACGATCTCGCGAGGCTCGTCTGTCGGCATAGGTATTGGACCGACAGTAGCACCTCCTGGGAATTGATACCAAGTGCCATCTTGGTTTTGAATTTCGATTGAGAAGTCTGAGATCTCGTTATCGAAGAGATAATCCATTTGGGAATTGCCTTCGCTTCCCATAGATTTGCTTTTGCAGTTCCGCCTAGCCCGACGGATTGTTTTTTCATGAACTACCCGATCCGATACAGTCACTCGGCTTACGGTACCCGGATCCAAACTGTCTAATATGCTGAAAATACGGTGCCATTCTGAGACCTTCAAATTTCTTCGGACCTTCCATACTCGAAATTGTGCCTCGTACTGCGAAATACTTTCAGTCAATAGGTTAGCAGATGATGGTAAAAAAGAGGATAGGTTCACTCACGTCGCTTCGAATCCATGTTCAGTCTTCATGATACTAACAATATCCTTTAACCAGCGACGATCATCTAAGTAGAGTTTCAAAATATCATCCTTATGTACCTCCCAGGTGGTATCAGAAATCTTAGTTGTTCGAGGTATTGAAGACATTGGAAGAATTATTTCAACGAACAGGAATAAAGGGATAGTTCGCAAATAAGTCAGAGTTTTGCTAGCATCTTATCTTCGTTCGTTGGAGAAAGAGTGTATAAATAGACGAAGAATTAATTAAGTTGGAAGGCTTTCGAGGTAGGCTATGGCGCTCAGGATATGTCGGGGGGGCCGTTGTGACGTGTAATACGCAGTGATAAGCCACATAACAGAACCTGCGTAAGCGAGGCTGCTTACCGAAATCTGGTTGCCAGAATCTCAGCATTGGATTGGGCTTTTCATGCATCTTGGGTAGTACACTACAGCACCATAGCCACGTCGATAAGCACCTAATATATCTATGTACTTTTAGGTAGAACGGATATGTAAGAGTTACAAACCAAAGTCTGGTCCATAACCTGTGGCCATTTTACTAGGGAACGAATGAGAGTACAGGAAACCGAGGGAATTTATAGCCGATAATGCCCACATTGTAGTAGCCCCGAGTATAGGAAGTGTAGCATTTCCGTTTATCACATGCGATATCCAGCAGATAAGGTAGTACAACACCCATTCTGGCCAGGCTATGTCACAAACTAAAACGTCCTTTAAGATAGTCGTGGGGTGTCATAACCTGAGCCTGTGAAGTGTCGGCTCAGGATATGGCACTGTAGTTCATACACATGATGAATATGCCAATCAGCTGCTCAGGTTAAGGCGATATTGTAACGTGCATACAGAATCTCTATTACCCAGAGTGAGTATTTGCGTCAAACTAAATGACTGAGTGTAGAGTAGCTGGTCCAAAGGGCAACTAATAAACATAATATAAAGATATAATAGTTACATGTCAAGTCCCAGAAGAGTTCAATTCACTTTTTCTTCAGTCCTTGTAAACCTCAGCATAAATTCGAATGCGGAACTAAGTCAAGAATCTTAAACTTAAAATCATTGAAATACACGCTCTATACCTCCAAAGACAGACCCACCGAATTATGTCTTCGTCTTCAAATCACCCAAGCGACCAGCCATCGGGAGGAACCACTATGTACGTATTGCATTAGTATGCAGTCTTAGAGATGTATATACCTAATTTATCTCCAGGCAGCAAGACAGCCAAGTCTCTTACATGGTGGCAGCATATCTCAACGCGGAACCAAATATCCACGAGAAAGTATCCGGTGTAATCGAATTTAAGGAGGGGGGAGATAACAGAAAGGGATATTATGAAGGCAAGGCTAAGAAGGCTTTAGATAGTTTCGACAAGGCTTGGAATAACGCAAAATAAACGATGTATTCGGTGATGGGGTATACCTGAGCATATTCTCCAGACGTCGGTAAACTTTGGTCCCGGGTATAGAAACTTGAAAGGATACCTACCGAGATATAGATTAGTGAATGGGTGAAGTTATTATATAATAAACTTGAAGGTCTCACAAAAACTTAGCATGCCTGACTTGAGATCTTACTCGCCTGTTACTAAGATCGAACTTTGAATCCACATAGCTTGTCCCACTCTCCAGAAGCGTACTGTTTATTATTATAAACAAGGAGAGAAATCAATCGTATAATAATACTAGCTTCTAAATATTCCTATACGTCTTGCTTTTGAAGTTTACCTAGTATCCTACTTATAAACACACCAGATATCTCTATGCAGGCTCTGTTACAGGCCCATCTCCTACAAATCTTATAACCCCTGAAAGCCATGTCTCATTATCCTCCAACTTATCGGGGTCTCCACCCCAACGCAGCACACTAGCAAGCCAGCGGTAGTCACCCGGACCGGGTGAATATTCGGTTCCGTTAGGAAGAGTAGCCTTCAACCCGGCTCCTTGGGGCCAGTTAAAAGTAGACGGAGACAGCAATTCGGTGGAATTCACCAGAGTGCCGTAGGATGGCAACCCAAACACTGATATCGGCGGTATCATATTTGAGGAACGGTACTCATAAGTCTCGGCCGGGTCGTAGCCGTAGAAGTCAGGTTCTATGCTAATATTAGCAGGTACGAGATCAATCCGATATCCACGAGTGAACTGGTCGCGGCCGATAAGCGAGCGATACGACATCGAAGAATTAACTTCCAGTAAGCCTTTGTTAATAAACCAGTCATCCTGGAACTTGTATGATATTTGCGGCTGCACTGCCGTGCTCGTGTTTAGGACATGAATATACTGGGCATTGTATAAGGAGTAAGGGGGACCAGAATATGGCACGCTAAACTCTTCGCCATCACTGGTCACCTTTATGAATCCACCAAATACTGGTAGTCGCTCGGGCTTGAGACCAGAGGTAGGAGGTAAGATCTTGAATGATACAACCGTAGACTCTCCTGCCGGGACTTCGACGGTCGGTGACTCAAATTCGGCGGATCCATATATCGGGAGCTGATTCTCCTGAGAGAAGATGGGGTTATTAGGGGGGTTGGGTTCCGAATAGCTGGCACCTTCGTGGGATAATGCATATTGCTTCGTCGAATTTGAATAGTTCTTAATTGTTATATTGACTGCTCCGAACGTAGTGTGCGTGTTATCAGTTACGAGAAGTTGGCCCGGAGACACGCGACTCAGATATGTGATAGCATTATATGCATTGACCAAACCAGCTCCCTGTTGGAAGGTCCCCGCAGTAATGGTATCGTTATATACCCATTTCATAGGCCTTGAAGTTGACTGTAGAAGGGAAAGGATTTCCGCGACAGACAGGTCAGGGAACTGAGATTTAACTAGTGCATAACAACCGCTAATGAACGGGGCTGCCATTGACGTGCCTGATAGGAGGGAGTAGTAACCTTGCTCGCCAAGGGGCCAAGTAGAAAGTATTTCGCCTCCAGGTGCCGATATTTGAGGCTTCAAATCGTAATTCAAGTAGATAGGCCCGAAGGCCGAGTAGTAGTCCATTTTACCACCCACGACCTGCACAGGGCTCGAATAGGAGGTGTCATTGAAGTATAGCTTATATTTATCGGGCCCAGTAGTGTTCATATTCGCCAGGAGTGTAGTGCTGTCCTCAAAATTCACTGATATGTACTGAACCGAACCATCCCCTATGGAGCCCGAAGAAGGTATCTCGTAGGCCACATTATATGGGTCCGACATATTCGTATAGAGTCCCATGATGTAAGGAATACTGCGCTTCGAGCAGCAACCCCTAGCACCAGTATCGCGGCAGTTGCTTGTAATAGGAAATGCAATTATCGTAGTGTTGAGCTTTCCATTAACTTCCAGAAGCGATACAGCATCATCCCACTTGCTAGTGCCGGAACAGCCATCGTCAAGCAAGTAAACCTCTAGGCCGTTAGGGAACTCAATGGGCCATAGAGACGCATATGAAAGTGTAGCAGCTTGGGAATCTGTGAATGTATAGACGAGTGGGAAGTTTCTATTCGCAATTGAACCGACGGATATAATGCTCGGTAACTCGGCAGGTGTTGATGTGCGATAAAGCTGAGGATCATATTTGCTGCCGGATCCAGCATTCCCCTGAGAAACGATAACTGCTATTCCTACATCCACAAGACGCGCGGCAACTTTTGTTAATGGATCAGTCCCGTCCTGCCACGACTCTTGAATACCTAGCGACATGCTTATGACATGAACGCCATCTGCCTGCGCCCGCAGCATTGCCGCCATAATACGATCGGTCGACCCACCGTTAGTCGAACAGTCAAATACTCTATACATGTAGATTGTCGCTTCCGGAGCAACGCCTGATATGTTCAATGTTTTCTCTCCATCCAGAAGAGGTTCCATACCGATAATTCCTATTAAGTGTATCAGTCAAGCTGGTCAAGGGGGGGAACGCAGTTTTAGATCATCCCCTTACCCGTAACATGAGTACCATGTCCTCCGCCGTAGCACGTAATAAGCGGATCGTCGTGCTCAAACGCAGTTCCATTATCGGCTAACCAAGACCAACCCCCAGCCACCTTAAAGCCGGGGCCGAAACCACCTCCCAATGCCGGATGACGATAATCAACGCCAGTATCAACGATACCTATCTTTATACCCTTGCCTTTCACGCCAAGCTGGTGAAGCTTATCTATGCCAGCCATTTCAAGGGTCGAAGATAAATCCCCATCGGATTTCGGCAATATTGCCGGCATTGCTGGAGGGTCCGCATATGATCGGAAGGGGTTATCAATTGAACGAAGGCCTAGAAAATCCGGATCCGACAGAGGTACCTTGTAGACCGGACTCACCGATACAACCCCAGGGATGTCGCTAAGATGCAACTCGGGGGATTTAAGATCATCATTCCTGGAAACCCGAATTGACAAGCCAACATAGATCCCTGGATAACGATATTCATGTGCAACATCGTATTGAAAAGGAAGACTCGATGCGTGTTTATGGAATTCAGCATGCCGGTCGAAGCCCCTCGGGTAAATCCCGCCTCCTTCAACATCGTCCACCAACTCAATGATAAATGCCCCATCAATGGGTTTAGGGGTTTTAGTAGCAAAACCCAGCTCAAATAAAGAGAGAAAGAAAGTTATACGCATCAGTAAACCCATAGTGACGCCTCCAAGTTCTCTAAAGTTATTGTACAGTAAATTCAAAAGAAATGGCGTAGGTCGACGAGTTTATAGTCATGACACCACTTTAGCCTATACCGTACATTATATTCAACCGCAAATCCTCCTCTCTATCAATCTTATGGTCCGATGGGACATTCCGAATGCAACTTGAGACGTACCAGCTGCAGCAACATTATTTAAACTGATACCTCGATGACGACATAAAAGAATGACATTATTATAAATTGGTCATGGTATTTAATAAATTATTATTAAATCAGATTTCTAAATACATACCAGGTAGACAGTAGCTTACGGATGCTCTTTGTGAAAAGTTCGCATTATTGGTCAATCTTTTATAAGAGGTACGATCTACGCTGACGTAACCTTTGTCACTCATAATGTAAAGTGATATTAACATTTTGCCTGTATACAATGTCTCATTCAGGCCTTAATAATATATCAGGTTATATGATAGGAATCCATTTAGAAGAGTTCTTGGTTTGTGAGATTATACATATTAAGATAATTAGGTGCCTAGTATGTAACTTATTCTAACCCTCAACTTCATCCTATCGGCATCATTTGCAAAATGATTCGAACAGATACAAAGAGCTTGTGAGCTTTTCTAGTAGTATTAGGTATCCGAATAGTAACAGTCGGGGTCACATGAAAGGACTAAACAGATAGTCTTTGACGGCTAACACGGTTATTAAATAGTCTAAACCAGAATATACCGGTAATAGACGTCATTTGTATTGGATCAATTACAAGGGATAAAACTTAATATTAACTTCGACTTGTAATAATTTATATCGATTTTCTATTATAGTATCTAGATTCAAAATAACAAAGATTAAGATCATAGAAAAACAATAGAGCAATGATATCGTAGTCTTAAATGCTTAAAGTGCGTTTTCAAACTATTGTACTGTTTTTTGGTGATGAAGAACTAATAGAAGTAGTACATTCCACAATCGGCTTGAAACCAGTTGTTCTAGAACAGAAGCGTTGAAATGAAATGTCTCTTATTGTAGGCACCGGACCACAGTCTATAAGAATGCTCTCCTATCCTCCAAGCAATTCGATTTTTTTTTCTTCATCATCCTGTTTGCACTCAACAGATTAAGTGATAATAGAGAACCTCTTACAGTTTTATCAGTACCGTAATTTTACAGAATTAACTCGATTTTATTTTCTGGAAGCTCATCAGCGCAACGAAAATGCCTTACGACGACATTAACCAGTCATGTTCTCCGTGTGAATATGGTATGGACAAGTCATACTCTCGGCCTGAGTATGGTACGGCCCCCGGTTTGATCCCGGAAGAAGCCGATATGGATGTCCCCATGTTATCGTACAAAGGATTCACAGATGGAGCTGTATCAGCCAGGCAGTTTTCGGTTAACATCCACAACATAAATAACGTAAACTTTAATTATGGATGTTATTTCCCCAACGATTCGCAATATGATGACTCTGGCAACTTGCTATATAACGATTCATTCGAACCTACGGATACGTTTAGTAATGCCAGCGACCCTCCTTCACCTAAAGAGGAGGATGTCTATGATTTATCAAGTCATACTGCTAACAAGTGGCACTCATGTGGTGGCTGCAGACGACATTTCGCCAAGCAAGAACGTCAGCCAGACCAGAAGCCTCTCGGGGATCACTCTCGCGACTTTTCAGAAGTTGAGATCCCGCCGACGTACACGTATCCTTACATCTTCAATTTGCCACGACGACAACCATCACCACCTGCCAGCCCTCAATTTACACCTCAACCTCAACCTCAACCTGCACCTGTACCTCAACGTACACCGACGGAAGTGCCTAATACAATTCCATCCTGGGCTGCGGCTTCCCGCAACACCATGTTTTCACGGCCCGGCCAAAATCCACCCAAGGTATCTGGGCTTACACCTGATGCTGCGAAGCAGCCCTCATGCCCTAGAAAGCAAGTGTCATTCAAGCCTGAACCGAAAGTCAATCTATTCAACTCTGGACCGGATTCGACTCTATACATGCCTGAACCGGAACCTACTTTCTACAAGCCTGTGCCGGGAACCACTCTATTCAAACCTAACGCACAAAACCCATAATCAGTAAGCGAGCAGGAATATACTTGCGACAATAGGCTGATGATGCCGTCGCTACCGTAGGAAAGTCTGCTCTTGTTGATATTGATTTCTTGATTTTTTTTATGCGCATGTTATCTTGTTTATCTTGTTTGTAGATGTAATCTAATAGCTAGCTATCTCCTAAGGAGATAGATATTCACTGAGAAAATACCAAAAAAAAGGGGGGAGAAATATTCCCACAAAAATCTGTCTTATATTTACTCACATATAGTTAAGTTGTATGTTTTAGATGCCCGATCGAGAACTGACTGTTGTGTCTATCTGGGTAGGTAACTAATGTCTTGGCTCATGGTTTAACAACAATAAACCTCTTCTCTAATGATAATCTAGTAACAGCTTGCGTATGAATAAACTACGACCGCCGGGGTCAGCAGCTGGACCGAGTAGCGGGCATTCCCCCTTGAAGCTCATACGATCCGGACACGGACGAATAATTTCCCCGCGCATAGGAGAGTAGACATCATTCTCATTGGCTAATATAGTACTAATTCCACTTGGACTATTTTATCTCCAGTAATCTCCATTTATCGTCCAAGTACAATCCATTGGCACTCCTGAAGTAAGTCTATATGATGCTTACACGAAGCTATGGATGATAGCTATACCATATTGGCAATGCATATAAATAAACTAAATAAGTATTTCATTCCAATAAGCCTCCGGCCGTAATATATTCTCTCTTTAAGCTAGACATGTTATCACGCAATTTTTTCCATGCCTATATACTACGCATAATACATTCTCTCGAGGTATTCTAAGTGAATTAATTAGATGCCTTACATCTCAATATACAGTTAACTAAAATAGAGAGTTGACAAATACCATTAAGGACTTTACAGCCCGAGCCTCGAAACAAGACTTTACTACAAGAATAGCTATAAAGACATTGAAGGACTTATTCATAGGGCCCGGAACTACATACCTTGCAATTATCACTAACGGGAATTTAAGCATCATGTCAAAGCTCTGGAACTTCCTTGCCATGATCTGGTATCAGCTGACTTTCAAGCCTCAGCCACTCCCCGGTGATATTCGACTTGATGGACTAACGGCCATCGTGACGGGCGCGAATGTTGGCCTAGGCTTCGAAGCCGCTAAGGAGCTAGCATCTCACGGGCTATCAAGGTTGATTTTAGCTGTGCGTGATCTATCCAAGGGAGAAGCAGCCAAGGCCGAAATTTCTCGGGAGGCACCTGAATGCGAAATTCTGGTATGGCAACTAGATCAGGAATCATGGGCAAGTATGGTGGCATTCGCTAGGCGCGTGAGCACCGAACTTGATCGTCTCGACATCGTGTTGCTGAATGCGGGGCTGAAACGGCTTGAGTTTACTCGGTCGCCGACAGGCCACGAGGCACACATTCAAATCAACCACCTCGGCACAGCACTGCTGTCGCTGCTACTCGTGGAACCCCTGCGACGAACAGCGCGACAGACTGGAAGGCCTAGTAGAATGACCATCACAGCGTCTAGCGTCGCCTTTGCGGCCCCCGAGCAGGACATCCTGGAGCCCAAAGGTGGAAAAGGCATCATTCCCTGGCTCGATGATCCGACTTCGTTTACCCCAGGTGACAGTCGCTATAGCCTTTCAAAGCTGATAGATGTGTTATGGACACGCGCCCTCGCTGCCCGCCTCGATCCTACCGATATCATACTCAATACTCTCAATCCTGGGTGTTGTAAAAGTGCGTTCCACCGCGCAGATGCGACCGCAGAATGGGCTTCAAATTATCTGGCCTGGACTAGCGCCGAGGGTGGTTACCACTTAACGGATGCTGTTGTGCGACACCCGGATAGCCACGGTGAATATTTGAGTGAGCAAAGGATTAGACCGTGAGTCAACCCATTTTGCGGCATTAGCTGTATTTCTTTAACTGACAAACCTCCTAGCGTTCCCAGTATCGCATTGTCGGCCAAGGGTAAGGAGGTCCAAAGGAAGTTATGGGATGAGACGATATCTTTATTCAAAGCGGAGTGCCCAGATGCTAATATCGAAGAATTCGCTAGAGGTGAATAGGGGTTGGCTGATAGGTAGCGGGTGTGTGGGCCACTGCTGACAGACATCTAAAATGATTTAATAAAGGGCGATCGGTTACTTCCTACCCATCCGGAGGTATTAAAGGATGCCGAGCGATTGAAAGTAGGAAATGCCTTAATCAATATTAAAGGATTTTATTTACAACCTCAAACTAGAAGATTCATTAGAATGACACATAGTTTTGAGTCTAAAGACCTTGCGTCAAGTGTATATAGAAACTCTTATAAAATATTGAAATCAGGACTGAAGACAAACAATAACGGGATTTTAGCAGTGTTAGATACGTAACCTGAATGCTGTAGATGACTATGAGATGGGTATATCGAAGATGGAAAACTCCGGGGTTAGTCACATGGCACCCAACAATGGAACCAACCACATATCATTAGCAATCATCTCTAGAGATGATAAAACACCTACCATGCCAACAGGTAATACATTCTGTGTCTCAAGGTCTTCCTCTTTTCAGTCTTACTCATTTCGCAAACATGACAGTAGAAAGCTCATGTGAAGAATCATGCCAAGTACCTGAGTAGAGATGTCGTAAGACAGCTAGGGCATGATGTGACTACACCAATTGCAATGAGGGGTCTTTATACAACTGACCAGAGGTAGGGATATAGTAAAGAATAATAAAAAACAGTTCAAAACGATAAATATTAGTTCAGTAATTGATCATCTTGGAATGGTTCGCTGGGGATGGTCTATCAGTTGAAATAGACCGTGCTGGAACGCGAAAAGAGCAGGGAAGGGATGATGGAGGGATGGCAGGTGAGGAGATCCGAGTAGTAGTACGATCTTCCTAGCCGTTTTGTTTATCCCCGGCAGGTGCTGAGTGTTGATCCCAAGATGACGACAAAGGATTAAACGGTAGATTGATAACCAGGTAAATTCAATCGGGGAGAAGGTCAAATCAGCTCATTCGCTCCTCGCTTTATTTGTCGCATGGCTTTACATCGTACCAGGTAGAATTTCAGGCGCGCGGCAGCGGTCACGCACCAGTGAAATGATCGAACGTGGTCATGGTTGAGTTGGAGGACCCAGGTAGAAGTGGAATAGGTATGTAAGGCACCTATATATGGTATATATATGCCCTTAGCTCAATTTAGTAAAATCAGGTGTCGTTAATGGATGGGATGGAAGATGTGCGAAACGTGGGATAAAAATCAATCAGATGCGCTAATGATAAAATGATAAAATGATGAAGAAGAGGAGGGAAAAACGGGAAATTAGATAGATTTCTGATTAGGAGAAGGAAGAAAATATAAATAATCAATTAACTTAGTTCGGTACCTCTTAGGTAAGTACAAGTAGTTTAAGTCGGAAAGAGCATACCTGTAACTACGGAAAGATGAGGGTAGCAAAATAGTAAAAAAATACCTAATCCAAGGCTTTTTTTCAAGCAATCACGGACATTGTGTTATCAAACTCATGCGCGCCCCAACCCTTTCGATCCTATCTTCCCATCTTTTTTTTGGTCTTGTTTTTTTTTCCTTACCCCCCCTCCCCTTCGATCACATCGGACCAATTCTAGACCTGATTAGCCGGGTCTGTTTATGCGACATGCTGTCACTCTGATTTTAATTACTATTATTACCTTGTTCTAAGTTCCAAGGTATTATTCGAGGTATTATTCGAGGTATTATTTCGGCTAGGTTAGGTAGTGTTGTGAAGGAGGAGCTATCGAATCTATCGAATCAATTGAATCAGTGCTTGGGCGCGGCAAGAACAACAACACACCTCATGTAGGTACCTGCCCTAATCACCTTGTTGCCCTTTTGCTCTTCGCTCTTAATCTTCCCTCACCCTCCCCATCGATTCTTGTTTTTTCTCCCCTTTTACAACTTTTATTCTTCTACTTTTTCATTTTAATCTGTACCTATTCAAACCACATAAACGATTTATCAATTTCAAGAAATCAATTTATTCCACAAATTTTCGCACTCGCGTCTACTCACCGCTTAAAAGTTCTTGTAAGCTGCCCAACCCGAATCTTTCCTTTCCACGCCCATATCTGTTCCCGGTCGCATTGCGTTTCGCATTCGCACCTTGTGTCGCCTCGTGCATCTCGCAGCTTCATGCATCACGCTACGTTATTTGCTAACATTTAATGTAGAATTTATTAAACTTTTCTTTTAAGCAAATAGCCAAGATGCCTCGTGAAGGAACGCGATCTGCCACCGGCAACTCAAAGCCGCGCGTCTTCCAGACTGTTGACACCGCGCCCGCTATTAAGCGTACCACTAAGTCTAGGGTGAAGAAGTCGCCTACCGCCAGCACCAAGCCTGGACCTAAGGTGAAGGCTGCAAAGCCGACTGGTGTGACCAAGAAGAAGTCTACGGCACCTAAGAAGGACGGTGTCGCGACTAAAGTAAGTTTTCTACTCTTCATCATAAATTTCCATGTCATTTGCAGCTTCATACCACCCATTATTGAGAAGCTCCTCACGGGCTAGATCTCCATTCAGTTTTACTACTCACGGCCGTCCCTTCATGGATCCTTGGCCTTACATTATTTAGTATTAGTCCTAGATAAATCACGTCGCTATACCTAAAACGCTCGTTAACGACCTGTTTTCTAACATTGACCATAGGTTAAAGCCGCTGTTAAGAAGGCAGAAGAAAAAGTAGAGAAAGTGGAAGAGAAGGTCAAGAAGGTGACTGTTCCCTGAGCCGATTGTCAACTTGCGGATATGTTATTAACTTGTTTCACAGACGGTAGCAAAGCCCAAGACAGCTGCTAAATAGATCCATTGTCGTTCGTCACTATCAGTTTCAGTCTATATGGCTCAGACCATGGACTCGATAGTGTGAGACGATCACTCCAGATTCTATCATCTACTAGCTTCCAGTTTGATATACTGGATTCCTTCTATCGGAGACTAAGCCGATATATGTCCCTACCTCTTACGGCATCAACCCAGGTCCAACAATTGTGTTGCTTCAATTCCCAGGATTGTTGGAGTTTTCGTCAACGCAGTCTACAACTCCATCCCAGATGTTTTCTCTTCCTATTCTATTACATTAATGGCGTACCTTTTCAAGCCACCTCCGATGTGGACACGGCCAATTAAATTCGCAGTACTGGCTAAGCGGATTTATAATACTAGCCCTCCTAATTTCTACAGCCGAGGATCAGTGTGGGAACTAGATGTCCTAATATGCGGTGGATTTGAAAGCTCATACAATAAACTGGACAGTGGACTTTCGACGTTGACTGGCTATCGGGTGCCTTAGCTCTAGGACAGGTGTTTCGGTATGTGATGCACAGAATTGGAACGGACGCAATGCAAGTATATATTGTTACGTAGTCCTAGTGGGATCCTATCAGGTTCCTGAAACTTACCTATCAATTCGACTTGACCTGCACAGGGCCTTTTCAAATTTTATGTGTATTGCGCAGCCCTTATATTTTGCGTCGTCATATACTTTTATATTATCATTATAATCATGGAGCTATTAGTTACATGTCAGTATCTAAATACTTTACAGCAAATGTTCGCCACCCTCGACACATTTAAGCAAGGAGAACAACAGTAGTAACGTAAAGAAACGTGAAAAGAGCGAGCTATTCAATTCACGAATAGGACCTATAAGAGGTATCTAATCTGGAAATACTGCCGTCATTTATTCTCCGTCCTAATTACCCCTAAGGGTGAAAAGGGGGGAATCTCCCCATGAAATGATAGAGCAGCTGTAAGAAAAGGGGTAAGATGAGCCTTAGTAATCACACACATGGCTGAACTGATTCACTTATTAGCTTGTGTATAAATATTCAGAGGCTTTGTTATCACCCGAGTCAATACATTTACAAAAACGAGAGGTAATATATCATATGAACAATAGTAATAATTAGTTACTTCCTATCTCTGTATTCTACGCGTCATTAAAACCTATGGTTTACCCTGAATACAGTGTACAGCGCCTCTCTAGCTGTCTTGCTTAAAGAGACAAATCTAATTTCGCACCCTTTGTTGATGCTTTCCTCCTACGACTAGATAATATTATCTCCACCAGGACTTTTAATACATCATCCTTATAATGGTGTTAAGTGGAGCTGGTATCAATGTCCATGCCGAATAATCCAAGCTATCTATCAACTATCGCGGCCGACACCGACCAAAATAGTTTGCATCTTTCTCGGCAATCATGTCTTATATATGCAACCCAGGAGCCGATATAATTCAGTATCGCAACTCCAAGCCTTATAACCAATAGCTGTAACCTCAGGGGTATGTCTGATCCGATTTATTTTGATACACTCTGCGGTGCAACAGTAGCTGGTGGGACTCCAAAGAAAGTGCCTTTGCTCTCACCAAGAGCAACTTCCAATGATTTGCCAGTGTGCTGGAAGATTTAAGAGGATTCGAGTTGCTGCTTCTTGCGAGCTTTCTCGGCCTCTTCTCTTATTCTCCAACTCACCATTGGGTCCCACTTCTCACCTGACCGTTGCACCTCTCCGTGCTATGTGGGGAAATGCATTACCTGGCCAGCAGGGATCTTGATATTCTCCCAGTTCTTATCTTCATCACGCTCATCTAAGCTTAATGTTAGTATAAAAATAGTAGAGTTTCCCGTAGAAACTTACCCAGCTTTATAGCTTGCATTTCTCTCACTCCACAAAACATCCCATTGCGCCCCTCCCGCTGTACCAATTGCCAATGACCAGTGTTTCCCTCCCCAACCCAGATTTCTTCAGTGAATATATCACCTTCTTGGACTGTACGATGCGGGTTACGTGTTGGTAGAGACAAAATATGCGATGATAAGGCGTGTGGAATGCTGAATAACCGTTCGAATCTTCGAACCAAAGGCAGCCAGGAAAGAGTGTTCTCCGTATATGCAACTCGAACGTAAGGATTCATATATATGCCCAACTCTTTCTCTCCGGCTTTCCTTGCTACCTGGGCCACGTCGGCATGGAACAGACAGCACTCACAGGCGTCGAAGAAGAGCTCAGGCTCGTAACGGAACCGAACTGGTGCTGTAACGTTATGTGGCTTCGCGGGGTCAATAACATAGCTGCTAATATCCTGAAAGTGAGAATTCGGCAACGTCTCATTCATATTCTGTACATATTTCGCCTGCATCGCTACCATTCCGCTCCAACAAGCCTGGACAGGAACGGCATCCTCTTGATTCAGTATGGCAGTCCTCGATACACCTTCACCAGCATTGAGGAATACTGGAAAGAAGGGCAATCCGGCAGAATAACCTTCATAATCACGAGTGACATAGAGGTCATAAAATTTTAATGGAGTCCAAAAGTCAACGGCACATGCTGATAAGTAATGTGATCGTCCATCAGAGTCGATATTAGTACTGAAAAGGAGATGCGCCGCTTCCATCGCGTGAAATAAAACATCGTTCAGGAAAAGAATCTTGTCGTATTGAATTGTCCCGACGCTTGGATCGAATCGGTCAAGTGGTCGTAAGGCCCGATTCCGCATTTCAGACAAATAAGCTAGACGTTTCACTCGCTTGGTTTCATCAGGTAGTGTGACGGTCGGGAAGTCCGACAGAGGCACGTGAGGGTCGTTGACGATGTAATTCTTACACCTCAGCTGCCGTCTTAGGCTTTCAAGTGCCGCCGCACCTTCCGGACCGCTATCATTCTCGTAAATGCTCAGAAAGACATTATTGTCACCGAGCAGATGTATTAACTCCAACAGACTCTCTCCCCAGAAACCATTAGCCAGATGACCCTCCTTATCATATAAAGAGACGGCGATAAATATCTTCTCATTATTGATATTAGCACAGCCCGCTTCTCGAATAGGTCCTTGGCATCGAGTTTCCAGGTCTCGGTAGTGCTGAGGGAGTCGCGTATAGGACGGAGCGATGATAGGCGTCCCTATTAAAAGTATACATATAATTATAACGATGTATTTAAGAAATGCGACAGCTAAGCTCGCAGGGCCTCTCCGTAACTTCCGTCGAAGACCTCTCGGCCGAGCCAGACACCACGAGAAGAGCCGTTTATCCCATTTCTGATCAGACCTAACTGGCTCCTCTGATGAGGCCTCTACATCCTTTCGCGCATCATTTCCGAGAAGAGATGAAGAGGCAGACGACGAGGCTTGAGCCTCATCGTCATCTAGGAGGCCGATTCGTTTCTCTGATGATGTAGAGCTAGGCATTGATGGAATAGCGCATCAACGCGAATAGACGACGATATATAGGCCGACTCTAAGTCAGGCCGAGTGCGCGTAGCACAACAAAGGCTATTGTCTTTATGCCAGCTTGACTGGTGAGTCGTGACACCCGCCAGATATGCCGAAGTATAACAAATTCCAGGAAGGCGACAAACCGAAGATCATCTATGTATCGATCTAGCGGGGAAGTACTATCGGGTACCAAAAAGCATATTACTCCGTACCCATGAAGCGGTCCGTGGTTGCTAGCCTTACCGACAGAACGGAAAAGGTCCTCTCTTTCTCGTATATGACCCGGCTAGCTTGGAATACCACGGGCTATAGAAATGAAGGACGGAATATAGGAGTAACGAAGTTGGACGAACGATTTAAGGTCGAAGCGGGACGAACGCGGTCGGGGACTAAGCTCTATTTGGTAAAATCTGTAAATACGCGTAAAATTGCTGGGACAACTAGAACAATTATATCAATTATTTGCACTCTTTATGCATGTGCAGTTAATTGAAATTACGCTGTCGACAGGAAGCAAACAAAGCACTAAAAAGAAATGGCGTGAATATGCTGTGCGGTTGGGTTCTACATGCAGGCGTAGAGTTTTGTTACCTGGAATTAAAGGAGTTGAAAGGTGGAGTTGGAGTTGGAGTTGGACAGGCAGACAGGATTAAAGAGGGAGTTGCGTACTTAGCAGCTGGGTATAAACACTAGAATAAACGCTGTAATAAAAAGACGGCTGCGCCGCATTTCGCATTACGTAGTGGAGAGGCTTTGCAAGGTCCTTAGCGAACAAGGCAACTGCTACCGTTTTAGACTTAGCTGAAGTGACATTGACATAATTAATTCACCAAGGCCCGTGCCGAATCCCGCGTAAAGGCTGATAAGATCTAATCAATGGAGTTATCTATCAGTATATTTATCTTATTTGACAAATAGGAAATATGTGACGTATATAGAGCCAATACAATTTAAGCATAATATGATAGATGCCTAAATTACCTGGGTCAGGTTGTCAACCTTAATTGGCTGCCTGGTGGTATTATCTGAATAAATACCGCCTATGTACATACCAAGCAAGTAGGCTGCCAGTATCTAGCAATATAATTTATTGGTTTCGGCAATTGAGGTATAGTGTCGTAACTACCAGCCATAAAAATACGCCGTAATCAGGTACCGAGTGAAAATTACTATTAGCTGGGCTTTAATATACCTCAAGTAATATTCATCTAATGTTGTATACCTGATGCATACTGTACCTAGGCATGTCTGAATCATTGTCCTACCTATATGAGGTAGTTACATCTACATACATGCGTGTAGTATCACAACACATATGAGATAAAAGGTGTTCTTGCAAAATCGCGTATTTAGGTAGTGACGGTGGCACTTAGGTATATTGTCATGACCCCTATTTCTTAACTCCAGTCTCCAACCGTACCTAAGTACCAGGCACTCGACGTATGGAAAAATCCAAGTCATTGTTACACAACACAATACCTTCATATTTTATATTATCTCGTTGCAATCTGATATTTTAAAGAATAACTAGCATTATTTTCTATTTGTATTAATGCGACACTCATTTTTCTTCTTCCTAGCCCCCGGTTAACCACAGATACGGTGAAGGATTCCAATAAATATTGCGCTGAGCCAGCTTCTATTCACACAGCCACAATGGAGCCCAGAAAAATTAATAAGGATACGTCTTATATCTCGTAGCTAACTACCAATCGCAACATATATACGATTTTAGGCTAGCAATGTCATGCTGACTACCATAGCTGAGTATATGCGAACTTCGCAATAACTAATGGAGTAGACACGTATAAGAGTAGCATTTTTATAACACGGCCTATACACTTATGCTTTTATAGAAGCACCAACGGGAATGCGAGGTATCTAAATATCTGCTTAAATAATTGGAAATCGGCTTTAGAAAGCTACCTAATGCACCTCCAGTGATGAATAGGTAGACATTAGCCGCTTTAATTTTTATTATTTTTACCCCAGATAGATACCTAATACTTAATACTTCCGAGTCTTATAATCTGACCTTGCAGAACGTCAGGTATTTCAAATCGTTTATCAAGACCATTCGCCAATGATAAACTTATATCTGACATGGGCTTACATAAATGTTAGCTGAAAAGCTGAAGCCTACCAAAATAAAAATCGGAGATCTTTTAACGGAAATGGGCATTGCATTTACCAAATCAAGTATGTTGGTGCGATGTTTCTCTTATCCATTGAACGTGATTCCAACTCAGTCCCTCTATATAGGTGCGAAATGCTAGCCAAAATTCCATAGACCGCAATTTGTGTCCCTTTTAGTAAACTTTTTCAACACCGATCGACACGCTTCAAAGATGGTAGGCGTACCTAGATCTAAACGGTGCCAGCGCTGTAAACGCATCAAAATTAAGGTGAAAATATACTTCTATGGAAGAAAGAGCCAGTTAGACTAATTATATTTGTCCATTTTGATTAGTGCGATGAGAACTGGCCGACATGTACTCCATGCCTACGTGCCGGGATTGCCTGTTCTGGCCCTTCTAATCTGACCAAGTTTATCCATACCAGCTCCCACTCCTCAGCCACTGACGAAGCTAGACCGGGTGAGGTTGCAAGCCAGCTCACGACTCATAGGAGACCAGTTGGTAACCTAGAGAGCATCCGCCAACGAGGATTACCAGGTGGAGCTTCGTTTGGGCATTTCCGCTTTGCTCCCGATGGGCCACGGAAAACCCTCACAACTGTGGCGGAGCGTGTAGCTGCTCGTCTGGTTGGATATCTCTCCCACGAAAACGCCCCGTGGGATATACTAGCTTCTTGTGGGTATATTAAACACCTGCCGGTTAGATTAGGCGAAAGTGCCGCATTGAGAGACTGCGTTGCTTTAATGTCCTCGACTTGGATCAACTCACGACGAGGTTTGATGACAACTCAACTCCTTGATTCGAACCTTTATGTAAAAGCACTGAGGACTCTTCAGCGTGCCATCAACGACCCTCATCAACAACTCAGCAGCGAAACGCTAGCTGCTGCGACAATTTTAGAACGGCTAGAGCTTATATTCGATACGCAACGCCCTCATTATCGATCACACCACTGGGAAGGAATTCAAACTCTGATGATCAAGCGAGGTCCACCGAATCCTCGAGACAGCTTAGACGTTCATTTAGCATTAGAAAACCACGCAGCCCTGGTAAGCATCATCCCCCTTTATGCTTTTAATTATCCTTAACGAAAGAAGTAAGCTTCACTAACTTGACCCATTTAGGTATCACATTGGCTTGTCGCGGGGGGCGAAAACTTCTACTTAAGCTCTCCATGGAAGGAGGCAATCGAGCAATCGTTCCTAGCTATAAAGCACTCTGTCTCAAGTGAACAGGCTGATTGCTATAGCGTAGGTTACTTCTATGGATACTGGCCCGACCTCGTCCACGAATTTCGACGTGTTGCCAGTAACCCAGATGTGAATTTGCAACAAATACAAGCATTGGCTCTTCATGACAAAGTTGCGGGTCTCGCTGCGGATATCACATGTATCGGCGAGCCAATCCTGCTAAGGATCTATAGCGCGGGCCAAATACTTGAACAAACAGATCCCAAGTCTCCGATTGGTTTGAAGCTCCATTTTGGCAGCTTGCATATAATGTCATTTTATATATCATATGTCATGATGCGAACGATTTTTAGTCGACTTCTACACCACTTGACAATTATGCTAGAGCAGCCAGACCCAGCCCTAGAAGAAGAACACAGAGATCTCTGCAGAAAAATGTGGATATGTATCCCATTCATCAAGGGCTTGGGGATGATGGCCTCCATCGCATTCATTCCCCAAATGTATTTGTCATATGAAGGGGCGGGAGAAAATGAGAAAGAGTACTTACTTGACAACATAATTGAAATATTATCATACAAAGGGAGCGGGAGATATCCTACAGATAGACAAGCAATGGAACGTTTCGTACTCAATTCAGCAGAGGCTATGGTCGGTCGAAGCCGTTTTGCCATGAGTATCCCTCCCCCGCAAACAGACGTCGTTCAAACAGAGGAAGCACAAAGCTAATGAATCTGCGATGGGCATCTTTTGTAAATCATTCAGAAATATACTTCCCTTCAGCAACTCTTTTGATTATCTCGTTTCATCTCCCTTCATATGAACTTACATAAAATAGAGATATCTCTTCACAAGATTCTTTTGGAATTTGTGGCGCATATTGGTGCCGAGTTATAAATGGTGACCAAAGGGGGTTCCAAGTCAAATAGGGAAATCACGGATAGTAGACCGTGAGGAGGGTTATATCATACCACAGAAAACAGAATGATCTCCAGCAAGTTCTGAATTTATTTTTGGTTCTGTCGCTAATTTGTAAGTGTGTTTGTAGTAAGTCGCATTATTCAACCTTAATATAAAGAGTGTATAAAATAGCAGCGCTCCGTTCTCGAATCATAGGTATCTCGTTCAATGTCCGGAGAGTTTCTATTTGGCTCGTGCGTCGCGTTCCATCTCGGTAAGTTCTAGAGAATCCTTTGCTTCCAACTTAGTATTCGACTTCCGCCTCGGCGGTGTCTTCTGGGAGGCTTTATTCTTCGTATTGTGGCAATCGCGGGTAATATGACCGAGTCTGCCGCATTTATGGCACACAACACCTGATGTCGGCATGATGTGGGTCATGTTAGTGGCCTTCCCTGTGCCTTCGTCGTCGCGAAAAGTCCCGTTCCCCAAAGTGAGATCTCGGAGTTGCTGGTGTTTTCTGTTATTTTCGTGTTCCGGTGTAGCAATGGCATTCTTGATGACTGCTTGAACAAGCTGTTTTGCCGTATCGACGTGTTCCTGTGTTTCCGCTGTGATAAAACAATGTAGAGGTTCCTCATAAGCATTGGTATCGACTCGTCCGGGCCCACAAGGGCCGCCGCGGCCTTTGCCTTCTATCATGAAACCTTTCCCGCGAATGACTATAAAGGCATGAGATTTGGCGCTCATCTCGGCAAGATTACGCCTGTGTGGCCCCAGGAGCTGTCTGATGAAATTCACTTCCGGGAATTCCATTACGGGTATGTACACCTTCTCTGTGGGGTGTCTCCGTCGGAAGCTGCCTCGGATGTAGTCCTGTGGTGGATGGTAGTTAGTTGAGGTGGTCCCAATTGCGGTAGTCTCGGGTCCCCATCTGCTCCGTTTTCCCTTGCTTGTTGAAGCCATAGTGGAAGTATTCACTGATTTTGTATAGTCGTAACCTGCTGTAAAAGAATTTTGGTTGAGCCAAGTCTCGCAAATCTCAATGTATCGAAAGACGGACGGCAGAGTACAAGTCGCTGGTAGGACAATGTGTGATGTTTCGTCGTGTGGCGCTCTTATGGGTGTCCTTGTGAACAGTGTTACATCTTCTTTTTATCGGGTATATTTTCTTATGGGTATAGTATGAGTCTGTAAGGTTTAACTATATGTTTGTCGTCAATGATGATAGAATGTAAGGTATGGTAGTAAATGCTCGTGGGGATGGATCTCCTGTTTTATATAGGTGGTCTTTTCCTAGTATGGTCCAGCAAGGTTTGAAAGGAGCATTAGGGCTATGGCCTAATAAACTCAAGATGCTCGATCACTCGAGCATCTTTGGGTTACGTAGTCGTTGTTTCATAACCTAAAGTTCATCGCAAAACTCTAACTTAACCTTAATTCTATATATCTTTAGGTACTGTTGGAGGGTACAATGGCCCAAGGGCATATATATATAAGATTTGACCAAGTACCTGAAGTGGGGTCCCAAAAACCTCTACAATACAACATCAAATTATCCTATCCATTATTATTTCAGTACCGTATATAAGTAGCTAAGAGCCTTGGTCTAAGTGGTTTGTATTTACACTCTATATAGAGGAATAGCTACCTAGTAAAATTTGTTGCTGCACGGATACTAGGTCCTAGGAGTACTAAGTTCATAATTCGATAAGTTTCTCTACGTGGCTTAATGATAAATATATCTATTTATAAAGTAGTATACATCTAATGGACAGAAAAAGCGAATGGATACCCGAATGTAGGAAATCATCCGGGTAAGATTTCTCCAAATATCTAAAAAATAGAAAGTAAACAAAACTAATTAAAGCTAGTTTAGGTGACTAGCCAGATGAACAAAATCGTACGCACACGTCACTAATTTAATCCCCATCAGTGTCAGCCCCTAGCGACCTTAAAGCTGGTCAAAGACAGCGGGGATGGCGGCTAGAGCGGCCACCATTGCGAGCATTGCCTTATTACCCTCCATAGTAGTACCTCCAGAGGTTGAAGAAGAAGTAGAGGAACCTGAAGTCGAGTCAGATCCAGTGGAGCTAGGAGTGGAAGAGGCCGTGGGGGTGGTGTCAGCCGATGAGGATGGTGACGAACTAGATTGAGAAGCCGTACCGGAGAGCGCATCCTGTACCTTCTGGTCGTAGTCCTGTGTACCAGAAGTTAGTAAATATTCCCTTAGATAAGAAATAGGAGAATGAGATATATGGTTTGGGCTTAATTTTACGTACGGGGTCATCTACGGATATTTTAGTTTTGCAGGTGCCGATGGCATTTCCGCAAAGCCCGACGCCCTGACAATTGCCATTGTTGCCCTGATCCGTGATGCAGCAATCTGTGTGGTTTTCGCCGCTGACTATGGAATAGCCAGGGCAGCACTTGTTATTGGAAATCAATGTCTGACCTGAAGGGCAAGATCCCTGAGGGAATGGCTAAGTCAGCTCTAAAGTCGAACATACGGTATCTATCGAGCGTCTTGAGTATCTCATATTATTACTCACTGTGATCTGCGCTGCGGTAGATACACCTAAGATGGCGAATAAGACGGTGACATATGCAACCATTTTGGAATGAAGTAAATTTATTGCAATATTTCAAGTTTGATTTGAAAAGTATTAAGGTTCAAGGCTTCCGTGGCTTCGCGATGCTGGAGTATGGTTGTAGTATCTTGTCGTTGATGTGGTGAAGGTATTGATGTGAGAGTGTCTGGTTCAAGTCTCATAGCGAGGGAAAGACTACACTATTATATACAAATTCCAGTTCTATTAAGGGAACTTATATTGCATATGATGGGTTGTCGACGTAGCTAACTACCTCCCGCTCAATTCTACCCTTTCAGGATCATGAAGTTACACAGGTAGCAGGGGACCTATAGTAAAACGATAAACGTTATTAGAATCTGGAAATAGTGGGTTATGACCATCGCGGGACCTGTAAATAACTAAGAAGCTTACCAAAATCAATAGGGGTAAGCTTTATGGACCGCCTTTGACTTCCCAAAACGGATAAAACTTCAACATTGGTACGGGGACCCACTATCTTGAGTAGCGGTACGGCTGAACCGTAACCAATGATATAACCCATGACTATACTCCTAATGGTCAATTCAATGCAGCCTTATTTCTTTGTTACATTATATATCAAGTAAGACTACCGTTGTTCTAAATGAAATGGATGTAATTGGGAAGATGCTGCGACTGTAGTTGTATGATTTGTCTGCTGATTCCTATGGGTACTCTTAAGTGGAGGATAGGTACTAAGATTAATATTGTCCTAAAGCCTTATCTATGTCCTGCTGCAATTTTCGACTAAGCTGATATTTCCAATGAGAGCATGGCAACAAACGAATAAGGTCTACTATAAGGAGCGGTATGAGACATGTTGGGAAAAAAGGTACCTACCTATGTATATAAGTCCAGCCTCTCCTTCCACTCATGAGAAATCTCAGTTGATCGATCAAGACACACCTATAACTCTCATATAACCCTTTTTACTGCTTAAGATGGCGTAATGATGTTTTTAGATCTTCTTATTATGAAGATTCAGTTTTGTATGTAGATGCTTTCGTTCCTACTAAGATACCTAGCATTGAGTCTCTTATCTACCTAGCCAGGAGGTCTAGCCTTCGTACTCCAGCAGTACGCAGTTGTGAAACTAAGAATGGAAGTCTAAATAGGCATTTATACAAGCGCTATTTCGAGTTATCGGCAATATTTCCGCTTAACACGTTTTCTTTAGCTGTAGTTACTAGGTACCTACCTAGATATATATAGGGATATAGAAGTATTCGCAGGTTATCCCACAACACTGGCCTTGGGAACACCATTTATCCATCCTAACATTGTGCCTCGAGATGAACTATGGGGGGATACTTAAAGTTCACGACTTTCTACTTATGTGTAGTGTTAAGGGCTAGTTTACGTGACCACAAAACCGCACAGAGAATCAATATTTGATATTTACTTAGGAGGTAGGTAGACTTTATAAAACATCGTGGATATGAGATACTCTCATGAAAGTCTGAGATATTCTGAGTTCTAGTTTTAGGGTACTGAGACTGGTTCGGACCTTCAGGCTTATTTCCATTCCAAGAAGCTACAAAATGTGGATTAAATATATTATAATATTATAAATTATCACATTTTTGTGGCAAATTATTCTATTCTATACAATTTTAACCGTATCGATTAAATGAAGATGTTACTGATTAGATGCCGAGTAATCAATGAGAAGTAACCGTCGGTATTGCCCTTTGCTGAGCCACAGTTATACATACAGGCGTAAAATAATATTCCCTTTCCTTACAAATAAAGTAATAAACTCTCCTCCAATAGGGACTTAGATCAGAGTAGCAACCAACGAACAGCAAGCAAGCATTTTAACTAGATTTAAGGAATAGTTGCCTACTTGGCAATGCCCGTGTGAACATTCTTCACCTAAGAGGATAATTTTTACGAGGACAGTTTGATATTATATTCTATAAGTTCTGATTGATGATTCATATTTATGAGTCTTACCCAATCCCTCCCCACCGCTACTAGAGTAGGATTCTTCGAACCGATACGCCTCGCCGGCATTTTTTAATCACCAGTTGATACTGATCCACTTACGCCCTACGACTGCCTGGAATTCTGCCTTGGTGATGTTTACCATCATGCAACGTCAAGTTCATTGTAGGTAGCGAATTCTGGTTTAGGTTAGTAAAGGTCCATAATAGGGATATCTGCCTTGGAGCTATACCGATTGCTGCCTATTATTAATATCAAATGCGACCCGTGCGCTATGAGTTTATAAACCACCTCATATCTAGCTAGTATCAACTGAAAACTAAACATGAAATGATGTATTAAATAATGTCGACATCAATATCGCAAGCTGTGGATAATGCTGATTGGCGTGGTCGCCGCCCCGGCAAACCGGGGGCTGATATTCCACAGCTTAGCTGCGAGTTATGCAAGTATGACTTAAAAGATATTTCCGGTAGCTAAGTCGATATACTAATTTATTCTGTAATAGGAAGCGGAAAGTTAAATGCGACAAATCTAATCCATGCTCAAATTGCGTAAAGGCGGACGTGATATGCGTCCCTATTCATCGCAAGCGCTTACCCCGTGGTCGCCATACCCACCCCCGGTCACTCGCAACACTCAATACCGGCGAGGAGTTAATGTCCCGAATACGAAACCTGGAGGCTTTAGCTTCAAATATCAATGAATTGAAAGACTCGGCGCCGGAACCCGGACCGGCGACCACGGCTAGCGCTGAAGTGGGTCTGGATACCGAGAATGATGTTGGTTGGCAGTTCTGGGCTCAGATCGCAGATGAGGTAATATATATCCCTTTATGATACTTTCATATCAACTAACATTATAAAGGTAGAAGGCCTACGCGATATCGTCGAGCGGGCCTCGGATGACGAGGAGAGTGTCTGGTCAACCCCGAATTCTAGTTTTGGTACTAATTTGAGGGTAATTGGCATCGGATCCTCTAGTCATGGTGGTCTCCCGGCGATTAATGATCATCTAAAAAGCCCTGCTGTGACAGCTCAGCTATGCGAAATCTACCTCCGCCAAGTAGACCCAATCATCAAGGTTCTACATCGGCCCTCTCTAAGCAATTTCATGCAAAACGGCCAACGCTATTTAGCGTACGATACTAATCATGTATCTACGATATGTCTGAGCTCGGCCGTCTGCTTTTCTGCTGTGGCGAGCATGACAGAAGAGCAATGCCAAAAATTGTTCAGTTCGAGGAAGCTTTCGCTGATGGCACAATTTAGAGCAGCTTGTGAAGCCGCTCTCGAAAGCTCGGAACTATTGACGACAAGTGATATTACTGTCCTACAGGCTTTCGTATTATATCTTACTGCTAGGCGGACTGAGGACTCAAGCCGCGCTGTTTGGACTATGATCGCA